GCGAGCGTGTCTGGGTGCTCGCGCCCAAGCACCTTCTTATATCCTTCTAGCGCTCGTCGATGTATCGCTTCTGCCTCTTCGTACTTTCCCTGCCTCTTAAGCACTAATCCAAGGTTGCTGACGCTAGCGAGCGTGTCTGGGTGCTCGCGCCCAAGCACCTTCTCTGACCCTTCAAGGTCTCGTCGATGCATCGCTTCTGCCTCTTCGTACTTTCCCTGGCTCTCGAGCACCAATCCAAGGTGGCTGACGCTGACGAGCGTGTCTGGGTGCTCGCGACCCAGCACAGTCTCTAGGATGTTCAACGACGATCGACACAACCCCTCCGCTACCGTGTATTCTCCCTTAAGCAGCAAGTACCACCCTGCTCTCAGCGTGCTTGTCGCTCGCATTCCCAACACTTCTTTATCTTCTGTCGCATGGCTTGCGACCTCTTTCAAGTGCGGCAGCAGCGCTTGACACTCCTCCCACGTCTCGTAGGCCCCGCTTGGAAACGCCGTGCTCAGAGCCTGCATCGACTCCTTCACCCACTTGCCGAGCTCCTTCTCTGCCTCCAGCCACCGTCTCATCGATAGCTGCACGAGCCGGTGCATCGCCACAGCCTGCTGGCTGACCTCGGCCTTTACAAAGCAGAAGCTAAGCAGTGGCGCCAAAGCGTCCTCAAACTCCAGCTCGCTAGTCGCGCCCTGCACCAGCCATCGCGGTATCCCCTGCTTGTCGAACATGCTCATCAGCGCAAGCAGGTCTGCTGCCGGCCGCTGCGTCTTCCAGATGTGCTCGAACGAGATCTGCCATGTCGCAATCACTGCGTGCCGGATGCTATGGTCACGCCGGATGTCCTTCCATTCCTTCCCGCTAAGCAGATGCACCTGATTGGTCTCGCTCTCGCGAAAGAGCTTGAGGTAGCCGGCTATCGTTGTTGTTGCTTCTCTTGTCTTGATGTATGCCGCGGCGTGCGTGATGGCAAGCGGTATGCGCTCTAGCGCGTGGACGAGCGCCTTGGCGTCTGCTCGCCCCGACTCGCTAAACGGCACCCGCGTGCGAAGCAGCGCTAGCGCGTCCTTTTCGCCCATCGGCTCTACCTCGATGACGCCGCCGTGCCCGCCGACAAGATTAGTCGCGGCAGTCTTGTTTCTTGACGTGATCAGGATCGTTCCGTGGGCTGTCTGGGGAAGGAAGCTCTCAAGCGGTCTACCATCCTGTTCATCGCTGAAGAAGACGCCGTCGTCGTCTACGTTGTCTAGTATCATTAGCCATTGCCCGTTCCGCCTGTTTGATAACCAGTCATGCACGAGCTGCAACAAGTTTGCCTTAGGATCTTTCCGCTTAGGTAGTAGAAGCTTGTCGGCTATATTTCTGTATCCCTGCCACAACCTGCTAGAATTGCTTGCGTGTATCCACACTACTAGCATATACGGTGCTGCTTCGCGAGCTCAATATGCATACTCGATCGCGACCTAGGACTTCCTAATAACCTGTTAATGCTGTTGTCTCCAAAGAGGGTATAGAGCAGTACTAACCCAACGCCACCAAGCCCAACAAGAGCTGTGCGCGTGTGCGAAGGTGCAGCAGCTCTGCGCTCGCCAATTTGGGCGATGCTGTCCTCTCGCCCAACGAATAAGTCATCTCTCGCGAAAGGAACCATGAACAGGGCGTCGCTTGCTGGTAGCAGACATGTTCTATAAGCGTTTTGTCTTACTGTAGTCTACACGTGATGGTCTTACGTACAAGCAGTATTCGCCTTTTCTAAAGCACAACCTCTAACAACAGCAAGCGGCGTCTGCTGGCTTTGCAGCTCCTGTCGCACGTGTGCTTTCAAGACGCCAGAGATGGCACGATAGCCCTGGTCGTCTCTGCTACTGCATCTAGCCATCTGCATGTGGTTCGCGTCGATGCTCTCGACAGTCTCGAGTGCTCGTGGAAGGTCGAGTTTAGACGAGAAGTCGTCTACCACCTGCAGCGGTTAGCTTTGCTCTGTAACTTCTGTGACATACCCACCTTCTCCTCGAGTCCGCGCACGCCAGTAACGCCCCGTGCCTCTTGGAAGGAGTGGACCTTGATCGTCCCCTTGAACGCAATCGTCTTAAACTCCTCGTGGATGTTGTCCAGCACTTCATTGTTCACTTCGAGCGTCTCGAGGATCTTCTTATTCCAGTCCTGCAGCGCCAGGCGGGCGAGGTTGGATGCAATCTGGCCCCAGCCTGCATACGCGCTGCCTCGGTGCGGCGTTCCAAGAAAGATGATGAGCCTTGTCCGCTTGCGCACTGTCTCCGACCGGCGGATAGCCTGCAGCAGCAAGTCAGCACAGTTGGCGTTGTTTGGCGGACTACAAAGTCCTTACATCTTTGAGGATGATACCACCAAGACCGTGTACTACGAACGCAAGCGGTTTCTACAACGTCGTCAGACATGGCTATTGAAAGACCTAGCGATTGGCCTAGCTCATACTCCATTGTCAATCTCCCGCTCCAGCCTGACTGACAGATCTCGGCCATGCTGCGAGATGCTGTTCTTGTTGTTGGCCTGGAAAAGACCCCCAATGACGTCGGCATTATATCCGTACGTCCACACGCAAGCCCGGGGGATGTCTCGTGCGAGGTACTCTTCTGGCCAGAAGACGGTGGACGGTGCTGATGACGGTGCTGGTGAAGATGATGTGGGGTTGGAGGAGAGGCCAGAGGAGGGGCGGTGCGCTTGTGCTGTCTCCGTTGCAGGAGACTTAGCCGTTCGTCGCTTGAGCAAAAACCCTAGGCCCTTGAACTTCCTGGTCGTGTCGCTGCCGCCATTACTTGCGCTCGCGCTCTCGGTCGTTCCTGCGGCTGCGGCTGCCTCCCATGTTCCTCGAGGATGGCCTCGCAGGCCGTGGACGAATACAATACTGCGGAATGTTAGCAGGTCTTTCGCGACACGTGCGAAAGTGACCCTACTTCAAGCAGAACTCGTCGTCGTTCTGCGTGCTGGCTGTCAGCCTCGTGAAGCTGAGCCGGTGCACGGTCGCCATGCGTATTGCAGGTGCGGAGGGGCGTCGCGTTGCGGAGCACTGCTGCGCTGTGCAGCTACTAACTCAAGGGCAGACTTCAGATCCTCCTTAGTCTGTAGCGCAAATGCATCGATAAGAAGAGTTGCGAAGGCCATGGCCTCAGCAGCGATGGAAGGAAGGCTGCAGACGGCGTGGACTTCAGCCTCACGCACAGCGGCCGCAGCTGGGGCATGCGCGCTTGCGCGGGCGCTTCGCTGTCAGCCCTATTGGTCTGCCCCGCCATGGCGTGCTCCATCAAGCTCTGCATAACTCATGACCCTCGCCAATCCCTTCGCCGTTCCTAGAACCACCAGTTTAGTTGATCTTCGCACCTTGGCTTCGTTGTTGATTGCTAACAGGAGGCGAATATGGTTCTGCTGGAGGACAGCCTTAGCAAAGGATAATTGAGCGGCTTTGGCGAACTTCTCCAAGTGTCTCTGTAAGCTCTTTTTGCTTACGTCGTCAAGGGCATGAGCATCCTGCTTGATGATCACATTCTGCAGTGACATGAGACCCTCTGCTGATACTGGTGTAACTGGCGATTGCAGAAGTGCGTCTTGCGGACTAGCTTGAGGGATAGTTAGTTCAGCAGGGGGGTTTGGCATAGTCCTGATCACTCTATCTAGATTAAATAGAAACATGCCAGTTGTAGCGAAGCCAGACTTGATGTTCCTCGGCGTGAATGCTCTTAGCCTTGCGGGACTGTATAGGGAGGTGAAATGCTCTTTGCCTATTGTGCTAACGCCACCTCGCTCTAGTCGTTCAACCTAATCACGATAGGCAGCCTTTAATGGAGCGAACGCAGCCACGTCGCAGGGCTGGAGCTTGTGGGATGTGTGAGAAGGAAGGCGGCATAGTATAATGTTCTGTGCAAAACAGAACTCCAGGATCTCTAGGGTGTCATGCGTCCCGAAGCCATCACAGATCAACACTTGCGGTTTCTGGTAAGCCCGTTCTTTGGTTTCAGGGTCGAAAATACGCTTCAGCCACTCAAGGCTAATATAAGAGTCGGTAAATCCCGAGTCAGATAACGCATACTGCCATCCAGGGGTCTCGAATGTGGTCTAATTACTCCGGTGGGTGCTGGCTGGCCAGATAACCATGGGGTTTAAATACCTACCATCAGCACTGATGCATTCAATCGCGGTCACTATCGTGCGCTTTACACGTGCACCTCTATACTTCCGTACATCGTTCTTACCTACGAGGACTTTGACGGAGCCTAGCATTGACAGCATCACGCCAGTCTCGTCCATATTATAGACGTTCTCTCGGAGAACAGCCGGGTCACGTAATACCCTTTCAATGACCTCAAACTAGTGTATTATCTTCCCATAGGTGTTCTTCTTATGGCGGTTCCATTCTAGCGCGCTAACTCGTCTCGCTTCGACCTTTAGATAACGCCGTTCGAAAGCTTTTAGCTAGTTCTTATGCGGAGGGTGAGGTGGTCTGCTTGCTATAGGTCGCTGGCGGGTAACACAGAAGGCTAGTGCGGGAATATACTTCACTTGCACAGGTTGTCTAAGATCAGATATCTGTAGGAGAAATTTAACGAGGGCTTCTTCCTCCCATGGGGTGAAATATTGTTGGCTTTGAGCTTTCTCTTCTATCGAGCGTCGGCCGTTCTTGCGATAAAAGATGGTAGCGTAAGGGACGCCACTGTGATCTGCTAGGGCCCGATACGATTCAGGAACACCATCGGGAACTCCTCGTGCTAGTGCTTGGGTCGCCTTATCCATGTCAAGGTTGGTGATAGATGATGAGATGGCAGAGGACGAGCGCAATCCACAGCGAGGGGCAGTGCCGAGCGGTGCGGGACACGTTACAACAATAGAACATGGCACGTGATGTAATATCTAAAAAATAAATCAACTCATGCACCACAGGTAACATAAAAGGGATAGCTTAAAAGAAATAATATCCTTTAATACCACTGTATGTAAGGAGACATCACGTGCGCTAGGCGAATAAGAAACACCAGCTCTTATCGGAGAAACTCTCGGAATGCCTGACCTTAGGATTAGAGCGGCTTTCAAGGCGAGATATCTACTATTCTTTAGTTAAGCTTCCTTTCCAAGCCCCCGAAATGACATCAGACCTTTTTGACCCCGACTGGACAGGGGTGGTTTGCTGAAGAGGCGAGAAACGGCGTCGACGAATCGATAGATAGCACTATAATCACGACGAGTTTCTTCGTCAAAAACTAATATATAAGAGTTCGGTAGCTATGAAATAATATATATTAACATCCTCCACTGCGTAGCGAAACCACGCCGTAGCGAGAAAATTCATAGGTACCTCGTCTTCAAAGGACAGCAAAATCTTCCCACATCGAGTTTCCTACCTGGTGATGCTTGCACTAGATGCGCCAGGTCTTCCTCTGCCTTCTACCTGCTGCTACCTGAAAAATTACCAGCCTTGTCGTCCACGTCGCGCCGAGAACGACGGTGCCCGATTTTGCGACATATCAGGGCACCCCCGCTGCGGCTTCAGCGCCACGCGTTTGGAGCTTCAAATAATTATAATTTAATGGTATTCCAGCTTCGGAGCCTTGCAATCATACTAACTAGTCACCGCTAGCCTTGCGGCGGCAATGTAGGGATGATTCATGCAGGGTTCGCCACTCCGATCGGTACCTCTTAATCTAAGCGAGTAGGCCTGCACGCTCACATAATCATTACAGTGTAATATAAGCCTAAGCGGTCGACAAGCCAAGACTGTGGCTGGTAGGTCTGTGGCACAGCGCCCCCGATAGCGATACTGTATCAGTGGGTGGAAATCTCGTACTATCCTTGTCTGGCTCCCTTATTCGATTCACGCAACCGCTGAGCCTTGTAGTAAAATCGATCTGACACCACTGAGAGACAGCTGTGCAGGAGCCAAAAGTTTACCTTACTTTAAAGCAACGATCCGCACCGGGTTTCGGTGTGCAGCGCAAGGCTTCTAATGACATTTAGGCGACATGAGCGTCCCTTCACCGGCCAGTCTGCGCCACGATGCAGCCTCGCGGGCAGCGCCTACGACAACCACCGCACCACCACCTCACGGTCGGTCCCTCCGACGTCTGCCTCCATACTTTCGAGCCTCAGATACCTCGCACCGACATGCCGAACGAGCCGCACGAGTCACGCCTGCCATGATATCGCGCATCAGCCATGGCCCTCATGCGCCTCCTGCAGCGCAGACCGGACGGTACTGTCATCCTTTGCGAACCCACCAGCGATCATGTGCCTGCCTACGCAATACTCTCTCACACATGGGGACAGGAGGAAGTCACCTTTCAGGACATGGAAGCCAACAGTGACATGAGCAAGACTGTCAGCAAGGCCGGGTGGAGGAAGATAGAGTTCTGCGCGAAGCAGGCCGCAGCTGATGGGCTACAGTACTTCTGGGTAGATACGTGCTGCATTGACAAAAAGAATGCGGTCGAGCTGGGCGCGGCGATCAACTCTATGTTTCGGTGGTACCAGAATGCCGTGCGCTGCTACGTCTACCTTTTGGATGTGTCGAAGCCAGGCAATAGAACCGGCGGTGAAAGGGCTTGGGAGGAGGCCTTTAGGACGAGTCGATGGTTTACACGAGGCTGGACGCTTCAAGAGCTGATCGCACCAAGGGAGGTTGACTTCTTTAGCGCAGAGGGGCACCGACTGGGTACCAAACTGTCGCTTGCGGCTGAGATACACGAGATCACGGACATCCCAGAAAAAGCACTCCGAGGCGATGCGCTGTCGAACTTCAGCATCAGCGAGCGGAGGTCCTGGGCCGAGCGCCGCAATACCACGATTGAAGAGGATGAAGTATATTGTCTGCTCGGAATCTTCGATGTTTCTATGCCATTAATCTATGGGGAAAGAAGAGATCAAGCCTTCCGGCGGCTAGAGGAAGAGATCCACAAGCTGTACAAGGGTAATATCTTGCCTAGATGTGCCGACTAGATCGATAGAACTGACTAGCACAGGTGCGGACTTTGAACAATATGCCGTCAGACTCAATCTGAGGTCGTTTGCTGAAGCCGCACAGTTTGTGGCTAGAGAGGAGGAGCTGTCGAAGATGCATGAGCTGCTCTACGGTCACAGCAGCCGAGCGGCCGTCGTCCTTCACGGGCTAGGAGGGATTGGGAAGACTCAGCTAGCAGTCGAATACGTCAGACGGCATAAGGAGAAGCACACAGCGATCTTCTGGCTGAATGCGAATGATGAAGACTCTCTCCGGCTCAGCTTTCGCGGCATCGTGCGGCAAGTCCTGCAGTATCACCCCTCGACGAGAGTGCTCGGTGGTATAGACCTGGAAGGAGACCTCGATCGAGTGGTTAGTGCAGTCAAGGCCTGGCTCGATCTCCCGGGAAATGCACGTTGGCTGCTGATCTACGATAACTACGACAACCCCCGAACCCCTGGTAGTTTTGACCGTACGACAGTGGATATACGTAAATATCTGCCCGAAAGTGACCACGGATCGATTATTATCACAACACGCTCAGCGCGAGTTACCCAAGGTCGGCGGCTCCACGTTCAGAAGTTGACAGCTCTGGAGGACGGGCTCAAGATTTTAGCGAACACGTCCGGAAGGGGAGGCATTGAAGACGGTGAGTTATATAATTGTCAAATAGGCTGGTCAGGGCTAACGATACAGATTCTAATGCGAAAGCGCTCGTCTCGAAGCTGGATGGCCTGCCTCTCGCTCTCTCCACAGCTGGTGCTTACCTAGAGCACGTGACCGACAGCTTCGCGGAGTATCTTCGGCTGTACGAGGCATCATGGTTAGAACTCCAGACCACAAGTCCAACGCTGAGCTCATACGAAGACCGGTCACTATATACAACATGGCAGGTCACGCTCGATCAGATACGAAAACAGAATGTAGCGTCGGCTCAGTTGCTCAAGCTGTGGGCCTATTTCGACAAGCAAGACATGTGGTTTGAACTTCTTCGACATGCACACTTTGCGGACGATAAGCGGATACAGAAGGTTACCGAGAACAAGCTAAGCTTTAATAAAGCAGTTCGACTACTATGCGAATACGGCCTAGCTCACCCAGAGCCTTCGCTTAGCCAACCATCTGAGTCTAGAGGGTACGGAGTGCATAGCTGTGTGCACTCATGGACGATATCTGTCTTAAACAGCGAGTGGGATGACAGTATGGCACAGCTAGCTCTAACTTGTGTGGCATCCGAAGTCCCTAGTAGGGATGTAGACGAATGGTGGCTCCTAGAGCAGCGGCTGCTCCAACATGTTGCGCGACATGAAAAGTTTGTTAGGAACGGCAAGGTGGATATTAAGGGAATGGAATGGGCACTGCACAACCTGGGTGACCTCTACGCGGACCAAGGCAGGCTGGCGAAGGCAGAGGCCATGTACAATCGGGCGCTGCAGGGCAAGGAGGAGGCACTCGGAGCGAAGCACATATCGACACTCGAGACGGTCAACAACCTAGGCACCCTCTACGCGGGCCAAGGCAGGCTAGCGGAGGCAGAGGCCATGTACAATCGGGCGCTGCAGGGCAAGGAGGAGGCACTTGGAGCGAAGCACATATCGACACTCGAGACGGTCAACAACCTAGGCATCCTCTACGCGGACCAAGGCAGGCTAGCGGAGGCAGAGGCCATGTACAATCGGGCGCTGCAAGGCAAGGAGGCACTCGGAGCGAAGCACATATCGACACTCAAGACGGTCAACAACCTAGGCAACCTCTACGCGGACCAAGGCAGGCTAGCGGAGGCAGAGGCCATGTACAATTGGGCGCTGCAGGGCAAGGAGGAGGCACTTGGAGCGAAGCACACATCGACACTCGATACGGTCAACAACCTAGGCACCCTCTACTTGAACCAAGGCAGGCTGGCGGAGGCAGAGGCCATATACGACCGGGCGCTGCAAGGCTACGAGGAGGCAATTAAGCCCGAGCTTCTACCGACGTATTTGCCAGCGTTGAACAACTTTATCGCGTCCGGCGACCTCTACGCGAGAACAGGTCGTGAAGACGCGGCAAAGGAAATGTATAGTCGGGCATTGGCTGGGTACACGTTGGTCCAGGGACCTTCTTCGAAATGGTGCAAGCCGCTGGAAGATCGACTCCAAGCGTTGCAACTTGCGAGTCCACGCCAAGGCGAGGGAGCAGACATCGAGTCGCCAAGATACGGGCCACTGAAGCGGAAACACTCTGCGATCTCAGAAGGTGAATTGACATAAAATGAGCAACATACGCCGAGATTAAGATACACTCTCCGCTACCACATACGCGCTACTGGGGCTCTCCATGGCTTCGGCACAGTCTCAGCCTGCGGTGTCGTATGGGCAACAGCCTCTGGCTTTAAGGGGCCAGCCTCGGCTTTCGCAACCTGCGCTTCGCTCCTCTGTACAACCTTTGCCTTAGACTTTGAGGGACTAGCTTCTACTACCTGTAGTTTACTTCTCCGCGCGGCCTTGGCCCTGGGCTCTGAGGGACCAGCTTCGCATTCTGTAATCTGCGTCTTACTTATCCGCGCTACCTTGGCCTTCGGCTCGGACATTTCCATAGCACTCTTCCGGGGTCGACCACGTTTCTTGCCTGTAATAGCTTCCCGGGCCTCTTTGGCAGCCTTCTTTGCCTCTTTCTCCGCACGCGCTTCTCGCGCCTTCTCAAGGTCCTCCCATATCATTACCCTCGCCTTCCCTAGTATCTTTGACTTTGTCGCTCGGCGAATTTTGCTTTTATCGTTTATTTTAGTCAGGAATCTATTATGATCGCGAAGGAGGGCGTTCTTCGCAAGGAATGTCTGGGCGGCGTGGGAGACTTTACGTTGGAGCCTATCTCTGCGTTAGATGCTCGCTTCGTTATTAGGTTCTTTGGGTACATGTTCGATCATGTCAAGCAGCCTTGCTAAATCTGCTCCTGATTTTGGCGTTGCAGGCGTTTGTAATGCATCGTATCGAGGCTGCGTCGTCGTCGCATTACTTATCGGAATCGTTAGTTCGACGGGAGGTGGAGGTGGTTTAGGTATATTAGCGAGCACTCTATTAGAATTGAATGGAAATAAACCGCTTCCTCTCTATCCTGCGAGGATGTTCCTTTTTGTAAGTGCAATGTCCCTTGCGGGACTGTAAAGATAAGTGAAATGTTGCTTGCCGATAGTGTTAACACCTCCTCGCTCTATTCGCTTAACTTGTTCGCGGTAGGCTGCCTTTAGCGGTCCAAAAGCTGCGACATCGCATGGTTAGAGCTTGTGAGAGGTGTGAGAGGGCAGACGGCATAGAATAATACTGTTCTCAAAGCAGAACTCTAGAATCTTAAGGGTCTCGTGGGTGCCAAAACCATCCTATATTAGTATACGTAGTTTACCACAAGCCCGTTCTTTAGTTTAAGGATCGAAGACAAGCTTTAGCCACTGTAAGCTAATATAGGAATCTGAAAATCCTGTTTCGGAGAGAGCATAGACCCAGCCAGGGGTCGAGAAGGTAGTCCAGTTAGCTCGATAGGTTAAGGCGGGCCAGACTATCATAGGATTGAGACACCTACCATCGGCGGAGATACATTCTACTGTAGTTACCATAGTCCGCTTGACGCGCGCGCCTCTACAGCTACCTTGTATATTATCCTTACTAACAAGGACTTTAACAGAGTTAGGCATGCTTAGCATAACTCTAGTCTCATCCATATTGTAAACATTCTCTGGTAAGACGCTTTGTAGCTCCTTTCCGATCACTTCGAACTAGTCTAAGACCTTGTCATAGATATTAAACCGGTTCCAGTCCTGCGCCCGCTTCTTTCTCGCTACGATCTCTAGGCGGCGTTTTTCGAGTGCCTTAGCCCAGTTAACGCCCGGAGGCTTCTGTGGTCTATCCGCTCGAGCCCGACAGTAGGTTGCACTGAACGCTAGTGACTCTACATACTTCATTCGTACAGATTGTCCTAGAGAAGTCATATGTAATAGGAAATTGACGACAGCGTTCTCTTCGCATGGTGTAAGGTACTGCTAGCTTTGCGCTTTGGCTTCTCTCGAGCGTCGTCCGCGTGCGCGATGGTGGAGAGTAGATAGCGGGACGTTGCCGTGTGCGGCTCGCGCAGACCAGGTGTTAGGTATGCCTTCGGGGACACCTTCGGCCAGTACACGACTGGCTTTATCCATATTAGCTTGCTGTAGTGATAGTAATGGTGGTCAGTTGTGAGGCAGTTCAGCCAGCAACGAGTGCCAGTGAGGCTCGACCAAACTGAACAAACTGAGCAAAGCAGACAAACATGCTTGGCACTCACGTGGGCTTTAGCCACAGATAACATAACGACGCTAAGATTCGATACAGAGGATAGATTACCACTAATACATATTGGGCGTCGCCCTAGCGGCAGTATACGAGGACCCCTCGGCGAAACTCTCGGATTTCTCAGCCTCACGCCTACTAACTCTGAAATTCAGGTAGGTAAATTATTGCTCACAGCGCTCGAGTGTTTGAGCTCCGAAATCGGAACAAGTGTTAGCAGTCGCTGTCGGATAGGGTAAAGCGTTAAATACAGATCCTAAAGCAATGACGGTCCAATCGGCGGCGATACTAACGCGATAGTAATTTTCCTACTGTATGCTAGTACGACGTGTAGAAATAGCTGAAGAAGGTGACCGGACTAGCGATGGAAGTTATTCCCCGCGTGGGGAAGACTTATAGTGCTGAAATAGTAGATTCATCTCGCTACGGTGTGGTTCTCGCTACGCAGTGAGGGATGTTACATTTGCGGGAAAAAAAATAAGAAGACCTTAAAGGCAAATCTGTTTCGCTACACCGTGCGTTTCGCGACGAGAGGATTGACGTTATATATTGAAGTTTGCACAGAGTTATAGTCGTGTAAAGTCAAACTACCCCTTATATTTTCCGGTACGGTTGGTTTTCCGCCACCCATGGGCGGACGTTACAAAACTTCCAAGAGTACTTCCCCGGATAACCCAGAGTGCGAAAGCACTCGCCTAGATTTAGTCCTTAGAGCATCCCGCAGTATTCACTCGGTGACCCAAACTTCCGCTGGCATTCGTAGTCTTACGACCTCAGGCCTCCTAGCCACGCCAAGGCTCCAGCTATATAGGAGGTGCAGGTGGCATTACTGCACAACCTGCGTTAAAAAAAAATTAAAATAAAAATGACACGCAGGCCCTTACCCAGCCCTCCCCTGACCCCTATCAAGCATTTTACTTGCATTGATGGACTGGCCCCCACGCGCCGGTTTAAAAAGCTGAACAGAGCCCCAAAGCAGGCTCCACGAAGCTGGCCGAAGCCTTTAAAATCTTGAGCTCAAAACCAAGCTCAGAAAAATGTGGCCGAGACCACTTTAAACCATTAAAAAAATGACGAAGATGGGATCCTTACTCAGCCCTCCCCTGTCCCCTATCAGGCATTTTACTTGCACTGATGGACTGACCCCCACCTCGTCGGTTTTAAAACGTAACCAAATTCCTCAACTGCTCGGAAGCAGGAAGCCAATTAACAAAAGGGTCTCTTGAGGAGCGCAGCACTGCTGACGGTCATCGAGAGAAACGAATGCGAATGGGACCTTACCCGGTCTCGCCCACCCCCGACCTTGGAGATTATGTTCAACCAGGTCAGACCAGCCCCCATCGCGATGTTTTAAAATTGGGAATGTACTCCACGGGCGCCGTTCCCTGCGTAATCGCCTCGTGGGTTTTAAACCATAAAATAGGGGAAGAAGACTCACAGGCGCCGTCCCCGGCGTATCGCCTCGTGAGGTGGTTAAAAAAGGGGGGATTAAAGCCCACGGGGACCGCCCCCCCATCGTTATTCCCAGTGGGCACACAAACAGCAAAAAAGTACTACGCTTCAGGAAATAATCAACCGAAGTCCAGTGGTTTACGAAATGCAAGCGAAAACGAGAACGCTCAGACACTCCGCCCAAAAAGCAACAACTTTTGCCCCGCATCGATCACCGATGCGGAGTTCGTCCTGAACGGGGAACGAGCCTACTCAATACGTAGGGGTTCTCCTAGCGGCATCGCCGGGTAACTGGCCTTCACCAGAACGTAATTACCCGGCACCGCTATGACCAAAAAAATCGGGTTTCTTTCGAATCCCTTTAGAGGACTCCCCAGGCAACAGGCCTACGCCAGTACGTAATTACCTAGTTCGTCCTCTCTTCCCCGGACTTTGAATCCAGGGGCGTCCAGCTATATACCCACAAAAAAAATGTGTGGAGTATGAGCGAGGAACGGGGGACCTAGTCACGCACCCTTGCCATGCAAGTCTTTGTCACCTTGCACAGTCCTCGCTTTGCTGAACTTTTGAGCCTTTTCCCATCGGCGCTCGTGGATGTTCATTACCACTTGTTCGTGCGCCTCCCACCCGCCAAAGGCTCGTTGAATATTGATGTTGCTTTGGATGTTGTTTGTTGCTGTGGTTTGTTGGGGGAGGAAAGAAGATTCCGGGGCAGGAATTGGAGAGGCTTTTATATCCCCTACTGTGCAGCTACTGGGCATGAATAATGGCGTTGTGTGGCCGATACTGGGTTGAGTCAAAGGGAACGTTAGTACACTATGTCTTTGTTCCATGGGTCAAGAGCGCAACCTTCCGTGAAGGCCACCCAGGCACAAAGCAGTCCCGACAACCTACTTCTATTGTGCAGCTCGCCGTCTATAATTAGACTGAGACTGAGACTTTACTAGAGTTTCGCTCGGAGGGAGACCCGTGTCTAGCAAGGCGCTTCAGCTCTGCGGACATTGGATCACGCTACAGTAGTTGCCGGAACGGGAGGCTCTAAATTTGTGGTCGGGAAGATACTTTCGTGAAAGAGACTCGGTGCTTCCAGTTGGAGTTTAGGTCGCCTATTCGCATTCGACCCGAAACCTATGCCTCGAATACGTTTCCTCACAAGCGATCAACCGTGGTGATATCATGATGGTCTTTGTCTGTTTTTAGACGGTCCCTGATGCTTCTGACCAAGTGCTGATGTCGGTGGAAGGCGCATTGTTGGAGATGGCGGCGGAGCGTTCCAAACCCCTTAGTCCACAAACCCCTGGAAATAGGCCCGATAACAATGAGAACTCTGCGCTGGGAGCTCTTACATCTTGGAAGAAAGAGACCCAGGGCTGGTTCTGAGCCAGCCTTCCCGCCAGGAGGTTCAATGTCACGCTCCAGACAATGTATGTGTAAGTCGCGGAAGATGCTGAGGTCGGCGAACGGTGTGACTTCGCCTTCGGGATAAGCCCGATAAATACTCTCTTGGCCTAAGCCTCCAAACACGCCGGTAACCCCTAATTCCGATCTTTTCATCCGTTATGTCTCGATGCTGTCTATCTTCAGCAGCTGAAAGTTGGATTGGTGGGAGATCGGAGCTAAGATTTTCGTGTTCCAGGAGGCAAGATGCTCTCTGATAGCGAGTGAACGGCCCCTGACGACGCAGCCAGGTTTATGAAACACTTCTCTACCTGATGACGCCCTTCATCCTCCCGATCTCATTCTACGTCCGGCCATCTTTTTGTTGGATATTGCTCGCCTCAACGATCGTGATGTATCTCATCAACGTCGTAATCTTCAATGAAGTCCATCTGCCGCGGAAGAAGGAGCGCATTGGCTAGGTGGTGCTATACGTGTATTACCTGCCGTATAAGATTGCCCTGACGGGAATAAACGTCGCAAGCTGTTACTTATAAGTCCTACGCTGCCCCAACGGCTTTTCGTACGCTGGTGCCTTGTTAGGTCGCTCTGGAAATACGCCCGCTACTTTGCAAAGCGTCATCCAGAAGTCGTGGAAGACGAAAAAGCCGTGGAAGTGGTCGTGAGATTAGAAGAGGATGCTTTTGCAGCGGAGTCCGGAATGGGTCGTCAGCTCACGGTGTGCACCATGGGCACAAAGGCCGTTTATGTTGGCTATGGTGATGATTCAGCGCCCCCTAACCGGGCATCCACTGCCCGGGGCGCCGAAGACTCCCGTGGATCCGTTTTCGTGCCGGCCCCATTAGATCCGGGTAGGAATACGCCAGCAAGGGGGATGGAGGGTATAAGCGCCTTCGATTTCACGGCCCACCAGAATCATCACGCAAGCGTTGATGGACCGCCCCGATCCACTACGAGCGTGCAAAACAATGCGGAGGGTACGTGTTCAGGCGGTCGTGTGAGCGTGATCACCTGGGTGTAAGGCATCGTTCATAGGACCTGCTGCCCGAATGGCGGAGTATGAAATAAAGGTGAAAAGTCGACAGGGCCTTCGCGGTTCAGAAGTGTAATATTCGGTAGTGCGGGGATAGTACCGTGACTCCTTCAATCTAAGTGCCTATAGGCTTCAGCCTCAGAGCCAAAGAAGTGGTCCAGCTCCCGTACAAACTGGCTGAACATGAGGTCGAGGAGCTCGTGCAGAAGGCAGATACCTGTTTGGTACGCGATTCGCACAGCTAACGAGAATGAAGAGGGAGAACAGGTTGCCTTAAGAGTTGCTCTGCTCAAGGATGCAGATGATGTCGTTGGATGAAGAGAGCGGCTTCGGGCAGAGAGGCAGGAATGAAGGTCGGACGAAACGTCCCGTGGACGTTGGCGAGGCTAAACCACAAGAGGACTGGCCATCACGTCTTATCGTAGGAACCACTGCACCGGATCTGCCCTCTTCGATGACGCGCAACTACTCTCTCGATTTACCGTCTAGATGCCTACAATTCCTTCCAAGATCGAATGAACAACGGAATATGGGGGCCCTAAGTGAGATGGTAGAACAATGTGTGAGACTGAACTTGATTAGCATAGTAGCCACACGGGAAGTCCTGTGGTATTGAATTCAAATTCAAGCGATATAAAATGTGTTCCTTTTTACGCGTACTCCAGTCTACCCGCTTGTCCATCTAACGTCTTATCCCAATCGACGCCGGCACGCCCGCTCCCGCTCGCCTCCTCTACGACCCCTCCGACGCATCAGCCGTCAAGTTATAAATCTTCTGAATGCTCTTCAACTGGCCCTCAAAATCGATTTCCAAATCCTTCAGCAACCCATCCTTAAACCCAAACACCCACCCGTGGACAACCGGAAACCCGCCCCTGGCATAGCTCTGCTGCACCGCTGCCGTCTTAATCACATTCCTGCACTGCTCCACCACATTCAGCTCGACCAGCCGATCATATTTCTTCTCCTCGTCTTCGATCGTATCGAGCTCCGCTTCGTGCAGCCTATACACGTCGCGGATGTTGCGCAGCCAGGGGTTGAGGAGGCCCATGTCTTTCGGGGTCATGGCGGCCTTGACGCCGCCGCAGCCGTAGTGTCCGCACACGATGACGTGCTTGACGTGGAGGTGTCGCACTGCGTAGTTGACCACAGACATGACGTTTAGGTCGGTGTTGCAGACGAGGTTGGCAATGTTGCGGTGGATGAACATTTCGCCGGGCCCGAGGCCGGTGATGGCTTCGGCGGGTATGCGGGAGTCGGAGCAGCCTTATCAAATTTATTAGCCCTCGCCTCATTTTTCCTATATGCCAATCGATGATCCAATGCAGCTCAAAGCTGTCTAACCCGCGGAGAAGGCTGGGAGGGAGATATGGGCGCGATCGCGGGCCAATTGACTCACCAATCCATAGATAATCCGGGCTCTGACCCGCGCTCAAGTTCGTAAAGAACTCGGGATGCTTCGCCTTCTGCTCCTCGGCCCACCTCTTGTTGTTCTCGAAGATGCGGTCATGGCTCTGCTGCAGGTACTTCTTGACCTGGCTCGGAGGCTGGCTTTCCAGTTCCTGGGATGACATCCTTATCGTCGAGCAGTACCGGACTCCCAAAATTCGCAGCTGATCCAATCGTGGTGTCGCGTTCAATTGCTGCTGGAAGGGCGTGTGCCTCGCAGCTAGAAACCCAAGAAAGGGAGAAGCAGAAGAGGAGGGAAAGACCGTCCCACGCGGCCGTACAAATACCCCCGGCGCTCGGGCGACGTGGGGCAGTGCCGCTCTTGGCCTCACACACGGCATTCTTTGGTCCCTGTCACCCGTCCAACGTTTCTCCGGCCCTCCCTTCGGTTCCCGTTGACTTATGTGTTGAGCTTCTCGGGTTGCACGCTACGCTGATTGGATCTGACGTCAACTGGCGCGAAAGATTTGCATCCCTGCAGAAGCAAAGCTAGACCGCTAAACCCCGCGCTGATCTAGCGCGCCAAGAGATTCCTGATGATGAGAATCGCATCATTACATGGTTGGGGGTTAGGATCGTTTCTTTTTCGTCTGATATTGAGTGGATAGAATGGCGGAGATGCAGTTATCAGACAAAGAGACAGACATCATTGAGGAACATGCGCGGAGACTGTTGGAGAAGAGAGAGTGGCTCAAGACGATCTGCCCTTCCGAGATCGCCCGCGCGTTATCGGAGAAAGAATTGGAAATCTTGAATGCATCGGGATGGCGAGATACGATGGACAAGATAAGATCGGTAGTGTGGGAGCTAAGAGAGAATGGAGTAGTTGAGCTGCTACAGAAGGGCCAAGCCATTATTACGACAAAGCTCGAGGATATTCACGGCCCGATCCGCGTCAGAGCCAGACAGTAGTGAGCAGAATGGCGCCTAAATATCGGGCGTGTAAAGTTATCCATAGTGAGTCTCTTCTGCTGAACAATAGATTATATATGTAACGCAACGGTAAACTCGTATGAAGTAGCCAAGCGCCTTGGGTATCAATGGTGTCGACCTGTCTACTTCCTCCTGTTGACAACTCCGACGGGCTCGTCCTTGGCCATCCCGCAGGCTTAGGGGTGGGCAGCGCCACTTCCATCGAGGCCCTGCCACTTATGATCCCAGCCGCTTCCCGGGTCCGTGGCATTACCAGCGGCCCCCTCTTCAGCCAGCTTCCGGATGTCGCTCCAGTACTCCAGCTTCTTGCATTCTGCGTCAGCAGCCTCGACCGCCTTCAGCAGGTTATTGATCCTGCGTTCTTCCATTTCATTCTCAGATTCGCCTCTCTCCTTATGCTCTTGGCGGTGTTCCTTTGCGGCGTCGAAGGTGTTCATCAGTGTGGAGAGGAGCTGGCGGCGCGAGTTTTGGAATATGAGCATAGACATTATGGCCGGTATCTAGCGTCGTCAATATTCGGAAAAACAAACAGAAATGTAGACCTCAGGTGGGCATACCTGGTCGGCCAAGTAGTGCAATTCCTCGCCGCCCTCATCAATGAACTTGTTGATCAGAATGATCTTCTCCCGATCGATGGCCGCCTTCTTTAGCATCCTCATCAACGTCGCAATGTCTCTGACTTCTTCCTCGAGCGACTGCTCCCTAGTTTCTTGCAAGCTGGCCGCGAACGTGCTCGTCCTCGCCAGAGTCGTGCCGATGCTGAACGTTTCTCCAAACAGCCTCTCCCTGTTCTCCTTCGTCTTTGGGGGTAGCTTCTGCTTCCCCCGTTTCCGCAGCCAACGTCTCCGCCGCACGAAGCTGTGAAACCAAGGGTGATTTCCATGCCACACAGCACCTCTGAACCACAAACTGTATTCCCACCCTTCCTCATCTACATCATGGCTCATGTCCACATACCAGCTCTTCCATTCCCATACCCAGCTAGGGTCAGGTACCTGTGCGTTTGTGATGTTCACGGGCGACGGCTTGAGCTTCGCGTCGACCCAGGGCGCCTGGTCGACCTTGAGATTCCACAGCGCTTTCGATGAGAAGAGCGGTATGCCGAAGACAAACCAGCCGCGCTGGTTCTCGTATAGCACGTCGATGTGTGAGGATGCGCTCGGTGGTGGTTGCTCGGGGCGTCGTTCGGGTGTCTGCTCGCCGTCGGTGTGGTCGACGAGAGAAATCTGCGGCTCCGCCATGTTGTGGTGGTAGTGGGTGAAAGAAGGAAGTAGTGTTAGGCTTCACGCCGTTGCTATGGTGGAACCATGAGGCTGGGTGACAGCTAGGCAAGAGCGTTGGGGCAAGCGCTAGAATTAGGGGCAGCGACCAGACGCGGCACGATGCAGTAGACACTAGAGAATGCAATTACAACGGAACAGCATAAACGAACTTGCACCAGCACTTGGCACAAGAAGAATAGGAAGCAAAGGACATGCGATGAATATCGTGGACTTGTTGGAGCTGACGATCCAGTTCACAAGAGGCCGCGGCGCTGGCCCGTGCTTAATCTGATACGTCATAACCATGCAGTGCCTTGAAGCCTCCGCATCCTCGTATAGAATCACCCCACCCATAAGTACCCCGGATCCTGCACATACAAACGACATATCAAAGTAAGCTGCTCGATTTGCGCGTCTACAGCCCAATCCATCTACAACCATGTCTGGAAAGCGCCTTCTCACCTTTGGTGGTCTTGCCGCGGTCGGCGGGGGCGCGTACTACCTGTACAGCGCTGGAGGAGACCCGAAGCTTGCGCAGAAGCAGCTGGAACGTATGTCACCTATCATTGTACCATCGAATGTCGGGCGACGAAGCTAACCTGCATAGATGATGCCGCGTCTGCGTCCGCGAAAGTGAGGGGCGAGATGCCCGGCCGCGAAAAGGAAGCAAAGAAGGCAGGCGAGGAGGGCTACGAGACGGTGCGCGCGAAAGCACAGAGCATGGTATGTACTGTGTATTTCCCTACAAGATCACCGCTCAGCGGGTGACGTTGATGCCTTGAGCTAACGATGTTGAACAGGCCGACGAGGCCAAAGCCGAAGTGAACAAGGCCGGCAAAACGCTCGACGCCTACCGCCAGGACGCGGGCAAGAAGCTCGAGGAGACCAGGCAAACAACCGGCAAGGACTTCAATGCGGCTGTGGACAAGTTCGACAAGAAGGTCACGGAAGGTGCAAGGGAGACAAAGAGCTGGTTTGGCTCTTGGTTCGGCGGGAAGTAAAGAGGAGTAAGAATGACTGTGAACGCCATTGAAGAGAGGTGGACGGCTGATCGCGGACCTGTTATATCTTTAGTTGCCGCACTCCGAATGATGCATGCCGGCACTCTGCATAGGTTGTAGTGATAGTAGGTCTTTTTGTCATAGCATCAACTCCAGTCTCACATATCCGTCTTCTCGTTAAGCTCCGTAATCTTTGATGCACTCGTAACAGTCCTACTTACGTTCTGGTTGGTTCTGTCCTGATATTTTACTTCTAGCGTCGGCGCTCAATGTACAGCGCCTGCGCATCCCTTCCCGCACCATTTGATACTCTTCAGTATGCGCCAACATTGCCCAATACCCATGTTGCAATTTGCCATGCCATTTCCAGCTATTCACTTTCACTTTCGTCGGCAGGGAGAGACTGAGTGGATGGTTTCAGTTCACTGGACGCGTTCGCTGTCTACATCCAGGATAAATTCTCTCTTTCACCGACATTTCGAATCTCGCACTGGCTATCGTACCTCAAGCGATCAGGACTGCACTGCATCCATCGTATAATGCTGTCGCAGAAATTCCACTTTCCAGCGACGACGCGTCGCTAATTGGCCGACACGTCGAAACGCGACAATGCGCGTACCCCTGCCGCACTAGCGCTGTTTTGCCAGCCCCTCGACCTCATAACAACTCTCTCAACTCCCCTCATTCACAGTCTCGACTCCATTACCACTCCGATATTCCTCCCGTGACATTGTTCTATCATATCTCTCTACCGTATCATTCAATCTACTATCGATTACCGTAACAATGTCGCCCATCTATTCATCGGGCACGCTGCCAACCGAACTCGTCAATCTCCTCGCACTGCACTCCTCGTTTCTTACCGCGCTGTCGCTGCATTACGCGCATAATGGGACCGCCACGCCTGTCGATCTGAGGGACCTAACGGGCTCGGTGTCGAATGTCTGGCGGATGCGGAAAGTTACGTACGATGATATCCGCCTGGTTGTTGGTGTCCTGGGCCATGGACCCGCTGGGTGCAACGACCCTTTTTACCTCTCCGACTACGGGCGCGGAAAGATCTGCCTCGAGATGCGCGACGAGCACAAGACGATGGGAGGGTTTGGCACACTCAACGAAGAAGCGCTGAAGGTCATGTTTATGGAGAGCCTGGATCATTTGTGGAGGCAGTGGACTGTCGCGACGAAGACACCCGCGCGCCCGACTGCGACCCCAAAGCGCCGCGGACGACCGCGAAAGACCGACGCAAAGCAACCCAGCATCCAGCCCTTCACCTGCGAGCCCTCAATCACCAAGTTCATCGCCCAGCTTCCGCACGCAGACATTGCGCCGTGCGCCTCGCTCACCGCTGTCGCTCCCCTGCAAGAGAAAGGACGGAAGAGGCTCCGCGATTTCAAAGACAGCGTGCAGCAAGGCCGGGCGCAGAAGAAAGCGAGGGAGACAACGGGGAAGGAGAACGAGCCTGCTCCGCAGCAGACTCAGGCACAAGCACAAGCGGTCCAGACGAAGATGACAGACTTCGCCTCCGTCCGGAAAACCAACCTCCTCGACCGCATCCTCGCGAAGCAAGCCGCTGCAGCTGCCGGTCCCACGCCGCCCTCGCCCGCTGAACTCCAGCGCAAAGCCGCGCTCCAGCGCGCTCAAGAAGTGTTGCACATACTCTCTCTTCTTTGCGCCAGCAAACCCGGTCTACGCGTTTCGTTTTCGCTAGCCTCGCTAGTGCAGTCTCTGCAAAGTTCGATCCGTACTCCGCTATCGAAAGAGGAGGTTGTGAAGTGTGTCGAGGTGCTGGCGAACGAGGTTGTTCCGGGGTATATGAGCGTGGTGCGGATGGGCGCCATGGCTAGTGTGGTTGTCAATCAGGCGATGAGACCCACGGATGTCAGGGGAAGGCTTGCTGCGCTGGGTGTGGCTGCTTGAAGTGCTGTATTATTGTTTTGCATAGCGTTATTAAGGGTGGTGGGTGGGGAAGTGGGAGGCGTGTTTGTTTAGTGTAGCGTTCGAGCTCAATTGCATAATCCTTTCTTCGTTCATGGTCTAAGATCCATTATCTTGAGCGTATTCAAGTGTCCTCTCATCAGGCAGCCTGAATAGCTCCACTGCCTTTTATGCGGGTCAAGAGCAGTGGGTTTATCTATTTACGCACCCCAGGCACGCCCATAGCGTGTTCCAAGTTACATATACGCCCGGCGTATCTAGTCCCAGGACCAGCTCGTAATCTCCATCAGCAATGCACCCAAGATCTTCTTCGGCCCAAAGATTTACACCGGCGCGCCATTCTCCTGCTTCACAGCTCGCCCGCGCCACCCTCGACTCCTTTCACGATATCACGTCCACAGAGGCGACGACACACGCCCGCATTTGTCATGCCATTCACCCGTGAAGAGGATGACATGGCTGACTGGTACGCAATCCTCCCTTTTCAATCCCGGTCTCCTCAGCCAACTCTAACCGCAGGCATAACGCTGTCCACAACGCCGATACACACTTTCCCTTTCTCACGGTTCGTTGATATCTTAGATGCATGAAGATTGAGTTCTGTCAATACCAAGTTGGTAGAGCTTTTATTACCAACGACACCCTCTCATTAGAGATGAATTTTGATCGTCACTCCTCAGCGTCGAAAAACTCCTCGTTATCATCGGAATCACCGCTTTCGATCGGAGTCATTCCAACACTTTCCATATCCCTTGACAACTTTTCTTGTACATGCTCACCGAGGAACCTAGCTAGTTCAAATGGTTTCATGGGCTTGTCAAATATATTGCTTACGTGCAATCGGGGGAATCGGTGCACCTCGCCAACCTTGAAAGGACTTGCTCCCTTTGCCAGCAGATACCTAGCCTTTTCACAACTCCCACCCTTGCGCCTATTGGTCGGCGAATCGATGGCATAATGGAGAGGTGTCCAGCCCCACTGATCCTGTCGGTCGATATCTGTAACACCATACTTCTCAATTAGATAGCGTAGAGTGCGCACGCTGTAAGCCTCATTGGCCGCTATGTGGAGCGCAGATCGCCCATCGGGCCAAAGGATTTTCACGTCGACTCCGTTCTGAATCAAGAAGTCGATACATGCCTCAGACTCGTTACTAGCGGTAATAGCAAGGTGCAATGCCGAGTACCCGTGTTGATCAATCAGGTCGAAATCCACGTAGTGTTGGTCGCGGAGGAGCCGAAGAAAGCGCAGCCTACTCCAGGTAGGATTCTCGGTATGATTGAAATTTGCCATTGTCACTGTTCTGCCGTGCGCCGACTCGTGGATAGATGCGCCAGATTGGAGCAAGAGACTCAGAATCTCTAACCAGACCGAGGATTGGGGCGGGTATTGCGCAAAACTCTTCCTTCTCAGCGTTGTTTGAGTGCGGAAACCGAGAGTAGCGAAGACAGGAAGCCTAATTTCAGTCAATTGGGGCATGTCAATATTTACTCAATAAAGACTTACACGCTCTCATCGTCGCCCATGTTAGGATCAGCTCGGAATTCGAGAAGACACTTTACAGTTTCTACATCGTTTGATGAGATAGCCAGCTAACTTCATCAGTGAAAAATCACCGTTGAAGATGGGTCGAACTTACCAACAGCGGCGTCTTTCCAGTGCAGATTGTTCTGCTACGTATCAGGCTTTCATCTTGCTCAAGGCTTTGCTTCACGAAAGGCATATCCCCTCGAGCACACGCGAGCATGAAGGGCGAATCTTTGGGTAACTGGTTCTGAACGCGGATTTCCTGCGTGAAGTTGCCGGTGCCATTGAGGAAGTGACTGTATTGTAACAGAACAGACAGTGACTTCCATGGCACGCAGTGAGGCGTTTTGAACCCTAAGAGAACCTGAGTCTTCTTAGCACCGTCTGAGGTCTTCGTGAACGTGACTGTCCAGTAAAACCCAAGCGCTCGCAGCCATGCATCTGCCCTTGGGACGTGGGACCACACGGAGACTTTTCGAGATGTCCTGGGAATACCGCATTGATGTTTGGAAGGGGCTGAGATGCTTGTCTCGTACGTGATCCATGACAACCGCCTGGAAGCGCATTAGCCGGGTTCCATTTTGTGTTATAATCGGAGTCGCACAGGTTCATTTGCAGCGCGAGCCACATTAAATCGTTTCTGATATTGCGAAGTCGCTCAAGCATCTTCGCAATCTCAGAACTAAGAAACGCGAGTTTGATCTTAGTCTTCAGAGTCGGCTTGCCGCTGCTCCATCGCGAACAGTTGTGACACATTTCATCTAGTGTGTCGTTGACGTCTCTCAACTTTGAGCGCACCAGCCTCCCCAGCTCCTCCGAAGCGCGAGCGTTGTCAGCATTGCCAAAAGACCGACGGAACTCTGCAATCGTCTGTTGGGTGAATATAACGTCGTTGCGGAGGCGAGAGAGCTCAGCTGGGGAGTCTTTGATGCGGTTGCAGAAAATTGCAATGGTCTCGGTGGTCTTGATTGCTTGCCCCAGTAACTGCGCACAAGCAGCGACAGCAGCAACAGTCTCCATGGGCAATCATTCGATTAACCATACGACAGAAATGGGGCTTCAGAGTCTCATGATGCTTCGTACCGGTGAGAAGGGAGTTGAGGCAGTGTCTTCGTCCAGAGTTCCACCAACCCCGCTGTTGTACGTGGCAACAACCCCGCCACAATGTTCGCTGCCTTCGAATTCAGCCTCGCGCCTGATGGGACATCTCAACAAGCCGTCAGTTATAAAGTGCCGTGGGTTCCATAAGCGATACTTTACGCTAGGAGTCTATGAGGGCTGGTTGCTGGCTCTATAGAACATCAGAAGAGTAAGATATTCGGTTTCAGCTACCCAGCACCACTTGAGGACTGACATATAGAAGAATCATTTCATTACGAGATATTGTTGGGAATCGCCGAATGGCATCCAGCGTTTGGTATTGTGTGCGTACCCGACTCTTCTGCTACTTGCTATCCTGACAAAAATCGTCACAGTCCGTCTGTGGCGACGGCCCACATTCTATTCATCTGCAGGGTTCCTGTCTGCAATGTGGTCATGAACGCTGCAGCATGTGCGATGTAGAACCGATACAGCTAGGCGGGCATCGTTTCTTTACAACAAGCGCAATACAGAAAAACCAAAAGAGCGCGAATGGATACGAGGCTCATTGCGGAAGAAGCGATCCTCGTGAGACAATCGGGGTGGCTGGCACGGGATCTTCATCTCCCACGCATTCACGGCTGCAGACAACAAGGCTGTGAGGAGGCGAGATAGGAGAATATTCCCACCAGGATAGACTCCAATATATCTTCCCTTGCGGAATAGCATTCTGTCGAGATCGTGATCCGTACGCAGAGGGAGAAAAATTGAGGATTGAACTGAGGTTGTATTGAAAGAAGCTATGAACCGTTTTTCTAGATGTTCGTAGTAAACAGAGCTAGTCTCAAAGAGATGGTGTCACTACCTTGGTGCAGGTGAGACCATCTATCATGGTAAGAAGTACCTAGAACAGGAAAGAGCCTAAACCGTAACATAAACCGTGACACTAACAGTAGAGTCGGGATTCGCAGGCTGGCTTTTGATAAGGCCTTTGAGTTTAGCGTCTGCATAGTCGAGCTTCTCCGAGAATCTGGCTTCCACGCGCTCCGAGGCAAGTTTGAAACTTCCCATGAAAGCGCCGGCATTCGGAATATAAGTGAAATGCCCTAAAGGCACGGTTAGTGGCTCAAACACACCCTATTAATCGTGCTGAGCTTACCTTTCGGTGCGGAGCCCGCGCAACATGCAGCGAGGTACAACGGCATCGAAGACGGCATGAATGATGAAAGGCACCGGCGAAATGGTGCATACCATACCAGCCTCAGTTATAAAACCGGCCGAAGCCGAGGTGTCCTCAGGACCTGGCTTCGAGGTGCTGTGTAGCTACAACTGGCAGAAGAATGGGACAACTCTTGTTCTCGGTATATCTTATCCGTTCAGCGCATGCCTCATATTGGCTAACGTCATTGCCAGGTGCACCTCCAAAATGGGCACCCCCACCCTTGCCGGTTACTCTGACTCTGGATTCTGGTCACCAATTCGTAGACCAGTCCGCCTTTCGTGTCCCAAGATATCCATTCGAGCCAGCATTCCAAGCACCGTCCATCATGAACCCAGATATACGACTAGATGAAATTGACATCATCGTCAATCGCAACCGTCTGCGCAAGTTGCTCGATTTTGCCGCCGGGAAACGGCAGGATCCATTCCGCATGGATTTGCATATGGTGAAGGACACTCTCTTTATCAGCCGCAAAGAGAAGAACGCTCGATACATGATCCATGGTTTTCGCAACTCCGGGTACGGGCATAACCTCGAAAATGCATTCACCAAGCCCGAAGATGGATTGGATTCATCAAGTAGCCATCATAGGGTCATTCGCTATCGCCTTTGCCACCTCAACTGCGTTGTCCGGTTCGAGGTAGATGCGTATTACGAAGGCCCAGATGATCCGAGTTTGGCCGATACCTCCCCACAACCTGTTGAGGACGCCACCACCTTGATGGCGCACCTGGCTGTTAACGGACCGCCACCAAATGCAACAAGAAAAGGGGCAACTATGGTCACCCGGCGGGGGACTCACGTAAGCTCATCCAAGCTGGCCGAGATCAAAGTGGGCAAAACGGAAAAGATCAGTACATCTCTACCACAGCTCTGGTTCGGACGTACGCCATATCTCCTCACTGGCAAGCATGACACCGGCGTTGTCCATTCAGTCAGCTCCACTCACGTTGGGCTGCGGTTCAAGGAATGGGAAGCGGCTAATCAAGACAAGTTGCGCAAGTTGGTCAGCTTGCTTACGAAAATAAAGTGCATCGTGCGTGAGACAGAAGGGGGAGCTGCGATACTGCTGTGCGAGCACAGGTGGGCACCACTTCAAATTTTCAGAACCAAGAACAAAGCAGGAGTTCTGCCCAAGGACATCCTCGTGAAACACTGGGATATCGGAGCGGGTGAGGGAAAGTAAAAGCAAATAATTATAAGTGGCAAACGCATGGTTCACTGAATACCGATAGACTATGGCGACGTTGTCTTCTCGTCGAGAAGAATCTCATCTATTCCTCAAGGCCTCGTCATGCTGTCTGCGAAATGCCGCAAAGGCAGTCAAGATATTTTGCTGACTTGTTGACATGGCGGCGGTCATGAGCGGTGAAAGCAGCGGCGCAAACGCTCTTGACCAAGGACCTAATTTTTTGTTGAAGGTGTCTAGGCTGCTAGAAAATAAGATCGGCTGGCCTCGCATTTACTCATTGGAGTCAGCCAGGTTCACTGATACAGAGCCGACGTGAGACGTACTGTCGATGGGAGACGCACTGTCGATGGCAGATCGGGTGAGCCCCGGACGTCAGTTACAGTATCAAAACGCCGGAACAGAAATCAAATGATCTTGACGTCCAGCCTTTCCAAGTCGTCCAGCACGTCCAGGAGGTTGCAGAGCGGTATTGGCCCGAGCTTAAAGCACCCAGCTCTCTCATACGCATTCTGACCCACCTCTCTTCTCTCCCCGATCAGAAGCCCATACACTCTCACCCACTTCCTCCCTTCATCATAGCCCTCATCATTGGGTCCTTCTTCCTTGCGCGAATTATCTCTCTCCTCACAGAATGTCAGGGGCACACCGAACACACGTCCGTCTCCCTTTTTCTCCGGATAGTCGAAAGTAGACCCAACTTCGATGTCGAAATCTTCGAGCTCTTTACAGTAGAAATCGTTATGGTCCCAGGCACCATGTGAAAGCGTATCGCCCCCGATAGCGGGTTCAAGCGGCAGAAGCGGAGTGCGAAGTACAAGGACACCCGACTCTACCTGCCCGTATTTATTCTTCCCCGGCACAGATACCGATGCCTCGAGTATTGCTAAGCTGGGTAAAGGATGAAGAGCTTCGCTGGAGATGACGATGGCCTGGAATTGAACGGCGCCAGGATATGATGCCCAAGACCAACTAGGCGCGAGGTAGTCTTGGAGACCATTCCTAGCTGCTTGGAAGGGTGCCGTTGGTTCGAGGTCCCGGAACTTACGCCGAACTACACGGTACCACAGCAGGCCCAGTATCAGATCCGTCTTCCATAGTCCAGCAAGGTACTGATCGTCATATTGCTCAGCCACTCTTGATGCCAATGCGGAGAGAGCGGGCAGTTTGTCAACGGCGTATGTTATCGCTCGGGTTGTGTACAGTTCCACAGCCTTGTACCAAGGCACATAGGACAAATCACCGCTGGCTAAGCGTTCAGGCATGATATCTGGAAGCATGAGTTTTTTCTTCGGAAGGCCTCGACCTGCTTCAAACCAACTGTTGCCAAGGCACTCCCAGCGAAGGGAATCGGAAGCGAAGAACAAGATCCGTGGCGCAAGACAGCGTTCTTGGAGGCACCAAGCACGACCGTCAAGTGGATCGTACACCAGCTTCGGCGTGGGTGGAAGGCTGGTATAGATGCGCGTTGCTCTGTCATGTAGGCGATCGCCGTCCTCGGAAGGAAGGCAGATGTCAACCGTCAAAACTAGTCCTTCATCCCGGGGCTTAAGAAAGCCTTCCGCATCGTCGCTTGCATTCGCAGCCGCGATGGTGAGAGTAGAGTTAGCGTATACATCCGCCATCTTACCACCTTCAATTTCCCAGTCATCGTGGTCTCCTTGCAAAATGCAAATGCTGTCAATCCAGAGGTATGGAAATCCCAAATAGCGCGTAACAGCGACAGCATCTCTGAAGGTCGCAGGTAGTTCCTCAATACTGAAACCCCGCTTACGCTCCTCGACGTTATCGCGTGTAGTAAGGAAGCTTCGACAAGAGCCCCAGCAATGACTGAGAGTGACATACTGGTGAGGGCTTTTCGGGCTAGGATCAAGGAGCTTGAGCGTAAAGCCCGTCACATCTATGACGCGGGTTGGTAAGCCCACGGGATGATCAAAGCACTCTTTGTGCTTGCTTTCGCACTTGGTCATCCAGTGTCTGATCAATCGCACGGAACGGTCCGAAAGTGGGTCCACGTGGATATGTCTTTTGTCGACTCGTTTCGCGAGTACGCTGTCTCCATAAGGTTCAGTATTCATTCCGCTGGTAGTTAGATCTTTGGCTTACCGAAGTCGACGTGGATGCCCAGGTAAGTCCGCTCGGTATACCGGATTCGCCACTCATTCCTCCCACAGAGCTCCCAATAGGAAAACCCTGCATACTCCATGGGATAGCGCCATTGAGGGGACTTCCAGTGACGATGGAGGTCGCCGAGGAGGCGACAGAGGTCGCATTTTGAAGCAAAGCTATCAATGGCCTCTATATCGAGATGGTCTAAGAGGATCGTGACGGGAGCCGTCGTCTCACACTTGGAGAGGGTCTCCAGCGGTAGCAGATTGCAAGCTGGACATGTGTTCTTGCGAAAGTATCTTTCCCTTGAGGACATGACAGGTGGTGCGAGGAGGACATGGCGGGCAGTAATGCAGAGAGCATGACAGGCGCTGAGGCTTAGACCTGGACTTTGAGGCTAGTCCATATTTGGCGATGAAAGAGCGAACATCCTCACAAGGGCAAAACACTTGAAAAGGTAGCCGAGCGGAAACATGGAAATCACCTACTTCCACGCAGACGAGACAATCACCCGTCGTCCCGGTAAAAGAAGCGTGGTTTACGTGTCGTCAATTGCCGGCATATGATTGGTCAGCCGATATCGGCAAAGTCCAAACGGCCACTCATCTCTCCTCATCTCCCTCTACATCGCGAAGTCACACAAGAATGTTAGCATCTCGACCAGTCTTCAGAGAATGCAAATACCTCCATAAGTCTCTCAGCAGCTTCGCAACACAGCAATCCGCAACAATACGCCTCGCCGGCCCGAACACCCACAGAGACCCTGTCCGGAACCGGCAAAGCATCACCACATCCCGAATTTTCCATCGCAACCTCCACGTGAGCCACATCAGGCACGCGCAAAAGCAACTACACCAGCCCCCATCTCCTAGCGAGCAGGAATATTTGAACATCAAAATGGCCTCCAAACCCGGCGACGACCACTTCCTAACGCTCTCCTGCCCCGACAAATCCGGCATCGTCTACGCCGTCACCGGCCTCCTCGCTGCGCAGAACCTCACAATTCTCGACCTGCAGCAGTTCTCCGACCCTGCCTCCAAAACCTTTTTCATGCGCGTGCACTTCGGCCATGCATCCGATCTCTCCTCCCTCCGGGAACCGCTCGCCACGCTCGCCTCAGAGATGAAAATGGAGTACGACGTGCGGCCGGTGCAGCAAAAGCCCAAAGTGCTCATCATGGTCTCCAAAATCGGCCACTGCCTAAACGACCTACTTTTCCGAGTGAAGAGCGGCCAGCTGAAAATCGAGGTCCCGGTCATCGTATCGAACCACCCCGATTTCGAACCCCTCGCGTCCTCCTACAACATCCCCTTCCACCACCTGCCCGTCACAAAGGACACCAAGGAGCAGCAGGAGACCCAAATCCTCGACCTGATCAAGCAGCACGACGTCGACCTCGTCGTCCTAGCCCGCTACATGCAAGTCCTGTCCCCGCGCCTGTGCACCGAAATGTCCGGCCGCATCATCAACATCCACCACTCCTTCCTGCCGTCCTTCAAGGGCGCAAAGCCGTACCACCAGGCCTACGAGCGCGGCGTCAAGATCATTGGCGCGACGGCGCATTTCGTGACTGCGGATCTGGACGAGGGCCCGATTATCGAGCAGCGGGTCGCGCGGGTAGACCACGCGATGAGTCCGAAGGAGCTGGTCGAGGAGGGGAGCAATGTGGAGAGCCAGGTGCTTGCTGCGGCGGTGAAGTGGTGGAGTGAGAGGAGGGTTTTCTTGAATGGCGCGAAGACGGTGGTGTTTAATTAGCTGGTGGATGGTGTGGGTCGGATGCGAGGTTTTCTTATATATAGATCGGATTTTTTAGGGCAAAAGCAACGTTACTTTTGGTGTACTCCCGCCATCTTCGGATTGGTGAAATACGCCTTCTCGGGACGATTCCGACCGAGATCGGCGGGTGCACGCGTATGCCCCGTATCGAGGCACGCAGCGGCTCGTCTCGAGACAGCCTGTGGGTTTTGCGAACGCGCTACCCGAATAGAGTACGCTGTGGAGGCGAGGATGGAAAGGGTTGAAAAGGAAGCCGGCCCATGTTGCTCTGATGATATTTGCGATACTTTGAAAGTCTCGCACTCTAAACATCAAAGGGGAAAGTGGTGCCGGCATATTGCATTCGATACCTATCATGACTTCAAGCTCCGGGTCAACGCCGCAGAAGAAGGTGCAGTTGGAAGGCAAGGTGATTGCTATTACGGGAGCTAATAGAGGTACACTGGACTTGGGAAGGGATCAGGTACACGACTTGTTTTCCCCCCATCATTATACATTACTGCCTCTTCCCCTTCCCCTCTATTGCTTATCCCAATCATTCTAATCTTCCTGCAGGCATCGGGCTCGGCATAGCAGACTGCTGTCTCGCCAACGGCGCATCCTGCGTCTACTCCATCGACATCGGCGAAACCGGCGACGAGTTCGCTGCTGTGGCCTCAACATATCCGAACAAGCTATTCGCACTCCAGGCCGACGTTACAAAAGAGGAGTCCATTCAGGCTGCGGTGGATAGGATCGTATCCGAAGCGGGCGCCATCCACGGTATGGTGTGCAACGCTGGGAGGACAAAGCACAAGCCCGCTTTGGAGTTCACCACCGAGGAGATCGACCAGTTATGGGGTGTGAATGTGAGCCGTGGACCCGAAACTGGTTATAGGGGCGAGGCGCTGACGCGGAGTAGCTATACGGATCGTTCTACTCGGCGCGAGTGGCGGCCAGGGCGTTCATCCAGCTAGGCGTCAAAGGCTCGGTCGTGTTCACTGCGTCTATGGCCTCGTATCGTCCGAATAAAGTGCGCCTCCGCCCCCAATTTTCTCTTCTTTTGTCTGCTCACTCCACATCCAGCGCGTCCCCTCGGCCCCATATGGCGCCTCCAAAGCCGGCGTCCGCAACATGGTCCACACCCTCGCCATGGAATGGGCGCAGTACAACATTCGTGTAAACTCGGTGTCACCTGGCCTTGTCAAAACGGCGATGACATACTGGGTACCACAGCAGCCCGATTGGGAACAGCAATTGAAGTACTATGGCGGAATTCCAAGGCTCGCTGAGGTGGAAGAGCTTGGCGGCGCTTACGTGTATCTGCTGAGCGACGCCGCTTCGTATACGACGAGTATTGATATTCCGGTCAACGGCGTTATCGGTATCTGCTAGCTAGGCGATGGGATGCATAGTGGAGGCGATGCCTGGGGCCAGAAGAACGTGGCATTCATGTGGCTGGGGCGGAGCGGATAATAAGCTTATCGGTGCTTGGCGCGAGGAACCGAGCTCTTTCTCCTTTAATCCACCTTCTCTTTGAATGCCGCTCTCCTTTCGGACCTGCGTTTGAGCCCGGCGTACGGCACACCTTTCCGAATAGGTGACAGCTCTGAGGGAACACCGAAAGCACAGTGACCCACGCCCTGCAGGCCCTCCATAGCCATATACTCGATCTCGCTGAACTCGTTCAGCACACCGAACTGCAGCCGTGTGTGCATGAGCTCCAACGGGAAAGGGTCATTGCCTAGACAGGCTCCGCGGCTGATATCATCCAATGTCGAATTCCGAGTAGTAACCATGATGCGCGAGAATCCAACCGACCAGGTTGTGCCGTCTTGCCAGATTGTCCAGGCCCCGAGGAGCAATATGATAAACGTAAGGAAAATGACAGGTGCATAACAGCCCCAAAGTTTCTCTGGATGGTAGATGAAGGTTGACTGATATCGCGTCCTGTTTACTTCTGCCCATTGTTCTGAGACGACGAGCATTTGCGGTGCCGAGAAGAGTGAGAGTACCATATCTGCGTAGAAAGCCTGGATAAGGTCCGGGAGATTGTCGAGCGGCGTACTACTCACATTACTGACCAAGCGTGTCTGGGTGATGTCGGAGTATACGCGTGCATAAGAAGGACCAGGAATGGGAGCTTCGAGTTCGAGCTTTCCGCGCAAAAAGTTCCTCAGCGACTGTCCCATGGCATGATACGCCGATATCTTCTTGTACAAAAGTACGTCGGTGCGAGGACTGATAAAGTTTTCCGCTGGTCCAGGATCGTCGAAATTGACCGTACCGTCGGCGTTGCGGGTGAAGTTCGTGTCGATGACGGGTGCGACGAAATCGTGGGATACTTCAGTGGCGAAGAAAGGCTCTGTATAGTTCCACTTCACAGTATACCTCGTCTCGTAGTGAACACAACGGAAAATGCGGGGATCGTATCTGTGCGTCCAGTTGACCGCGTAGGGCGAATTATCTGGTAATCGCTCCGAAGAATTGATGGAGTAGCCTATCCAAAGCAGGGGTTCCACTTTGAAGACGCCGAGCTCTTCTGGAATAGGCCCCAGCGGTACCCCGCCCTGGCTCGATAGATTATCGGACTGTGGTCGTGCGTACTCTCCAATGTCGATGTCCGCATAATATACGTTTCGCCCTTCTGGGACGAGCATGCTCGTGTTGAATGGTGCCCCGAATTCGACAAGCCTTCCGCTGTCGCCAATGCCGCTAGCCATCTCCTCGCATTTATAGCCAGGACCGATAAAAGTAGTTGAAAAGGTACAGTTGTAGTTGCCACCACAGGACTCAAATCTCGCATCCGGTCTGTTCAACGAACTAGTCGTGCCACTATAAGCAGTCATGAGGGAGATTCGCGTGAGATCCGACGAGGGCTTATCATAGTAGTCGAACCATCCCTCTGACGCAGCCTGGGCGTCGGTAGTGTTGTAGAACATTAAGGACTTCTTTTTGGTTCCATCGGCCATGATCACCGGTTTGCGCCAGTCCTTGTAAGACTCCGCCGAGAAGTTTAGGCTAGGGACCGAGATGTTGGAGCTGCTAATCTCGAAATACCATCCGAAGGAAAGTGCGCCGGGGGAGAAAATAATAGTTGCGAGCGGGATGAGCCAAATGATCAATGCCATCGCAACAGCCAATGGCGCCTTGCTGAGCGTCTCCCAATTGACGAAGAGGGATGGGTCTTCCGTGGCGAGAAACAATTGGTCGATCGACCACACGGAAAGCGGGCGCTCTCTGAATGTCCTCCAGATCCGCTGGCGATAGCATAGAATAACACATCCGCCGAACGCGACTTTCGAGAAGTAGGCGAGAGCTCGGCCGTAAAGCACCATGCGAACTTTCTTATCCTCGTCATCCTCATTCCGATGGTGGAGTCTGGTATAGAGGATGTGTTGTCCAAGGGCCAGACAGATCCCCACTAGGAAGGCCGTGACCATCATGACAGGAATGCGCCAATGTATCTTCCATTGCGCAGCCTGTGTGGATCGATGCGCTATGAGCCGTTCCGTCATCGGATCGGTTCTTGAGCGGGAAAACGAGGAGCCAAAGGAATTCGCAGTATCTGGAGTCCTGGCATACGGCGGTCGCGGTGTAGAAGGAGAGAGAGGGGAGTAAAGCCCAGGCTTGTGCCGATAGACGTTGTCTGGCGAGAACATGGGCTGCATCTGAATTCCGAGGCCTCCATCTGTGGCCTCTCTGAACTTGGGTCGCTTCTCTGACCTTGCTCGAGGCGAACCATTTCTGGATTCGTAGGGCGAGGGCTCAAAGTAGACAGGCTCAGACACTCGAATCTCCGGCGAGATCATTGGCGAGATATCCTGTTGCGACCCGGGTGTCGACATCTTTCATCGAAGTGAGAGCGGAGTCAATTTAAGAATCCGCTAAGCTCAGCGTTCGCAGGGTAGCGTCCAGAAGAGAGAGGGTTAAAGCTTGTCATATAACCCGGGAGAGCGCAATTGGAAAAGATCTGATGGGAAAGTAAGGGAAGGACGACCAGGTAGAGGGCTCGGTGTATGCTGTTGTACTGCACGGCTGAGCTGAAATTGCAGCCTCAGGCTGGGCTGCAGAATCTCAGCTCGGCGAAGTGAAGAATGAGCGGTGGGCCGTGAGCCTCCCAAAAGATAAACAACGACCCCGCCGACAACCACCATTCACTTTCTTAGCCCCATCGCATACCTCCCAACACTACGAGCCCTCTTTGAATGCACAAAGACTGCCTCAGGCTCTCGTCGCCCTACCCTCTCGTGGGCTGTTTTTCTGGGGCGGAGTTCAATACCAAGCCGCGCTTATCGAGAATGAGCCAAGTTCAAGCCACAAGGATCATTTCCACAGAGTCCTTAACCGGGGTAGCTGGAATTGTCAGTGTAGCGAGCCAATGCCACGCGGGTCGAGGTGCACACGAGCGGCATGCGTTCCTTAATGAAGAGTTTGCTTTTGCGGTTAGCAGGAGCTTGTCTGAGCCGTCAGCGGTGGGATATTTTGAACACGGCCTGTCCCAGCCTCGCGCCATTGGGCTTCCTACCTGTATCATCCTACTCGTGTAGAGGAGAAAGTTAGTTGAATGCGCAGAAGTGGGACACGATGAGAGCTTAGTCAGCAGCCACCCACGTTTTCCCTCCACACAGCCACTTCCCGTCGACACCGCCATGCATAACCCTCCACCTCACGGGCTTGACATGCAGCAAGCAAGACATGCTGCACGCGACCCCTGAGAGACTTTCCGAATCTGAGAAGTCTTAGGCAACAGAACCATGACCGCGCCTGGAGACGAAGGACGAATTCATGTCGCCCGACTACCACGGATGGAGCCTCAGCTTATAAAGACGATTCCGGGCACTCGATGCCATCGTCAGTCACGGGCCATTGGCCCTGCCGAACCAAGCTCTAAGAATCCCGCAACCATCGTTCAGCCCGGAAACCTTTTCGCTGACTAATACTTCACTTTCAGGTACGGATTCTTCTCTTACCCACCACAGGTACGTATCATTTCAGCAACACATATCTATTTATTCGCTTTCGACGATGCCCAAAGGAGATAAAGCGAACTCTTCGCCTTGGAAATATCTCCCCGGAACAGGCCTGAGAGTGCGCGCCTTTCAACATACAGTCGCATCTATCCAGCGTTGGTGACTCCCTCCGGCAAAATCATCAGCGCATTGTGCATCTGCGCCAGAGGCTTGGGGGGATTTGGAGGTATATCATGTGGCAGGCATTGTGCGGGGTATCTGCACAAACCGCACAAGATTAAAAAGGGTCTCCTTCAAAGACGATGACCTGAAGACAGCTCATATATACTTCGCTGAAGCGTTCCGGAAGACCTATAGATAACTCTACCAACTATCTCTAGATCTACAACTTCTCAACTTGGTCACCGTATACACTATGCATGCATCTATGCCCGAATCCACGACGCATCCTCAGGTCCGCTTCTTGGTAGCATGCCCGCGTAGCGGGTCTACGCTGCTCGTGCGCATCTTTGCGGAAGCGGGTAATTGGAAGCTTACCAAAACGCAGCCACCGATAGTAAGTTATTCCTCATCAACGAGGAGGTGCTGCTTAATTGCTCACAAAAGGTGAAATATACTTACAAATTGTTTCCAGTGCGCAGCGACTACGAAACTGTCAAGCCGGTGTTCCTAATCCGCGACCCAATCCGCGTATACGATAGCTAGAAGAGCATCGGATGGACGAGCATTCAGTCCCTATGTGACTGCTTCGAGAACAACTTCCGCATGCAAGACCGGGATCCTACCGGGAAGCTCTACGTTCTAGTATACGAGAAACTCGTACAATACCCTCTGGGCGAGATTGACGGGGTTCGTGGGCACCGGGGCATCGACTTTTTGCGCCAGGGCTGCGGGGGCGCGCTCTTGGTGGGTTCCTTGAGGAGCTGTGGCGTAGCAGGCAGGATAGGACGTGCTTGCGGCGGACGCTAGTTCTGGGTGTTCTGGGTGTTCTGGCTTGGTCGGTGTGGTGAGTGGGTGCGGTTGTGCCGCTAGGGTCGCAAACCTGGATGAGGTGCTTTCTCCAACGCAGTCGCTCCAGAAAAGCATTAGAGATTGCACCGCAGTAGCGAGGTTTTGGCACAGCTCCTTTAGTACCTAACAGTAAAGTCAATTTACCTTTCAAAGAGCCGGTATATCGTTTAGTACCTAGGTGCTGGACCAAGTTACATGCGCTTGTGGTTACCGAGGCATTTCACGCAAAAGGTACTATATTTGCGCTCGTATGGACCTTCGCTGAGCTAACTATGATGTTCAGTTTGTTGGAAGAATACTGATACTTTTTGGTTAGCTTCTTTCGCTTCACTCAATCCGGTACGACATGATGGGTGGTACCCTGCCGTTGAACGAGCGACTTCAAATTCTAAGAAACTTTTACTCCCCATCTAAGATGTATGCTTGTTCTAAATCCCGACCATATGCGCGCCGAACCGAAGCTGAATTTCAAAATATACAAGTCACTCTTTGCCTGGGACAGGCTGACTTGCGTGCGGAGAAGTCGCCTCGTTTCACCACCCCTTCTTGGCAACGCGGTTCGTGCCTCCTTCCGTACGTATAGAATCTCCTGGGATTCTCACTTCGCTTCCTCTCCTCCTCACTCCAACAATAGCAACAACTTCGACTTCTACCTTCTACACACACTTCGCGGACCCCGCCATGCGCTTCACCTTAGTAGGTCTACTGCTTGCTGCAGCCTCGGCGGTGCTCGCAGCCGCAGCTCCTGCCCCCAACAACGTCACAATCCAGCGCGCCGACGACTACGTGGACAAAGGTCTCGCGGAGGGACTCGGTACGATATCCGGCTATATATAACGTCGATCCTTTCGCTAACAACACCTTTCTAGCCTTCCTTCAGTCGTATGGCCGGGAAGAGTTGGAAGCAGTTGAGGCCGTGGCCGAGGGTGGGCCGAAAATCGTGTGTCACAACACGGGTATGATGAGTTCCACACCTAAACTCAGATTCATTGCTGACATTACCAACTCCAGACGGGAAAGACGCTCTCGGCGGCAAGTGCAAGTACCCATTCGCCAAGGATATGTACTGGATCGCTGCCCAAACCTGGTGCAGCCAGTTCTTCAACAAGATGACCGTGCCGACCGGACAGTCGTTTCCTACCAAGCTCATTGCCTTTAACTGCGGAACGGACCCTGTAGACAACGCCGGCAAGAAGTGCGACTTTCTCGGTAAGTTATTGGTTGCGAAACTCAAGATATTTACTACTCACGCAATGCTAGGCAACATCCGCATGGACAGGGATGCCGGGCGCGGGGGCGAACCGGATGGCTGGAACTACATTGATCAGAATCGGTGCATGGCCTACATCCAGAATATCTGGGGCAAGTGCGGTGGTTACGGCGGCTATCAGAACACGGAATGGGGCACAATGTTTATGATGTGTACCAACTGAGGGCTGCTCCATCTGCTCCGCCAGTCTCTTCTACCACCTTTCGCCAGCCATTGTCATGAACACTCAAGTAGCAGATTTCAGGCATAAGAGTGGCTGAATAAACGCCATAGAGTGAGGTAGTAGATTGGCTACAATCTTCATCCCCACTGTAAATTCATGACTTTCACTTGAATTGTGCTGAGTTGAAGTGTTCACTTATCTTATAATAGTTAAAGACTTTCGGAAATTACGAGCAGAGACTGACTGGAAACGCAACAAGGTGAATTTCTGGCGACTCGAAAGTAGACTCGTTAAGGCAGGCAGAAGAAAGAAAGCGCATTCCAACTGCAATAATGTACATTAGACACGAATGCAGTTCTACAGGACTTCTTAGCTACACAGTTATATAGCTTTCGACGAAGCCTACAGGGCTAGAAAAATTTAAAGGGAATTTACATGACTGTCGCGAGACCCTCAACAGTGTTCTATACCGGCTCTTTTAAGAGCGCATTGACTTTACCGTTTGGTCAAAGGGCGATGATAAGATAGATCTCTTGATGGCATTGGATTTAGTTGCTGGAGACAGCGCTGAGGCACGGATTTCAACTACATAGTCGCCACCACTCTTCGGGCAGAAAGATTTAATAAATCCTCCGCCATAATCTCAAAGGGGTGTTGTGTGCGAGCGAGACGCTTCTCGAGGAGCAGTTAGAAGACCTAAGCTTGGATGCAGAAGCCGTGTACCTTCACATGCAACGTTAGCCAATTCGCACGAGAGACTAGCGGGCTGGAGAGCTTACCTCGCCGTAGCCTGTCTCATACGAGCCTCCCTCTCCTCCGCAGGCGTTGACGATCTTGCCCATGTACTCCATGCAGCGCTGATAGGAGAGGGCATTCCAATTGTCGGTCGGCTTAGCGCCATTGCCCCAGTTTAGATCGTAGCGGACGTAGCCTGTATTGCGTCAGCTGCCGCAGCTTCTTGTTCGAAGGGGCCGCTCAACGTACCCATGAAGATGGCCGGGCGCTTCGCACATTTTCCGAACCAAGGGCAATAGTAGGCATCGCCGCCCAAAAACTTAGCGTGGTTGTACGGAACCTTGAGCTCATGGACGGGGACGAGGCGCGGCTCGTAGTCTAAAGCGGGCGGCACAATTAGAGCTATGTCTGTTTTGAATTTGGATCGGGACAATGCTTACACTGACGACAGTAGTGGTCCATCTCGGTGTAGATGTCCACGAAGTTGCAGGTTTTGCCCTCGGGGGAATCTACTCGTGTCAGACAGTCTCACCAATTTCGACCTTAGCACACATGAAAAGAGACATACTGCGGCCGTGGCAGTGGGTATCACCCTCTTTGGCGAAGCAGACAGCTGCGAGGAGAAGGGTGAAGACCAGCAGGAAGCGCATGGTTTGTGGTTGGTTGTAGTCGTTTATACGTCCAAGAAGGGATTTGGGAGTACGTAGAAGTTGTAGAAGATGAGTGGAGGTGGGAGCGAGAGGAACAGGCAGATTGGTGGTAAGATTTATAGCGATGACGAGCTAGCTCTTGGCCAGTGCGGAGATAAGGCAGCTACTTTTCACTTCTTTCGCCGGCGCTGAGAAGGAGGGGTTGCTAGGGAAAGAAGGCAACACGTGACACGTCGGCGTCAACATACCTAGGTATATAAGTTCCCACGCTCTTAGTGCTCACCTTCCCACCACCTCTTCCCTCAACCGCCCAGCAGTAAAGCTTTCGACAGTCAACACAATGAAGCTTCCCTATCTCGCCGCCCTCCTGCTGGCAATGCTGGCTTTGCTGGTCTCTTCAGCTCCCACCATTGCACCCACTTCCATTACCATCGCTTCCTCTGTCGCCGACTCCAAGGTCCCAGGCAACTTCCAGCTTCGGGACGGCTTTCTCGTAGCTGCACGTCACCCAGACGCCCATTCCGTCGAGGACGAAGCCCAGCTGGCTGAACGCGGAGTGACGCCAGTGAAGCGAATTCCTCCATCCTTCTTCAAGTTCATCCCCAGCCGTGAATGTGTGAGTATCTCTTCCAAATTCACTCGAGTACCGTTCTGGTCAAGCTGACTGTAGCGTCATAAGTGGAACTGCGTTGTAGCCCACGGGGCCATACAGGGTATCAAACGCCCCATGTGGGGATGGAATGAGAATAGGGACAATCCTTGGTGGACCCGTGGGGGAATTCCCAACAGCTTGATCCCCGCGCTCAACACGTAAGTTACCTTTGCGGTCGCCATTCTTTACAGAAGCAGATTGCTAACCCAAGATGTGCAAGCGTGGCCAAACAGTGCTGGATGAATTGCTTGACGCTGGGCACATACGTCAACGAACTTTATATTATACAGACGATTCCCGACTGGGCGTGGTTGGGCTATATTGCCGCGCCCATCGTCTGGCAAATTCGTCCCCCAGGGCCTCCTCCGCCCAAAGAGTAGCCGACTGCGCTGTCACTGGTCACATTCACGGAGGAGTATGGCCTTTATAGCCCTAATGTGGGTCAATCATGATCAATCTACTCTACTCACGGAGCATGGCTCCAGTATGTAGACTGACGCAAGGTCTATAGCAATGGTGCTAGACGGACTTGGCAGTCGGATTTGGCGCCAGACAAGAATGGAAACGACGTCCTAACATTCCATTCTTTACATTGTGACTGTGAATCCGTGACACCACTCTCGGTTCCAATCCGACTTGCACTGCCGTGTTACGAACGTTCGCCATCGGGCTCGGCTGGATCATGGACTTTGCACTCAGCGTACGCCCCATATGAGCCTATACCTACCTCGAATGAGGAGGAATCGCCGAAATAGATACGGAAGGAGAGACAGAACAGCTATTGGGGCCACAGGCCGTGGATGTGGTCGAAATTTAAGCCCAGGGGCAGAGCTTCACTTACACATACCGCATCTCCGAGCGTGACATCCCCAGCCCGACTGAGCGCACCCCTGCCCCGACTCCGCTGCCCGCAACACCCAAGCGGAGCAACAGCCTTCGAGACGCCCCAAGGACGCCAAAGATGCGAAGCGCACATAGTACTCACGGTTGCCAAACTTGGGCCAGAACCCTATGCCGATTACCTGGCCACCACGAACAAGCTCGGCGTGTCCAAGACAAACGGCTTGTTCCAGAGGGTGCTGAAGCACCTCAAGGTTCCCAATGACCAGGTCGTTATGGTGGGAGCTACGAACGCGACGTGCAGCCAGCCCTCGAAGCTGGCATGTACTGCGTCCAGTACGCCGAAATGGAGAACTTCTCGCTCGATACGTACCCAGCGAGGATCAATACGCTCAAGAAGCTGGAGTACATATTGGCAGATGAGTAGATGCAAGTGCCAGCGGCGGACGCCTGATTCGATGAGGACACCTCGAGCCCGAAGCACGTCCAGTTCGCGGACACAATAACACCCTGAGAAATCCTGAACAGTATCTCTTTTCCATCGCAGTTTAATTTCCATCCAATCTCATCATGCCGAGTTCGCACCTTCCAATCCATATTCCCGTCAATGCGCCGTCCCATTCCCCCTCATCGTACCCGCCATCTCCAGCCATCCATACTCACTCGTCACGCGTACAGTGGTATGATTTAGATATTAGGGACCATGAGCACGAGCGTTGCAGACATTGGTTATGGTGGCTCGATGGTGCGTTTGAGACTAAAGTAATTAAAATGTGGTGTAGGGAAAAGGCTAATGATTGGACACGCTGCAGAAGCCCAGTTCACGCGCAAAATGTAACACCTACAAGGAGCAAGGTGGTGAGATACCATTAAGGCGACAGTAACAGCTCATTTGAGCACGTGAGACTTGTGTAGAAGTGGGTATTTAAAGCGAGTAGAGGAAAATTCTCCAAAGACGGAATTCTCAACCTCGAAATCTTTTATTGACTCTCAAAAAACTTTCGCTAAGATGGGGCAATCCGTATCATCCACGATCGATGCGCTGGAGAACAATGCTCAGAAAGAAAAGCTAGCTAACGATGCCATGAACTCTCTCATCGAGCTCGCAAAAATGCAGGTGAGGGAGTTTGAGCTAGCCGTTAGGAGTACATCGGATAAGCAGATGGTACCCGTCGACAAGATTCTCGGGAGCGACAAGATTATCCAATGCAACATCAGCAGTGAACCAAGCAAAGTCGAAGATATGATCTCGAATACTTTCACTTCCTTCATCACCGGCGATGTACTGGGCGGCGTGTCAAAGCTTGTTGCGAACGGTATCAAGCTCCTGTTAGGCTCTTATTCGGGCAGTTCATCCTCGCGAGATACTTAGTACGTCTGCTGCCCCAGTTATTCCTACTCTACATGGAGTTTTACTGATCATGGATGGCAGCGCCATCACTTGTGGTAAATTAGGCGGTATCTCCAGATTAGACATGCACTTCTACTCGTATCGTTACACATCCTCGCAGCTGACCGAAGTCGCAAAGCAAGTCCTCTGCGTCAGTATCGTCCAGTCATCTGTCGACCCAACCCAGCTCTCCGACGCAACACTGCGGAATATAGTGCAGAATGCGTACAGTGCATCGACAGAGGACGAGCAGAACAGGATGTACAGTCAGCTTGCGGCAGCTCGCGACGCGGATAAGAATCCGAGATTGCGCGCTATCTCAGATTCTTCGTCTCCGCAGGCCAGTTTCGCATTAGCGGTGTCAAGGGCGAACAACTTCACGCATCCGACTCTGCTGTCCGCATCCGCTGAACCGCAGTATAAGCCGTATTCCAAGGCGTACTGGGCGAGGCTCCAGATCAACACGGCTTCCACGAACACTGAATCCTTGAAGGGCTGGATTGATGGCGTTCTATATGCGGAGTTCGACAAGTATACGGCTAAGAATGGCATCATTGTCACCGCACAAGTGGACCCAACATCTATTTCAAACAGCGAGGTGATCGGGCAAGTCACACTTATGCTCAGCCGGGAGTTGGAAGATGGAGAGAAGCTTTTCAGCCAGAAACTTCTCGCCGCTCTGCAGGGCGCTGCTTCTGAAAAGAGCCCGATTCCTGTGCTCCGCTTCACCATCGACGGTGTCGCTGCTCAGGATCATGACGGCGACGAAAGCGACGACAACTTCAAGGCTCCACACCCGATCAACCCTGATGGCCCTTGGCCACAGTTTGACGAATACGGTCAAGAGTTCTGGCCTGCAGATGCTTTTTCCGACCTTGGCGATCTCATCGACGAGTCCGAGGAAGTGCCCGAATCGGAAGTCCCAAATGGGTTACCAGAAAAGTAACATTACCTCCGTCATCTCTGCAAGCCTATTCTTCGCGTACTAAAATATCCAACAGGCTCCAAGGCCGCGAAGGCCTCACCGAGGCTGACTTTGTCCGCGCTTTTCAAAAGGCTTCGGAGCTCGGCCTCTGTAAGTTCCCCACGCATCATCAATGAGCACATTATTAATCTCTCCAAGGTTGGAAAACCCATCGGGGGAAGGAGGCAGATCGCCCTGTCTTCATATTCCCACAAATCGGCAATCGTGAAAACCCAATTCTCCAATTCTTCGGCCGGGCTGGCACTCACATCCACATCATCACGCGCCGCGACATGTCCGGCGAGACCTGGAGCGTCAAAGCCATAGTGATGACGATACGCCACCCCAATGACGAAGGACCCGATGATCCGCATCATATTTGGCACATCAAGGTCCACGGGCCTACGGGTGGCCGACTCGTGAATGGAGAGAAATTAATACAAGTTGCGACGTATTGGCGCAACCAAAATATGGACTCGGGGAATCGGGTATGGAAGGAGATCCAGGCGGGAACGAGGCCCGACTGGTTTTTGAATATGAGGGCATTGTTGAATCAGCTTGCGAGCGATGCGGATCAGGTCTTGAACGTTTTTATGGGGCCGAATGGTTGGCGGCTTTGAGCCTTTTCAGGAGAGTAATGGAGGTGTAGGTACGAGGTGACTAAAGTAAACAAAGCAGGGGTATATAAGGGTACTTTCGTTACATCTCCAAGACATCTATCCCAAGCTGCTTTGCTGCCCGTTGAGTGCTTCGTTGTGGCCTTTGCGATGGGCGAGTTGTCACCTTGTGCTTTGGTTTTGCCTATGGTTCGAGTGTCCAGTTCAAAGGTTGCCCAGGTCGTCGTACGTGCCCGATGACCCCGCGAATGACTCAGGCGGCGGGCCGTAATTAATCCGCATGCCCCACCATGAAAGTTAAACTCGCGTTCTCCGACTCACCAGCCCCCCTCTCCAGCAATTCGACCCTGCCGCCGCCGAAATGGAGGAAGTACAAGAGCAGTCCAAGAATGCGCTGAAGAAAGCCCAGAAGCAGGCTAAGGCGGCCGCCGCCAAGGCCGAGAAAGCGACCAACGTCCCCATTGTCGGCGGGAAGGGGCAGAAGAAAGATGACTCCAAGGAGATTATTGGTATTACCGTCTCGAAAGAGGGACACTTTGCCCAATGGTATCAGGACGTGGTGATCAAGGCTGAGCTTGTGGAATACTACCATGAGGTGAGAACAAGGGCAATTATATCGCGAGCCCCAGTGACTGACTCAAATGGACAGATCTCCGGCTTCTACATTCTCCGACGTGAGGCTTGCCTCTCAGGACCTGATTCACGAGACTAACATGAGAGATCCGCAGCTGGTGCGATGTACATCTGGAACGAGATCCGCGCTTGGTTCCAAGAACGAATTGCGGCCATGGGCGTGGAGGAGACAAGCTTCCCCATGTTCCTCTCGTCCAAGTCGCTGGAGAAGGAGAAAGAGCATGTCGAAGGCTTCGCTCCCGAGCTGGCCTGGGTAACCAAAGCAGGCGATAAAGACCTCGAGATCCCCGTCGCAGTGCGCCCGACCTCCGAAGCCGTCATGTACCCGTACTATGCTAAGTGGATCCGCTCGCACCGAGACCTGCCGCTCCGACTAAATCAGTGGAACTCTGTCGTCCGATGGGAGGCCAAGCAGACAACTCCGTTTCTCCGAGCACGGGAGTTCCTGTGGCAGGAAGGACACACCGCACATCTTACGGAACAACTCGCAGAAACGGAGGTGCTGCAGATTCTTGATCTGTATGCGGGAGTTTACGAGCAGCTGCTGGCAGTGCCTGTTGTAAAGGGGAGGAAGACCGAGGCAGAGAAGTTTGCTGGTGGCTACTGGACATCGACATGCGAAGGTTACATTCCGACCAACGGTCGCGGCATCCAGGGCGCGACTTCTCACGCTCTAGGCCAGAACTTCAGCAAGATGTTTGAGATCACAGTTGAGGATCACGATAAGAACAAGGTGCACGTCTGGCAGAACTCCTGGTACGTATTGACCACACGAAGCTACTGATCCTCACTTCGCAAGGGAGCACTCTGCTAATGAAGTTGGAATTTGGCAGGGGTCTGTCAACTCGCGTCATCGGCGTCATGGTCATGATCCATGGTGACGATAAAGGCCTCGTTCTTCCTCCTCGCGTCTCCAAATACCAGGCGATCCTGATACCTGTCGGTCTGACGGCCAAGATGAGCGCAGAGGACAAAGCAGCTCATATGAAGAAAGTCGATGGGCTGTACGACGACCTGAAGAAAGCCGGCGTCCGCTCCCACGTAGATGATCGCGAGGGCTAGTGAGTATACCCCTCGCAGGCTTGTTTCTTTATCCTTTAGCTATATGCTGACCACGCTACCCACACCAGCACGCCCGGCTTCAAGTTCGCCGACTGGGAGCTGAAAGGCGTTCCCCTCCGTCTCGAATTCGGTCCCAAAGACGCCGCCAACTCTGTTGTCAGCTACGCGCGTCGCGATACAGGCGCTAAAGGCACCATTCCCATCGCCGGGCTCGCCACGGAGGTCCCCAAGCTGCTGGACACAATCCAGTCGGATATGTACAACAAGGCGGACGAGGCTTACAAATCTCACCGACTGGTGTTGACAGATTGGGATAAGGTCGTGCCGGCACTAGACGCTCGCAATGTGGTCCTCATTCCGTTCTGCGAGGTCGAGGCATGCGAGGACCGGATTAAGGAGTTGACTAAGAGTGAGAACGTGGAGGTGGGCCCGGATGGGCAGAAGATGCCCAGTATGGGCATGAAGAGCTTGTGCATTCCGTTTGATCAGGTAAGTTATTCTGGTTACCAACGTTTGGCTCCGGAGGGGTTGTCGCTAACGTCTCTCTTCTACAGCCTGAAGGTCTCGTTAAGGGCGAGACGAAGTGCCTCATGCCGGAGTGCAAAGCGCTCGCCAAATCCTGGACAATGTTTGGCCGCAGCTACTAGCCACTGCAAAGCGGCTCTTTGCTCAAACGGCGAAAGCCTGGGCGGGATTGAGGCTCCGGCCTCCAAAAAGCGGCATTCCGGGGAGTAGTGCGGCGGCACGCGGGCGTCCGGCGGCGGCGGCGAATTGGCGAACTGGGTTGGACGATTTGGGACTGGCCAGATACGTAGAGAAGAAAGTGTCTGTAGCAATTCAAGATGATAACCACCTCAATGATGCGCAATGCGAGTGAGGGGAAGTGACATAACAAGCAATGGCATGATATATGGGGTATCGTATCCTGAAAACCTAGCTATCCAACAATCACAACACCGTAACGCGCCCGCTAAGCACACTTTCCCGGTTCCTCTCGTTCCTCTTTCTATCCAAAGTGACTCACATCGCCAAAACCGACTCTGCCCTTCCCTCTTCCTCTTCCGCCTCCGCTTCCTCCTGCGGCACTCCTTCCAGTCCCTCTCGCCATACTACTACCAAACCCGCCCTCTCTCAACCTCCTCTCGAAGCTCGTCACACCACCCACGCCACCAGCCCTATCAGCGTCCCTCAATCTCGCAGCAGCAGGCGGCGCGCTCATGACGCCCATTGCCCTCTCCCTCTCTATCAACCCGACACCCACGCCACCACGCTTCTCCGGGCTGGGAGGCAGTTCAGGCCTCTTCCCTCGCACCACACTCCGCTTACTCGGCGTCTTGAGATACCCCGGTCTACCGACTGTCGTTGGGGGGGGCATCGGCGTAGATGTCCAGAATTGCGCTGGGTCGTCGAGGGTGAGGTCTTCGGGGATAGGGGCTGGTGGGGGCCGAAGGATGGACTGTGGCTGAGGGAAGGTTTGTGGGCGTGTTGGGAGGGAGCGCGGGATGGACGACGGTGGGGGTGGAGGAGGGAGTCGGGAAGCAGGCTGCGGCGAGAGGGATAGAGAGAGGTCGAGGTTCGTGTCGAAGGCTGTCCATGCTTCTAGGCGGCGGGTGTCGTCGCCGGCGTCGTCGTCGAAGTCTGGATGCTGCTCTGTTGCATCCAAGTCCTCCCCCTCGTCCCCACCATCGTCGCCTCCACCCTCATCTTCGCTATCTCGTCGCCCAGGTCTTGATCGGCTTGTCGGAGTAGGGGAAACAGGCCGATTCGTCATCCGTTCCGCGGTCTGCTCGTACCAAAAACGGATCATGGCTCTTAGATGCTTTTCAAAGTTCCTTTGGTGTAGGGCGAGAGCGTTCTCTTCTTGTCTTTGAATGTTCCACAAGCGCCAGCCGAGTTTCTTGAGGGCTGACGCTGCTGCGAGCTCGGTGCTTTCCTGACGGAGCGCGAGCGCTTTAGTGGACATTGTTTGTAAGGTGCGGAGGCGCTGAGTCCAGCTTTGTAGATAGCGGACTTGCAGTTTCGTAGAGTGGGATTGAATGGCGCGGGTTCCGAGGCCGCGTACAGTCGTAGTTCGGTCATGCCAGTGCGTGAACAGAATCGTCGCGTTGATGCCTGTGCGGTTCTGAACCCTCTCTTGAGCTTGTCGGTTCTTCTGCGCAATCTCATTCGCTTTCTCTTTCCAGACCCCGAATGCTTTGCGTACGAGATTCATCTTGATCGTCCGTCGCACATGCGCATACACCTCCCGCCTTCGGTTCCTCCGTGCATGCTGGGTCGCCTGGTTCCAACTGTTGAGCGCATGCGTGGTGAGCACGTAAAAACGCGCATCTCCAGCCCATTTGTTCAACTGCTGGAAGTGATCGTGCTTATCCAATAGCTTGTCAAAAACTCTCTGCTTCAGTTTCTGCTCGTATTCTGCGACTACCGCGAATTCCTCAGCTCTTCTTTCGGCGGTCGCAGTCTCGATCTTCCCCAGGCAGGTGCGCAGCAGCTGCTCGCGCTTAAACTGGGCGAACCGTCTCTCGGCGCTTTCGAGAGTATTGCGCTGCTCGTTCGTCCTTGTGACCCAGGTGAGGAGGACGGACTCCTTCAGGTTGCGGTCGTGGACGCGCTGAAAGAGAGAGACTCTAGATGCGAGGGTCCATCTATACATTGTCTCGACCAGCACACGGTCGTTGATACGCTCCTCGAGCGCCTTGATGCGGAGACGGTCATTCCAGGCTGTCCATGCGTTGCGCAAGATGCGCATCTGGTCGACATTTCGTGCTTGGCGAGAGAGCTGGGTGCTCCGATGCCATGTTTGATGAACGGACCGCGCTATCCGGGTATCGACTCTTGCTCGAAATTGTCCGACGAGAGGCGCAAGCTGGGCTTCCTTCCGAAGGGTGGACAAGGCGTTAGTAAGCAGTGCGCGTCGTCGAAACTCCTCAGCTTGAGGCTCAAGAGACTGAACAATCGCTGTCCTTTCTCTCCATGTCTGCACTGCTTTCCGCAGAAGCTCGCGATCCCTTCGATCAGTTGCCCAACTCTCCCTGTCCCTCAAAATGGTGGCAATCTCATGCCACTTCTCGTATGTGATTCTCTTCAAGCGGACATTATGCCACGCTGGTGCCGCAATATCGCAAAACTTGAAGAACCAGTGCTTGAAAACCCTACGCGCCAAATCGTCTTCGTACAACTGCATGGAGAGATATTCTTTCTCCTTGATTGCAGCAGTGCGTCTGCGCCACTTGTCGAGAAACTTCCCAAGTACGAAGTGTTGAATTTTGAGCTCATTGACAGCAGTGATCTCGCGCCAGCCGTTGAAGAATCTTGTGCGTAGGATATGTCGGCGTGCGACCGACGTCCGCTGGACTTCGTCTTCAGCGCTCTTAGCCCAGTGCGTGAAGGCTTTTGTGAGTAAGAACAAGTTCCTGGCTTTCTCTGCGCGTCTTTCGAGGCGCCCAAAAAAGCGTTCCGTCTCTCGGTTCGTTCGTCTATTGTGCATTTCGACTCGCAGAGTGTCCAGCGCCGGTTTGAGCAGACCCCTCCGATCAAATGCCACCGCTCTGCGGTTCATATCCGCCTCTCTTTCGATTTGATCTCTTGTCCGATCTCGCCATTTCTGCATACATGCTCTTGCAAGAGTGTGTAGGCGCTGTTGCTCGAATGCCTCAGCATCGTCCATCAAGCGTGTGTCCGACGGTCGGTATGGTTCCGGTACGTGTTGCTGTGCTGCTTCGTGCGCCATGTCTGGAATAGGCGCGTTGACCCCTGGTATCTGGATATGAGACAGATCGATATCTGCCGTTCGCTCCGTGTGCTCGCTATCGTCCGCGTCGTAGTCCCTGAACTGTGAAGTCCCTGTCTGTCCATCCCTGCGTATCTGGAGACTGCCGCGACTGGATACAGAGCCGCTCCGTCGGTGGCTCGGCCTGTGTTGTTCGGAGGCTGTTCGACGATTCCCGTATCCACTCACCCTGGCGTGAATGGGAAGCTGGGCGTGCGAATACGACTGTGCTTCCGTATCCGATCGTGACCGCCGCGTCGTCCATCTGCTTCCATTCGCATCCCGAGAGCCTCGACGTGAGCGCAAAGGCAACTCTTGTCCAATATCCGGGCCAGCCACCTTATCCGCGCTCCCGTCGAAAAAAGAATCAAAGCTTCCTCTTCTCTCATGTCTTCCCAGCGGATTCTGCGCTCCAGACGGCCCATCACGCGTCGAATCCCCAAAGCCAGTGGTGACTTCAATGCCCTCCCCCTCCGAGTCGCACTCGACTTGGATTCCAATCTCGCCAAGCACGCGCCTAAACCTCTGCACCAGGCTCTCCTCTCTCTTCCTATCCTTCTGCATGCGGAACAGGAAGCGGTGCAGCACGCTGTCGTCTTCAGGCCCAAGGCCATGATCGCCGAGGACTTCTTCGTAGGCATTGAAGAGGGCGCGTGAGGAGCGGTCGGGCGTGGATTGCGCGCGGCGCACGATGTCGTAGAGGAGTTCGATGGCTGAGTACACCTGCCGTTAATGACAATTCTCCCAGACCTCGGCGAGAAACAGTTACAAGCGTACCATCGTCAGACAAGTCATCCTTGGTGAGGTTCGGAGTCTCATTGCTGGGCGCGCTCATGGAGGGTGGCATTCGTGCTCGGGACTCGCTCGTCTGCGGCGCGTTCTCGACAACATGAGCGTCGCGCGTTGTATTGTGGATTGAAAGAGGCGGGATAGTGTCTTGCGGCGGCGCGCACGCAAGTATTAAGCATTACTGGCGGTAAGAAGAGCGATGAATGGGCACGAGAGGTTGTGAAGAGCGCGAGTGAACGCGCTTTGTTGTCGCGCAGCTGGTTGGTCGTCCATTCACGGAAAAATGCGCCAAGACGTCCGTGCGCCCGAACCATGTCCTCGTCTCTGATCTCATCGAAACGACAGAAAACTACCACGAACATATCAGGATGCCGGGTCGGTCACGTCCAATCGACAAATTCGCTGCGGCGACAGCAAAATGCTCGAAGGAGGTATGCATGCACCCTATCCATCGAACTGGCCCATTGCATTGAACCATTTTAAGGGCGCAGCATACGGCAAATGCATCGTGGCCGACTACAACAATGTCTCCAAAGACAAATGCGTTACCGAGTTTCTGAAACTCAAGCAATGCTTTATGGTGAGTATGCACTCGCGCATGTCATCTCAGGATACTGATTGAGGCGCAGGAAGCATACAAGAAGCCGTAACCGGGCGGCGATAACAGCATTTGCGTCGGCACTGCATTGCATCGGGAGGCGTTGGTTGTACAACCACTAAAATATCGTCCATTCATGCCAGCGTCTATCTATTACTGGAAATTTTCCCAATATGACATTGCTCCGGTTCCGAGAAGGCAATCAACGAAGCCCACAAGCACTCTCCACGACCCTAGGTTCAGCTGCCGAAGCCGCACTGGCGCCGCGTGATTCGACGAAACGGTTGCTCGAGCGCATCTTATTTTCATACGGTCCTGTTCTTCGCATTACAGCTTAATCAATCTCAGCAGGAACGTTGCCTTGTGCAGCTCCTGTTCCTCCTGTGCGATAACCGTCTCGTGGTTATTCTCTGGGATCTTGCCCTCCATCTCGGTGATGGCATGCTTGTCAACATTTCTTCGCAGTGCCTTCTCGAAAATGACACCTTGGTTCTCGAAAGCAGCTTCGATGCCGACATCGTCCGGGTCGGACAACACGCGGTACTCCATCCCCACATCGTCGGTCGGAACCAGTCCGGCCTTCTTGCGCAAATCCTGGACGCGGCGAATGATCTCTCGCGCCAGACCCTCCTGCTCGAGCTCGGGATAGCTAGCGACATCGAGAATGATGAGGACGTCGTCGTCCGTGTTGAACTCCTGGTTCTTGCTCTTGTCATCTTTGACCAAGCCCCTCCTAACCATGAGGTCCTCTTTCTCCACGCGGATGCCGTCAACTTGCATCTCCCCATTCTTGATGAAGTCCTTGATCTGCTGACTCGTGAGATTCGGTAGCCCCTTCTTGACCTTGACCGCATCCTTCTTGAGCTTCTTGCCGAGGACAGAGAAGTCGGCTGAAGCAGAGTACTGGACGTTGTACTTTTCCTCCTCACTTGACAGTACCAGATCCCGCACGTTGAGCTCTTCCGTGATGTAGTTTTCTAATGACCTGATATCATCTAGGTACTCTTGCTCGGGATGGATGACCACAAGCGTCTTCAGAGGTATCTTGAGGCCCTTGTTCGCCCTATCTCGGCAGATGCGACCAAGCTCAATAACGGCCTGCATTCGCTTCACCTGCCGTTCTACGACCTCATCAAAAAGTTCATCGCGGACTTCCGGGAACGGCAGGAAATGTACGCTACGGTCGTCCTCTGCGTGGAGATTCTTCGGGATGTGGGGGAGGAGTCGGAGGTAGATATTGTCGGTGATGAATGGAGTGAAGGGAGCAAGACCGCGGCAGAGAGTGTACAAGACTTCGAACAGGGTGTTCAGGGCATGCTTGGTATCATCGAGCCCATATTCGCCCTTTAACCGCCGGCGGTTGAATCGGATGTACCAGTTCGTTGTGTTATCGATGAGCTATACTAGTTAGCAAACACATTCTTACAATCCTTATAACGCTCACCTGGAGTAACCGTGGAACGACTGTGTATAGCCTGTATCCCGCCATCTCTTCGTTGACAAACTTGAGCAGCGACTGGCACGAAGCCAGGATCCACCGATCAAGTACATTCGTATTCGTCTTTTCGGCCGAGGGGTCAAAGACAAAATGCAGATCGGCAACCTTTTTCAGTAGGGCGACCTGCTGTTCGAAGAATTGATAGCTATTCCACAGCGGGAGCAGCACTTTAGAGACAATCTCTTTGACGCCAGCTTCTTTGAAGCGAAGGGTTTCGGCCCGCACAACAGGTGAGTTGATGAGGTACAGTCGGAGAGCATCAGAGCCGTAGTTGTTCATGATAAGGTGCGGATCGGGGTAGTTCTTTAGTCGCTTCGACATCTTCTTCCCGTCTTCGGCGAGCACAATTCCGTTCACTACGCAGTTTTTGAACGGAAGAACGTCGAAGAGAAGAGTTCCGAGGACAGTCATGGTGTAGAACCAGCCTCGTGTCTGGTCAAGACCTTCGGCAATAAAGTCACCAGGGAACGACTTCTCAAACTGCTCCACGTTTTCGAAGGGATAGTGAGCGCTCGAGTAGGGCATAGATCCAGACTCAAACCAGCAGTCGAAAACCTCTGGGCTTCTTCGTAGGACACCCTTGCCCTGCTTGCTGGGAATGGTAATGTCATCGATATGGTGGCGATGTATGTCTGTCAGATCACCCTCATATCCGCTCAGCTCCTTCAATTCTTGAACGCTGCCAATGCACATAACCTCCTTCATGTCGTCGCTAACCCAAAGAGGAAGTGGGGTGCCCCAGAATCGATTACGCGACACAGCCCAATCAGGAGAATTCTGGATCCAGTTCGCGAAGCGCTTCTCTTTGACGAATGAAGGGACCCAGTGTGATCCTTCGATGTTTTCTAGCATCTTCGGAATATGGTCTTGGATCCTCACGAACCAAGACGGAACGGCTCGGTAGATCAACGGAGTATCGGAGCGCCAGCAGAAAGGGTAGCTGTGGGTGACTTGCGAATCAACGACCAGTCGCCCTATGCTCTTGAGGTGCTTGATGATGTTCTTGTCGGCCTTTTTGACGTTCTGGCCCTCGAAATCCCGAACAACGGAGGTGAAGCAACCGGCATCGTCGACCGGATTCGGAGGGGGCCGATTCGCGTTGACGATGCCGTACTCCATGGCAATCTTGTAATCCTCTTCACCGTATGCGGGAGCTTGGTGGACGATACCGACACCGCTGTCCGCTGTTACATAGGTCGCGTTGACGACCTTGAAGCCAACATCCTTGAACTCTTCATAGATGTAATCGAACAGCGGCTCGTACTTCCATCCCAGCAGATCCTTTCCTTTTAGCTTCTGCACAACCTTGTATTTCGCTTTCTTTGGGTCCCTGTATAGTGTCCTCAGAAGTGCCTCGAGTAGCACGTAATGCTTCCCAGAAGCTTCGTCAAGAATCTTGATATATTCCAAGTCGGGATGAGCGGCGAGCGCGACGTTTGAAGGAAGCGTCCAAGGCGTAGTCGTCCTGCTTGCTGTTAGCCGTAATAGTCTTGAATGAAGAGCGAATACAATACCAGGCCAGTAGATGTGTGGTCGGGTCATCCACGAGCGGGAAGGAAACCACCACAGCCGGATCTTGCACATCTTTGTAGTTTTGCGATGCTTCGAAGTTGCTGAGAGGCGTCGCCAGAGCCATACTATACGGCATGACCTTGAACCCCTGGTACACGAGGCCCTTGTCAAACAGGCGCTTGAACACCCACCACTCACTCTCCATGAAGCTGGTGTCCATGGTCTTGTAGTCTCTGTCAAAGTCGATCCAGCGACCTAGCCGATCAATGGTATGCCTCCACTCGGCCGCATATCGCATAACAATAGCCCGACACTTCTCGTTGTAATTCGCCAATCCAATCTCGCGCACGGCGTCTCGGCCAGACATTCCCAGGTTCTTGTCAATCTCATACTCGATAGGCACTCCGTGTGTATCCCAGCCGAACCGGCGCTCTACGTAACGCCCCTTCATGGACCAATATCGGGGAATGATGTCTTTGATTGTCGAGGCCAGAAGATGGCCGTAATGGGGCATGCCGGTTGCGAAAGGCGGTCCATCTACTCGAGGTCAGGTCCGTCTCTCGCGGTGGACTGGGTCCGACATACCGTAGAAGGTATATGGTTGCTTTCCCTTAGACTAGCCTACTGTTAGCCTTGAACATGTAGCAAAGCCCGCACAAGCTCGGGAGCTTCTTTGTTCGCCTCTGTCTCGATAGATGTGTACTGGAGCGCCGACTTCAAGGCTGTACTTGCTATGACTCGGCATCCCTCTGAAACACCCACGGGAGAATGTGGATACGTACCAGCTCGACCTGCCTTAAGAAGGCGTCAATCTCCTTCCACCGCGCGAGGATGCGCTCCTCCTCCTTGGGGAAGTCGATAGACATGGTGTGTCGTGTGCCTGGTGCTCGTCGTGACGGGCAATGTTTTCCTGTTTGACTCCGCGTTGGTGGGGCACGGCCGTTGGCGGAGTCATTGCTGAGTCAGCTATCGATAAGAACGCCCAATCTCAGCCTGACGTTTGAGGCTTGCACCCCAACACCACCAGCAACGAGCCTACACTATCACACAAGGATTGTTGCAGATTGTCCCTCGTCATTATCAAGACCATCGTTCTCATTGATCATGTAGGACTGCAGGGCCACGAGCCAGTGGAGCCTCATGTCGCTTGGTTTCCCCGAGGCACAGATTCTGACTCTCCCCTGAGCTAGTGGTGCTTGGATCCTTCGACGAAATGAACTCACTCTTAAAGGCGACCGCGACCCTTTGGCACTGGTTCCTCAGTCTTCCACCTTGCTGTATTCTTATAATGCCTAATCCAACGCCAAACCGCCGCCCTATACTGCGCCTCTACAGCTTTTTGCTAGCATGCTTGTTTCCGATCGCTTTCGCCGTTGACGCGCCAATATACATTTCCACACCTTCAGAAATTGCAGCAGGCACGCCTGTGGAAGCCAGTCTTAGTGCCGAAGTGCACAATGGCGATACTACTTGGCGCAACTCGTTCCGCATATACTTGGGATCTTCCTATCGGGATAAGCCTCACTACTTCTACCGCTCCGATTGTACGCATCATGAGACCTGAACGCGGCCACTTTGCTGATATCCCTTGCCTCGTAGGCTACCTGATCCACGAACAGACTCTATGCGACCCTCTCGTCGAGATTGACAGCAGCTATGTTTCATTCAAGAACACCACCTTCAGCGTAACCATTCCCACGACTGTTGGGCCTTCCGGCAAACACTACGTTCTTATGGCGCGCATACTCAACACCGACGGCTCGTACTACGGCAGCTCACTCGAATCGGACGTGTTCGAATTGACCGGGGCTAATGGGACTTGGGCTGGGTATCAGACGGAAGGGTACACGCTCTGGGGGGATGATGGGACCGCTTGTAGTGGCTTCGCATGCGTAAAGAATTGCTCAGATGCTGCTGCAAACAGGCTGGGAGCGCAGAACACGACCGACTACGAGAATTGCGCCAACATCTGTCCCGACGTTAGCATCGATTTCGAGAATTCAACGAGAGGAGGGCAGCCTACAGCATCGCTCACCACTCCTTCGCCATGTGCCGCCCTGCCATCTACTAGTGCGACTACGACGCCCGATGTAACGGGCATTGATTCAGCCCCAACCGTCACGAGATCGCGGAGCGCGGCCGCTGCCGCAGGCACAAGCGCAGCTTCGACGGAACGGGAACAGCTGAGACCATGCCTGATTGGCCTGATATCCTTCGCAACTGTTTACCTTATTGGCTGAAATACGTTTATTCGCTCGGCCGCCCTCTCGCTGTTTCGTGCACGGCTCCAGTTGTCACTGAACGGTAACAGTTACCGCTAAGACCTAATAGTGCCACTAAGTCCCGTCGAAAAGACTGACCACGAACCGACCTGAAGAGCTGATATTGAAATCTTGAAATCTTCAAGTGGGCTGGCGCTGCTTTTGTTGAGAGGACACTCAGCGTTCGGTATTGCGCAAAACGTCCGGAACGCGATACATCGGTGCTTCTGTCGGCGCGAGGCCAAACAGCTCTGCATGGCCTGCCGCGTACGGCTTGAGCAGATTTTGTTTCCCGATTCGGAGCTTTTTCAGGCATTGCAAAGATGAAACGGGCGACAGGCCAAGACGGTGGCTAAAGCTTAGCTTGCTTCGTCATGCCCCTGGTCGCTGAAACATGACAGGCCTCGCATCACGACACCACTCCTCGTCTGGGTGGTTGTAGCGGTCTGGCTAGTGATTGATAGCCTTCTTGACACGAACTCTTCGTCACCTCCACGAGACGTAGCACTCCCCACAACAGCGTTTTGTCTCTACAGAAGGTTGGGTAGTGAGTCGCCGACGGCAGGCGACAGTCAATTGACCACTTGTGTCTTGACAGGCTCGTCCCGAAGGCCTGAGGAGGGACTCCCGGCTGGTTTCTGTCAGGTTTCGAGTACTGGCAGGCCGCGTAGGCGTCAACGGGAATGCTTCTTCCCACAAGTTATATATATCGTGAAAACAATCTACGAAGACTGGCTTACCACAGCACAAACTCACAAGCATCATCTGCATTTCATCGCTTTATCCCTTCTTTGTATTCTCTCGGCCGGACCGACTTCGATTCTCAATCCCTTTTGCTTCCTTTCATTGTCCATATTTCTTCAAGCCCCCGAAAATGCGTTCCATCAGCTTTGTCATTACGCTCCTTTTCGCCTTCATTGCGACCTCGTACGCATGGCCTGAACTCCACATCCTTGAGGCACGCAAGGGCGGCAAGAATGGAACTACGAACGGCAATTCCGTCAACAAGGCCTGCCGCAAGATGGCTAAGCTTGAGAAGCTTACTGCCCTCGCTGCCAACCAGACCAAGCTTGACGCCATGGTCGCCAAGGGCAAGCTCAACCAGACCGAGGTCGATGCCATCAAGGCCAAAGCCGCCAACGTCACCAGCGAGCTCCAGACCATGCAGGCTAACACCACGCTCGTCAGCACCTGCTTGGTCGTCGATGCCCACCAGAAAGTCGTTGGCGAATGCAAGCAGATGAACAAGCTTACGAAGCTGGCGGCTCTGGCGAACAACCAAACGGCCATGGACGCCTTCATGCAGAAGAAGAACATCACGGACATGACGAAGCTGCAGGCGAAGATTGCGAACGCGACCACCAAGTTGAAGACTCTGCAGAGCAACACTACACTCACGAACCTGTGCACTCAGCTAGACCAACAGAAGGGTGCAGCCAGTGATGGTGAGTCGACTGCCTTGCTTGATATCAACGCACTGACAGTAAATAGGTACTGCTGCTGCCTCCGGCACCGCTGGTTCGGCCGCGGCTTCTACCGGGTCATCGAGCGGCGCCAGCGAGCTCACCCTCCAGACGATGTCCTACATCCTCCTTCCCGCGCTCGCCGGTATCTTCGCCCTCTTCCTCTAAGCGATGGACTTCACTCTACCACGCCTTCTCGGACAAACCACACGGCAAACCTTCAAAATTACCAAGGCTGGGAGTACAAAAGAAAGGCTTGCTACAGCACGCGGGCCATGGGCGCATACACTGGGTGTGAAGAGATGGATGCAGATGGACTAGCTTGTAAAGTGCGTGCTAACACTCATTGTCACATACTCTAGAATTACATTCGTGTAAATGACATTCTTTCCAAAGCTATTCTGCTCTCTCGCTACTATGATATGTTCACGTCGGCGTGGTGCAAGCGTCATTTTCGCCTCTCCTTTTCACCTTGCGCGACTTGAGGAAGCTTCATTCGGCACGCTCGAAGGGAGACCGCACGTGGTTCCAGCGGCTCCGGGGGAAAACCTGACTAAGCCGTTGTTCACTAACGAGGTTATTGAGAATCATGCGTTACATCAGTGACTAGTTTACGAGATAGAGACTTTCACCTCTATTCCAGGTGAGATATTGCATGCGCCTATACTTAATCCAGCGTGTCCCCATACATTCGTGGTTTCACGCCGCGTGAAAGCATCATTGCCACTCTACACCTCGCTTCTATATTCTATAATTGTCCCCTTCGTCCTATGACTCCCCAAATTTCACACAACACATCACACAATTCAAGGCCCAACGCTTCCAAATCTAAACGCACCCACAATCCCACCCAGCACCAACACCCACACCACATACCCAACCAAACTAAACCTAAACCACCATGAAGCGCCCCACCACCCTCCTCTCCCTCCTCTCTCGCGCCATCCCCGCAGCCCCAACCCTAGCACAAGCCACGCCTGCGCAGCAATCTTCTCTCCTAGCAACCCGCACCCACGCCTTGCAAGCGCAAGCCCGCGCCCTCGACGCCCGCATGCGCGCCATGCACTCCCTCTCTCAAGCCATCGCAGTGCTCCTCCGCGCGGGATTCGAGCGCAACGCCACGGCTTCTCTGGACAAGCTGCGCGCCGTGCGCGGGCGCGTCCAGCGGACACTCGACCTCCAGGCCTGTCTAGCTGCCTACCACGCCCTGAGGGGCTTGCAGGTCGATAAGCGCGTTGCCCTGGTGATGCGGTGGGATGCTGGGGCTGAGCGGCATATGACGGCGGTGGGGGATGCTGTTGGGTTGCTGTGTGAGGGGCAGGCGGAGGGGAGGGGCGAGGAGGTGGAGGAGGTGGAGGACGAGGATGAGGACGAGGACGAGTACGAGGAGTACGATTATTTCGACGAGAGGAGGCACGAGGAGGAGTGGATCCAGGAGTTCGAGGACGAGGGGGACGAGTAGGAAGAGGAGGAGGCGGCGGGTGAGAAGAACCTCGTTGCTGGATTGATCTCCTAGATGCGGCACCCGGACGGAGTAGGACTGGGTTAGGTGTGGTCGCCAGCCTGCAAGAAAGAACGGGTGGTTCATTTACCTGGGTCATGATGGCGTTCTGGACAAGCCCGAGCAGTGTGCTATCCGGATTTGCACTAGTAGCCATGGCGGCAAGGGTTATGAATGATGGAGGCTGGAATTTGGCTAGGAGATGATGGGGAATAGATCTTCGACTTTGCCTAGATAGGCGGTAATGGGAAGAATAGAAAATCCCTACATAGGATAGAAAACGCGTGCATTCGTGGTTCTATTTGCAGACGATGTGCCCACTAATTCGTGATAATGCTTCACTTTCGACTCCGTCTTCTAACCCTGACTTTTTCCCCATTCCGCCAAGAAGCCCTCGATCTGTCTCGCCCTCCTGGCGGCATCTTCGAGGCTTACCCACCCATCTCCCTCCTCCTTCCCATCCGCAAACGCATACAGACTCCTCATCACGCTTCTAGCGGGGATAGGCACTTCTTCCTGCTCCTTGCTCCATTCGAACTTGACATCCTCTACGCGATCATCTTCAAACCAATGAATATGGATAGTCACGGGCTCGTCGTAGGCACTGGCCTGAAGCGCAAGGCCTGAGGGAGAGACGAGGCGGATCTCGCCGTACTCGCAGTTGATCGTCCAGCTGAGAGATGGTGTGCCGGGGAAAGGCTGGCCGCGGCGGAAAAGGAAAGAAAGCGTTGCTGAAGTTGCTGTTTGGGGAGAGGGTTGAAGGGCACCGTGGAGGGAGAGAAGATCTGGAACGTCTGAGTGGATAGTATCAACGATTCTTCCGGACTCGGGATCTCGAATGCGAACGTCCGGTCGTTGGAGCTGCATTTTGGTATGAACCGATTCAGGAGCCAGTTCGCCCAGGACGGACAGCACGAAGTCGAACACTAGGCCCGTATCATCAGCACATCCTTTCTATAATGAGAGAAACTTCTCAAGGACCCACCATGTCCAAATCCAATCGTGATTGGATTTCCACCAACGTCCCTCTGCGCGAAGTACTTCAACCCCACCGGCAAAATCTCTCTGTCGTTGGTCCCGCCAAAAGCTCGCACATCCGCACTCAGCACCTGTCCCAACCTTGGATCTTGCAGTAACTCTCGCATCTTCACTACTGGCGGCGCCCATCGTCGCTGCAGTCCCACCGCAACCCTCGATCCGCTTTTCTTCGCCTCGTGTACTAACTCTTCGATGTCATTTAGGTTCGCAGCGATCGGCCACTCGACGTATACATCCTTTCCGGCCTTGACGCTAGGTAGGATAGTTTCATAGTGCTTATCAACACGCGTATTGCAGATTACGAGGTCGACGTCTGGGTCACTCGCGAGGTCATCGGGAGAGCCGAAGGCTTTGGTGGAGTCCGGTAGGCCGTACGTCTTAATGGATGCTTGCGCAGCGTCAACACTGCTGTTCAATAGAGCGACTATCGGGAGCTTGGAACGTCCGGCGGAAGTTAGTAAGCCTGGGAGATGGGCTGTGGAGGCCCATGATGTTGTTGCAGAAGACGAGAGGCCGATGAGGGCGGTGCGGAGGGGAGCTTGGAGTGGAGACATTGCTGCGGTGTGGAACGTAGCCTTTGGTAAGTGCTCGCGACAAAAATGGGCGATCCGTCTTATGGCAGGGAATTGGATTTGTAATACAGTGCTTGTGATTTAAAGATGAGCGATCCGTTTTATGGGAGCGAAGTTCGATTTGTAATGCAGTGTACCTTGTAGTACGGGCAGCGCAGAGTTGAGCACCTAAACCAGGGAAGCAAGTCCAAGCAGCCACGCAACGTAAAGCCTCTTTGGTCAACGGCACAGCCGCGGTATTCCATCCGGCGGCCCCATGATATGGAGATGGCAGATATGTGTTAATGCACTCAATGGTCGTCACCGAGCGCCGCCGGAGAGAGCAAGATTTGCGTTCGCGAGAAGCTCCACACCCAGGCGATCATACAATCGTCACTATGGTCAGGTCCTTCGCAAACACATCGTCGATCCACTTTGTTTGAGAGCCACGTCCAGCTCTACGTTTGTGCGTTTCATTGGCATCCACATCTTTGGTGCACGAGTCCACTGAGGGTTGCGATGAAGCAGAAACAGCATGAGACCATCGACCACCTCTCCCCCGAAAGCGACGTCCTCGTGGTGTTACTTGTGAGGTTCGCGATATTTCCGACTCCACAAAACGGCGCGACAGCTGCCCAAAGCCGATACGTCTATAAACCCCAGACTTCTCTCCAATAGGGGACTCGAGGAAGATACCTAAGAAGGCTACTTCGGGTGGCGGGGCAGCGGGCGCGAACGAGGATAGATATCTTTGGTGTTTGTCTCGCTCGGGCACACTTTCGTGCGTGCCCAGTATCAGAAACCATATCGCTGGCTTGTGTGGTATGGATTGTTCTCCCCAAAATCCGGGCGTGGCCATTGGCATCATAAAACTTCCGGGGGGTAAATAGTCGAAGGCCGTGTGCCCGGCACGATCATGAGCAATCCACCCAATGGCGGCCTGCCTCAGTTCATAGGGCTGGGCAATGTAGAGGCTGTGTACGAGGACATAACTCCTCAGAGATATGAGCGGCAAATCAGGGCCACCGGAGGTAATGTCGCCCTTGCGTGGGGGTCCAGGGCCTAGTTGGGCTGTATGCGCGTACGTAAGGCTCGATACCGCGAGTAACCTGCCACGGAGTGTCAGGGAGCCGACACCATTAAGCCAGGCGACCTGATCCTTATCAGGGGTCTCCAAGCTGACGAACTCGCACCTTGGGCGAAAGCCGTTCTCTCGGACGGCTAAAGGAAACTGAATGGCGCCATCCCAAGATGCCCAAGACCAGGATGGTGCTCGTGCCACAGAGGGAGGCGATAGTTCATCATTTGTGGGCAACCAGAGTAGCCCTTGACATACAAAATCCTTCCAGATGCCGGCGCACCAATTCTGCCCCGTCCTGGTGTGGATCTTCGAGGCGATACCAGTCAGGGCTATCAGCTTGTCGGTCTCCTTAGTCAGGTCACAGCGAGAATACATCTCAACTAGATCAAGCCACTCAAGGGAAGTATCGCCCTTTCGTCCTGGTAGTGCGTTGTCCTCTGGTGAAAGAATAGCTCGCAGCGCGGGCAGTTCCGATGGACTGAGAAAATGGGACCGTCGGCTACTAAAAAGCTCCTCCGTCGGGCGGCGACTATCGCGGCATTCGCTCAATAGTTGATCTTCTCGGAATATCCCTCGGCCGGTTTCAAAGTATATTTGACCGCGCGTGAAATGAAGCGCCCTCGTAGAAAGAAATCGTTCCTGTAGCACCCAGCCTCTTTTCGATAGGCCACTGTTCGTCACATCAATGTCCGGATTGGGTGGCAGGTACAAGCCAATGTTCTGACAGTTAACAGAATGCACAACGGCGGTTGGCTTTGACAGTGCTGAAGGGAGAAAGCCTTCGGAGTCATTACCAGCGCAATGAGCCGCAACGGTGACCGTAGCGCTCTGGTATATATCGCCCATCTTTTTTGATTCGTGGAGCCAGTCCTCCGCACTATCTTGGATGATACACAGAGCATCTATCCAGATATAGAGCAAGCCAAGTTGTCGAGTTGCAAAGACGGCATCTCGAAATGTTTGTGGTAAATGTTCGAGCGGAATGCCGCTCTTTAGCTTCGCCAAGGTCTGCGTGGTGGCGGTGAAATGTTGCAACAATCCCCAGCGGTGACTCAAAGCAACATATCGGGGACGCGGAGTGGTGCCTGAGAACTCGCGAGCGCATTCGACAAGCTGAATATAGCCTTCATTTGTAATGTCCAAGAGCCGGGTAGGGTAGACTTGCATACTTTCGTGAGGGGCATTGCTGTTTTCCTCCTCTCCCGCAATGATTCCGCCGCCAGCGGGAGGCAGATGGAGATCGTTTAGTAACCATTTCCGAATGACATCCCACTTTCCATCATGCTCTAGCCTTGGATCATCGACAAGCTGGACGGTAGGTACAGTGGAGGCTCGACTAGTGGAATTCTGCGCATCGGATATTTGACTCGTGGGTATTGAGGATCCGTCGCAAGTTTCTTTAATAGTAAGCGTTTTTGTAGGGTTGAAGATGGGAGGACATACCAGATGCCTTAAAGACACTAAGTTTCATCTGCATGTTCGATGTCATCTCTCTTACCTGACGAACTTGGGTTCGAAAGGTTATAGTGAACCGCAGGTCTAATCCGGTGCAGGTGATAGGGCCACTTGTTGAGACATTCGGTAGGGCATCAAGAGAGACCGTAACTTTCCTACCGTCGTTCATCATTGCGTCGATATCCGAAACCCCGTCCGAGTGATAACCATCGAATGGATTGAAGGAATCATCGCTGTATGCCTTCATTTGTGCGAGTATATGGCCGTTGGGCCCACCAAGGGTTTTGAGGAGCAAATGACAGACTGAGCAGAATTTCGCCAACCGTTCTAGCTCAGCAATTACGACCTGGAAAACATGGACCCGGGAGCCTGGAGGGTAAGGCGGGTTCAGGCAGGACTGCAGCATCCCATAGCAAGTACGGCAGCAAGGCAGGTCCATGGGCTCTTGCTTGAATCTCTTCCCGCGCTCCGCTGGAGCCGAGTATCGACCATGGAGTTTTCGCAGCAGGTCTATGTTTGACCTGTCGCAGGATAAGGGAATGCCAGAAGTTTCGTCTCGGGACTCCTCTTGCGGCGATTGGGAAGGCGCTATGTCGTCCGTTGTGTCCGGGGCTCGCATTCGGGACGCTCCAAGCTGTGCCATCGTTGGTAGCTCACGCGAAGCACATAAACGAGTGGAATTTTTGCGCAACAGTGTGGGCGGCAATGCATGTTCTTTTCAAGGCAGCACAATGGTGGAGATAACAGCCAGTGAAGGCGGAGGCTCAGCCCTCGTATTGACGAGCTGAGCCCACTGGCTCGCTCACCTGCCCAATCGCAAGGCAAGGAGAAAGCCGCATGGCAATAATTGGCATGATGGCCTGCGATGTCAGGGCGCCAACAAGCGTATCCAAAGGTTGAAACTTTCGAAGAGAGTGTCGGCAGGTTTATCGATGCATCGCGGCGTCGAAGAACAGCGAAGTGATGAGTCGAGACGGAAGGCGAGAGGAAAGAATAGTCCAAACAAAATGAGGCTTAGCGGCATCACGTGGGCATACAATTTGGGAAGCCTGACCTCTCAGAAACATCCCCATTTTAGCAGCCTCTCCCCAAGAGACCGATTAAGAGATTAATGGTATAATAACCCAATTGCCTACATAACCCTTCTCACGCCAATATCTACATCCGGACTCCCTTCACACTTCTCGTCCCCATCTGCCAGACACCAACTTACAACCCGGAATCGATCTGGTTCGGCGGGTTGCTAGCCGTGTACGCATCCCACTTGTCACACAGCTCAAACACATCCTCATCAAAAATCTGTGTCATAATCTCATCCTTCTTCTCGAGGGCAACAAGGAACAGGCCTCCACTAACATGCCACGCGAGATGGCAGTGTAGCGGCCAAGCTCCTGGGTTATCCTGCGTGTACTGAATGACCGTGAAGGACGGCGTAACCGTACCATCCGTGTTATTCTTGCCATTCTGCAGGATATGCGTATCGCGGCGAACACTGTTCTCAGCGTTGGTGACCGTGCCATCCCACTCGCCGAAGCCCTCGGCGAGGACGTGGAAGTCGTGGCCGTGGAGATGCATCGGGTGCGAGCCGATGAGCCCGTGGTTGGTCATGTGGATGCGGACCGTCTTGTTGGAGCCAAAGTCGAACACGTTCCACTCCGGCTTGTAGTCGAAGTCGCCGTTCTTGGCGGATAGCAAAATGGGCGCGTTGTAGTCGCCGCGGTACGAGCTGTTGTTGACGAACCAAATGAAGTTTGTGCCGTTGGAGCGGAAGGTGAAGTCGATGACTTCGGTGGTCTCAGGCTCCTCGATGGGGACCTTGCAGAGCGGAATGCCGGCGGTGGCGAGGTCGTCGTTCTTGCAGGCGGCGAGCTGTTCGGCAGTCACGTCACTGGTGGTGCTGGGGACCGACTCGGTGTCAGCGTCTTCGTAGTAGACGGCAGCAACGGCGTTGGGCGAGATGCCGTCATTGAGAGTGCAGTGCTCCGTGCCGAGCTGGGAGCGCATCCAATAGGCGTCGCTAGGGGAACCGGTAGCTTCCACAATGATGTCACAGCGCTGGCCAATGCCGAGGGTGACGACGTTGGTGGTGTAGGGCTCAACAGGGATGAAGTCCAGTGCAACGACGGTGAGCTGGTGTCCGTCAATGCTGAACTTCTGGACACCCTCGGCACCAGCGTTGACGAGACGCAGTAGGTGCTTCTTGCCAGACTCAAATTGGAACTTGGCAACACCCGCATTCGCATCGCAAGGCAGAGTGGTGTTGGCGCAAGGATACTGCATCTTGCCGTTGATCAGGTTGTTGTTGGATGGCGGGAATCTTCCGTTCATGGTGTTGTTGATGAGAGTGTAGTAGTCGGCATGGAACCAATCTTCCACGATAACTGGGCCGAGGTCGATGTCGTACTCAGCGTGCTTGGGACCGTAGATGACCATGGCGCCATGAGCACCACCGGAGTACTGAGCACTGTAGTGGCCTATGAACTAGTTAGGGACGGTGATGTTGACGAAGACACTGGTGATGCTTACTGTGGTACCACGAGCTTCCGTAACGGTCGGCACGGAAAAGCTGTTCGAAGGTGCCACCATTCGGCGTAATCGGGCACTGAGCGACAGCGGGCACACCGTCATACCAGGAAGTTTCAGTCTGGAAGAGTCCGTGAGCGTGGATGGCAGTACCCTCATCGGTCAAATCATTGGTGACGCGGAAGAGAATCCAATCTCCCCTATTCTCAAGTCAGCATGTATTGTCAAGTGGAATCAGTCGAGGGGCGCACCAGTTAGCTTCAACGAGTGGGCCGGGGAACTGTCCGTTGATAGTCAAGCCGTTCCTAGTGATGCCGTCCGGAGCGATCGTCTGGTAGGCAACGTGGAGATCATAAGTGCGCGTGACACCAGTATCTGGCATAGTAGGGCAGTTAGGAGCAGGTGTGCTGGTGCTGGACGATGTGGCGTTCATGGAGTTAGTCACCGAGCCAGAAACGCTCGAAGACGGGTAAACCGAAATGGTTGGGTAACCAGAACCAGATGGGTATTCAGAGCCGGTGGGATACGGCTGGTACGAGCCTCCCGTAGGGTAGGGAGCTCCCGAAGAACCAGAGCCGGTTGGATAAGGCGGGTACGGGACACCCGTGGAGTAACCCGTCGGAGTCGGGAGCGACGAATACTTCGGACCACTGGGCAATCCACTGATCGGGAGATGAGGACAATCAAGCTCTCCCCAGTACGAGTTTCCATTCTGCTTCCCCTTCGGCAAGGAGGGAATCAGCTTGTTGGTACCCTTCGGAATCCACGCTGGCGCGTCGTACTTGTCCTTCGCAGGCCCCCCATAAGGATATGGCGTAGTTGGATAGGGAGGAGGTAAAGTCTCGCCGTGAGACGGCTTGCCGGGCCAGTTGTACGGAAGCGGGACGTCGTTGTAGGGGTTGTAGTACGGTCCTCCATGTCCGTGGTCGTTGCTGGTGGGATATGCGGTGGCATATTGAGTGACGGTAGCGGTGACGATCTGGCAGATGTCGGCCGTGTAGTTGCCATTCGGTGCCGGGAAGAGCGACGGTGCGTGGTAAACCGAGGACAGCGAAGCGGTCCCGGCGACGTAAGGAGCGTAAGCCACCATTATGAGGGGTAGCAATTAATATATAGACGACGATCCAAAACAAAGAAATGCACAGAAACGAACAATTAACGAGTGACTGGGCCGGGCTGGATGAGCTCTGAGCAGATTCGAGGCCATTGTTCTATATACCTCCGGCGATCAAAGATGGCCTGAGTCGCATCGTATTAGCGCGTGATAATTGCCCTTTTCTGGGCGGTGGACGGCTTGGAAACTGGCCCCAGGCGTTAGCGGACTCGTGGTGTAGGCATGCAGCGCTGCCGTTTTGCGTAACAGCTGTAGTGGGGAACGCTTGGGTTTGGACGGTTAAGGTAAAGTCTGACGACTGGGCTGAGGGTGGACCGAGAATTCAGCGTCTAAGCGCGGCGGACACCGAGTCAACGCATCGCTAAGCTTCGTATAAGGCGGCTGGGGGAGATGACAGGAGAAAGGCAGTTCGCACTACTCATACGTCAGCCTGATAGGGCAGTTTTCTGCACGAGCTCTACTCTGTAGATGCTTTTCCGGCCCGTGGCATTCCTGGAGGCGAGATATGAGGTTAGTCGATGCAATGGACACTGTTGCGATGCTGTTGCAAGAGCGCGAAATTGTGTTAGAGGAAGTTCTCCAGATGCGAAGAGTTGTCCACACTCCGTCTCGCGCGAGTCAAGCTGTGCAAGCTGTCATCGAAGCGACAAGAACAATATTGGAGTTTGACGCCGCCGTCAAGAGACGGTGTTGCATAACGTGCATGCACGATAAGCGCTAACGTTACACACACTCTGTCATCTCCATAAAAGCTTCGAGGCGAGCCGGAGAGTTTGGAAATGAGACAAAATAGGAGGTGGGCGCCAGACAGAGAAATATTGCTTTGCGAGAGCAGACGTTATCGGGCAATGCGGTGGGGAGCCGAATGTGATGAGAGGTGCGGGAGGATCGCAATTCAGAATCGAATGTGGAAACAAGCTTCCGCACGGACCACGTAGGAGAAAAAGGGGCCTGTGTCGATCTCTTCCGTCGACCTGGTTCCTCCCCAATCTCCTCTTGAGCCCTGCCACACATCACAGACTTCGCAGACGCTTCCGTTGTTGTACCACCAAACCATGTTGAACCCCATTCCCCAAAGTTTGGCCGTCTCTGAAAACCTGCGTCAGAGCTTACGCGTGCTTCTGTTCCGGGCCCAAGGACCCCCCCAGTGGCGCCACGCCCAGCACCAAGCTTTTCCTAGCTAGCAAGTATGCGCCACGGGGCGGTACCTGATAAGGCTCCACCAGTAACGTCGCTCGTATAAGGAGAGCTTTGCTTCTCTTTCCGTTTTGGAGTCTCTCCTGCAGCATTCCTGTCAGCACAGCTTCATCCCATCTTTCCGTCTCTTGATATCCTCTCACAACCTCTGCTCTTCTCCGCGTGCAAACTTCTCAAGAACCAACTTTTTGAAATCGCCAGCGTCTACTTCTCATTGATTGCGCGGCTCCAATATTGCCATCACTGACTTAGCATCCGTCGGCCCGTGTTGGCCTAAGCGCGGGCGGATCACAGCTCGCCTCATGAAGCCAGCCAAGAAACGCCATCGATAACTCCCCCATAAACATCTGGGGGCCTCAACAGTCATTCCCCTGAGCGTCGACCGAGCCTCACTTTCACATAACAACGCTCCTCGCTGCTTGCTATGATACATATTGTGATGGAATGGGACACCACTCTTTCCAAATAGACACGAATCATGGGAATGATCTGGAGCCGAGGTCGAATAGAATCTAAAAATATCTCGAACGGGTACCTGCCTCGGCGCGCCGACTCGCCTAGCAAGCCATGCCTGGATGAGGCATCATCTTGCGGATCTTACCGACCTCAGGCGTCGGGTTGGGACAGTTGTCCGTCAGCACTCTGCGATGATGGGCCGACAAAAGCCCGTCGCTGCCGTCCTTCACATTGGCATCGCTTTTCCAACCGCCCCACGGCTGTATTTCGAGTTCCTTTTATTAACGGCGTTGGCGTGGTAGCTGCGGTACGAGAGGGTTTGTCGCCAAACCGATAAGACGCCATGCTCGAACCCGCTGAGAGAACATTGACAGCGCCGATTTCGCTTCCGAATAGGGATGTGGGTGAAGCAGCAACCCTGTCGAACGGCTTCCTAAATCCGAAAGTTTTCATTGGTCTCTTTCCTTTATCATTATTTTGCCCAGACATCTCGTCGCTTCTGTCAACTCCACGCAACACCGCTTCTTTGACAGTCCTGTGGTTCAACTTCTGCTTCGGCACCGTTGACCACAGTATCTCTCTCTGATTATTACCCTGCAAATCCGCATTTCACTTACCGTACTATAGGTTCGATTGCTATGAACAACTCCTTGCGATAGAATCTATCCTCCATGCACAGGAAGTCCGTGGAATCTCAAGCAACCTTTACCCTTCTTCGTCATACAACCTCACGTGGTATCTCATTCTATTTGGAGTAGAGGTCAGCTTTCAACTCCTCGTCTGGCTACCAACAACGAAGCGTCGGCTAGGAGCGGACAATACAACTCCTGAACCACATAAACTGCTCTAAATCTGTCACTAGAGCCCACGAGATTGAAGCAGATTTCGTTCCTTAATCCTTTTTTTACGGCTCGCCCAGTGTGCGTCGTCACCTCGCAGCTGCTTGGCCAAAATATCCACGACGAACACCAACGGAATGCCTTCACCCAAATCTTCCCCCCATTGTACTTCGTGCGAAATGTGAGAGGCTACAGAATAAACGCTCAACCTCAGTATTGTTCTAAATTCACCGGTAAGCTTCTATCCGCACCTCGGTTTTTATGTTCGAAAGCATATTCTGGATAGACAGAATGCCAAGAACAGCATCATGCATTCACCCGCATCACGTGTGCACGTGCCTTTCCGCCCTTGTCGGAGAAAATCGGCCCGCCCTACGTCCAAAATACCCCGCCGATTGCTCCACGCTCGCAGCGTGTCTATCCAACTTCTCGACACCGACACCAAACTGGCAATATGGACGTCACATTCATGGACCCCGAGACAGCAAAGCTTGCAGTGGAGATGCAGCTTGCTGACATCGCTGCGATCATTGATGACCTCTACTTCGATGAGGATGACCCAGACCATGACGAGATCGCGAGCTTCAGAATGATGGAGCGGGACATGCAACGTCAACTTGAGATCCTCGAGGGCCAGGTCCTTACGCTTAATATCCTCAAGGACGAACATGAGGGTCGCGTCGCTTTCGCTAAGCTTCTGGAGGAGGAGAAGCAGGCTGTCACCGACCATCAGCTTGCTATGAGTCTTGCGGGCATGGGCATCGGCCATTCCAAAGTGAAGAGCAGCAACGACTACGAAGCCACCCTTTGCGATGAAGAGGACAGCACGCGAGATGAACAGTGGGAAATGGCCAAAGAACTCTATTCGGCTGCTTTCAATCGCGATGGCAGTGAGCGGCGATCCCCACGAAAGACTGAGAGCGTTAAGGCCGAGGATCTCGAAGGTGGAGACAAGGGAGGTGTGCTCGGTTCCAATGCTCTCACGAAGTGCATTGCCTGCATGGACGTCGTGGCGACTAAGGACACGATTACCCTCGACTGTGACCCGGAGCCGCATACCTACTGCCGCACTTGCCTCACGGATCTCTTCAAGTCCGCCATCTATGACACCACCCTGTTCCCCCCACGTTGTTGCAGGGCGCCGATTTCGCTTGAAGTATCCCGCGCCGTACTTCCCAAAGATCTCATCAAGGATTTCGATATCAAGGTGGAGGAGTTAGCCACGCCAAACCCCACCTACTGCTCGAACGCTGAGTGCGCCAAGTTCATCCAGCTCAAGGACATAAAAGGTGATGTCGGAACCTGTGTTTTCTGCCGCGAGGAGACGTGCGTGCTCTGCAAGTGCAAGTCGCATGGCGGGCTCTGCCCGAGTGACCCGCACGTGCAGCTCCTCATGGACGCAGCGAAGCGAAGCAAGTGGCAGCAATGCCTGCGGTGCAAGAACATGGTCGAGCTGGTGACGGGTTGCTTCCATATGACGTACGTCTACAGTATCCGCTTCACCTTTCACATGCTAACACAGCTCTAGTTGTCGTTGCTCTCACCAGTTTTGCTATCTTTGCGGCGTCCGTTGGAAGCGATGCACCTGCCCTCGGTGGGACGAAGACTACCTCACCCGTCCCGCTCCGGTCCTTCAAGCTGCTCCACCCCCACCGAACGCTCAGGGTCAAGGCCAAGGTCGATGCGTGGTCCACGTTTGGGCCCGTCATTATGGCGGCGAGTGCCAGGACTGTGGTGCTGTGCATCTACCTTGGGTCCAGCGCTGCGCAGGGTGCGGCTTGCAGAGCTGTTGGCGTTGCATCCACAACCGTATCTGAAGACTCATCTGGGTCCTTCACGCGCACGCTACTTTCGTTGTACGTGTGCAAGTATTGGATTGAAAGACGATAATAATAACCGTCACAGGAATCTCCAACTTTACGGGATTGTTGCGACCTCTTATCGTCACGCAATGCGGACGAGGGATATTGAAGACGTTTTGAAGGAACGTGCATGGGGTGGCGACAACGCAAGGATGATATGCTTCGGTGTAATGGTTTGACGACATTTATCGGCTTTTGACATAGAGGCTGAGATAGAACGGAATACATTGCACAACATCCTGACGAGCCATTCCACTCCCGCGATTTGGACTATCCCATTCACAGCGAACTGCCTCCCTAGTGGATATACAGATTGTGGAACATGTGTCCTAGAATAGGCTTATGTATGTTTGTCGCGAATGACAGCCTCTATCATATCGTGCAGTGCGTGACTTTATCCATAGACCAACCAACAGTTCGTAATTGCATTCAAGCATACAAAGTCTCCGATAAGCCTCCGATCAGTTTCCGTTGTATCATCCTCTCTAGTGAGATCGCAATTGTTGGTGCGATGTTGCTACGCCGCACGGAGACATGTTCACTTTGCTGAACCAATAAATCCCCCTTAGATCAGCATTGCCCATCCTGAACTCCTAACTTCTCCAATTCGATCCAGTCTCCCATATCTCTGCCGCTCTTGCACCGACTCAGTAACCTCACTGCCGTCGCATTCACAATGGCCACTCCCTTCACCCCCAAGCAAGCCCTCCACGTCGACGGCGCTCTCCTACAAGAACTCCAAGGCAACGTCACCGACTCCATCGCGCGCGATCTGCTCCCAGACCTCCCACCCCTAACCTCCACCTCCGTCATCCACGACAACGGCTGCGGCTACGGCGCCGTCACCAGAGCCATCATGGAGTCGAATCCGCCCTCCGGGATCCAAATCCACGCCACAGACATCAACCCCCTGTACCTAGCGCAGCTGCAAGCCAAACTCGCCGAGCGCCCGTCATGGCCCGTGGAAGTCACGACGATGGATGCATGCAAGCTGACGTTCCCGAACGGCATGTTCGACCTGTCGCTAGCGACGTTTATCTTCCCCGCGCTGAGCGACGACGTCGGCGCCGCGGCGCATATGCTGCGCACGTTGAAGCCGGGGGGCACGGGCGTGGTCGCGGTGTGGAAGGAGATGCCGTGGCACGCTGCGCTGGAGAAGACGCACGTTAAGCTGTGCGGGGAGGACGAGCCCATCGCGCCGCGTCTGGCCAGTGCGTGGTGGTATAGGAAGGAGAAGATTGAGCAGGTTGTCAGGGATGCTGGGTGGAGGGATGTGCGGTTTGTCCGGAAGGCGGCGTGGCTGAGTCTTGGGGTGGATTTGAAGCGATGGGCGACTATCGCGTGGACGTTCGCGGGGGCGCCTGCGGGCGGGTGGACGCAGAAGGATGAGGAGACGTGGGGAGAGGCGGTGGAGTGTATTGCGGAGGAGTTGAGGGGGGAGGAGTGGCATAGAGTTGAGGATGGTGTGCATAAGATCCGGATGGTTGCTGATATTGCGATTGCGCGGAAGTAGGCCCGCGCAAAATGGAGATGAGGTATCAAAAGCACCGATGAGGGGCAGCTATCAACGCAGGTATGGCCGCCTGTAGGTGTACTGATGCGTGCGGGCCTCTTCTACGTCTTCCGTGTCTTGGGTGGCCGCTCCAAGCCTTTTTGGGGTGGAATATCCTTCAAGTCTAAGCGCGGATGACAATTAATATATTTTGTCGTCTCCCCGAAAACAAGAATACTGGTGAGGCACAAAGATCAAAAAATCCGAAACTCCTGAAGGCTCTCATTCTTCTGCCAGGACGGCCAGTTCCACTCCTCCGGTTGTACATTGACACCCTCTGCGGAAGCAGTATCTTCTGGATCTGGCCAGTCGCACCCGCGTCTGCGCCTTGGGGGAACAATATAAGCCACCCTTTGATACTTCTGGTGCGGCTCCCCGGTGCCGGGTATCTGCGATGCGTTCTCGGATGGACAACCCATTAGTAAGCCTCTAGGAGGCGCCGGTGCTCGCGTGACAAGCAACACGGTGTAGCGGGTGTGTTCGTCATCGGAACTTGCGCTGATTGACTCCAATTCGGAGGTATCCCAAAAAATTTGAAATAAGATCGCGGAATCGCGCTTGTTCGGTTGGACATAATAATGGAGCGGATCAGCGTCTATATCCCTCCAAAAATTTACCTCAACGAGATAGCCTCTCATCCGCAAGTACGTCCCCGCTACGCATTTACCGAAGGAAGATGTTCCAGATACCGTGTTGTTAGGGAACCCAAGGATATCCCAATTGCTTTCGATCGTATCCGTAGATCCGGTGGATTGCGTGGCAGTCTGGTCCTCGTATACAACAGGGCATGTTACTGAAGCCCACGACCAAGTCGGTGCAATATCCAAACGTCGTACAGCAGACTTTGCAGTTGGCACATCCGATCGCCAGAGCAACTCTCGTTTGAGGTTATTCAGCCACATCCCGGCGATATAAATATCATTTGAGAGGTGCTTTCGGGCCTCAGCAAGGCCAGATAATGCTACAAGTCGATCTTCCTCGAAGGTGAGCCGTAACCGGGTGTACTCTTCCACTACTGTTGTCCAAGCCATCTTAGAAAGCGCTCTCTTCAACAGGCTAGTCTTCCGATGATATCTCATGCTTGAGGCAGAGCACTCGCAGTTAATAAGTGAGCGACACTCCCACCCGGTCTCCGCCCCGCCGAAATGTAGCGTCCGAGGAGAAAGTACGCGTTCTTGAAAAACCCAACCTCGGGTCGAGAGTCCGCTTTCAGGAGGCTCCTGCTCACGGCAGAAACGGTCAACAACCTCCTTCGGTCCTCTAATCCTAGACGCGATCGAACGTCCCGGCTCGGACCAGTCGTGGTACGGCAGTTGATATGCAAGAGAACCTCGTTTTCTGACGTAAACGAGGCCATCGTGTCCATCGCACGAGAATGCGACGGTCTTCGGACTGCTCAAATGCCTTCTACATCCTGAGAGAAATCCTGCAGCGCTGTCTTTCGCAGCATCGGCTGCGATGGTGGCGTATGCTCCTCCATAGACCTTCGCCATTTGCGGTGCATGGACAGCCCAGTCTTCAGGTGAATCTTGTATTATACATAGCGAGTCTATCCATAGAAATCGGACTCCCAACTCTCTTGCCACAAGAACAGCGTCATTAAATGTCGTCGGCAGTGGTTGCGAGATACTCTGGAGGTGGCCTTGGAAATTCTGCTTATTGGTCATGATGGGTGTCTTCCCGCCCCAGCAGTGGCTCAGCGCAATATATTGGGCCGTCTCGCCATCTTGGGGAAGGTAGAGTCTGACCGAAGGCGACTGCTTCGTTCCAACGTCGAGGACGCGCGCCGGCAGAAAGGACCGTTTCAGGTCAAAAGCTTTGCATGAGGAATGCCCCTCTCCTGGAAGTGTGCAGCTTTTGAGCCACTTATGCGCTAACTCCAAGGTTGAGTGCGAGAGGCCATTAAGGCCAACATGTGTGCTAGCTCCAATTTCAGGCCAGGCCGTAGTATCATCTTGATATTGAGGGATCGTCAGTTTTACGAACCATGGAAATCTATATTAAGCGAGGCCCCTGCCAGGAAAGGGAAAGAATGAAGGGAATTGCACAGAGAAATAGAGAATTTAGAACTTACTCGGGCCCCTGTAAAACTGCAGCCTTGTCCTCGGTATGCTGGACGAGGTCACTTTCTCATGAGGTATAAGGTCCACCCTTAGCGGACCAGTATCCTTCAAAGACCTCCATGGAATACTTAGGCACTCGAAGTTCTTAAAGAACTCATCTCCATGAACAGCCGCAACACCGTCCCAGAGCAGTCGGCAGGTGTAACATTGATGGCGCTGTGCCCACAGCGCCTCGATGGTGATTCTTCGGTTAGCAATTCGCCCCTCGGGGCTCGCGCAAAGAGAACATGTGAACAGCATGCCTTTAGAGGATAGAAGTACTTCTCGACTATGTTTGAGAAGCAGGTGAGCCTGAGGGCGGAGTGTCGTAGGTTTGTGGTGCTAAGGGGGATCAGGCGACACTTGGCAAAGCGCTGCTGGCAAGGTTCAGCCGAGCCCGAGACTTACTGCCAAGGTGGGCTTTCAACTTAGGAGAGCATCATTACGTAAGGATAGAAACTGTCGTGATAGTCCAAGCTCGCAGGTCTCAATGTAAGGGTACTTGCGGACATTTTCCTGAAGGCCTCGAAGGACCGCAGGGTCTCCGGACAGTAAACCTGCACAATACACTTCTACATAGAGCTTAGGTGTTGACTTATAGGCGCATGGGTAGGTAAGGCTCTTACCCTTTCTTTGCTTAGAAACGTGGAGACTCCGGTCGATGGGGAGTCAAGTCGAAGGCGTCTGTGGCATCGTCAACAAGGCACTGGAGAAAAGCGAAAATCCGAATAAGCTCTTGCCGGAAGTTGCAGAAAGAAGAGAGAGACAGAGAAATGAAAGAGATTCGATGGCGAAGAGCCAAGGAAGAAGGTGGGAAATGTTGGTCCGCCACAGATTTTGAAAGATCTGAACAGTTCAGAGGTCATGGGAAAGAATATAGTCGGGAGAGCCCTTTAGTCTTTGCCAACAAGCACCGTCAATCTTCTTGAATTGAAAGAAGCTTACATTGGTAATCTGATTTCATCTGCTCAAACGTCTGGAGGCGTCCCGCCACTGAAAATAAGTTTCTCCACAGAGTGGCTGATTTCGGAGCTCTCGGATGAGAAGAAGCTAGTTGCTAAGCATACCAAGCAATACGCCAGAGAGTCTTACACCTTTGAAACATCAACCTCTCTACATCGTGGGGAACCGTCGGTCGTCGGTCGTGTCCTCTGTCGAAACGCAGCATGACGACTGGGAACGTAGGCGTCCTGTTCAAACAGGCCCTTTTGACTTCTCGACGTCTAATGGCGTGATTGGGAGGAGCATGATGGCGATATATGTCTTCTGCTCCCCGCATGCGCGTAAGCAGGCCTCTGACGCGAGTGATGAGCAATGCTTATAGCCGATTCTGGCGTATCCTGCTTTGCAGCAGCATGAAACTCCATCGCGCCAGGAAGATCCTCAGTCTCGAACGACGGAGAATTCATCTCTTCGAAAACAAGAAAAAGCGGCTCATCGGTGATGGATCGCATTCCGCCAAAAGCTGCCGTGTCCGATGACATAGCGGTGGCCCCTGCGACCCAAGCTTTCTCGCTAAGGCCGCCAACCCTGGCCGGGAATGACGTAGCGGCTGTTAATCTCGCGACCGCGTGCAGCCGTCACACCTCACGCCGTTATCCACTGGCTGCATTTGTCTGGTTCCGGCCCAACCGGCGCGGCGGACGCTGATAAATGCGGCGCTTTCGTCAGAGAGTGAGTGCTGTATGGGCGGAGGTTGGGGATAAGCAATGGCGAAGATTTCGTGATCGACGGCCATCGCGGCTGCTGCAAACCCTGACGCGGGGGAGGACAAAAGTCAGACGAGCAGCTGCTATACATCTGATCTTTATTCCCGCAGCTTCAGCGTCTTCAGCGTCTTCACGTTTGCAGTTGAAGTCTCGTCCCGCTATCCTCTGGTTGATATTCCGCGGAGCTCGACGCGCATTTCAACGGTTCACGAGCCGGTTCCAAGGTTCCTTGAGCCAAATCGCCAGGTCGATATTCGAGCGTCTATTACAGCCGCCTGTCTCTAGCTCGCTGCTTTCCGCCACGCACCCGTCCACACGCACCTTAAGACCTCGACCGACCCACTTCTGCCTCCTCCACATTCCTCCCTGAGACACGATATCATATCTCTGAAAGCAAAGAACAAAATGGCGGTAATTTGGGGCCTCGACCTGAAAGAGATGCAATGGGGAAAGTTCAAAAACAGCTACATGTGGAACAACGAGTACCACCGGCGCCGAACAAAGTTCATCATCTATCAGTGCGCCATGATATTCTGTGTCGTGAGCGAGAGCTTGGGCACAGCAGCGCTGTCTGGTAAGCATCCTTAGCACGCCGCTCCCTTCATCCGAGTAGGACTGACCACCGGGCAGATTATGTCGACCAGCAAGACTTCGTCGCAAAGCACAGTCCCGGCGCCACCGTCCACAACAACGACTTCATCGGCATTGCCTCGTACAATATCTTCGTGGGCATCTACGTCGCCACCATCTTCGGCTCCGCCTTCTTCTTCGACCTCTTCTGGCCCGAGCGACATGAGACACCCGCCGTGAAACTCGCATGGCGCATCTGCTCCGTACTGGCCTGCCTTTTCACGCTCTCCGCTGCGCTGGCATACACGGTGATTCTGGCGACCAAGCGCGCGTACGTGACGGGCACGGATGCCGACACGACAGAGAGGCTGCTCAGGGAGTATGGCGGCAGTCCGATGAGGTATCGAGACAACGGGAGGGCGATTGCGAGCGTGGTGTTCCTGTGGCCGGGCATGGTCTCTACGTTTGCTAGGTATGTAACTCGCAAAATTTTTTATTTGGGGGAACCATTTTCTGACTTCGTCCAGCACGGCTCTTCTATGGCACAGCCTATCCCACATCGACAGCTTTGGTCCAAAGTCGAAGCACGCCCGCATCCGGGATGGCGCCGCAGTCGAACCCACCACGAAGCCAAATGGCGAGCCCATCGAAAAGCCGATGGACGACGGTAGCGCCATGACAGAGACATCGACCGACGCACCCACTGCGAATGGGGTCGTAGCGCCCGAGCCAATACACTCAAGACCTGAAGGCGTTCAAGATCGACCCATGGCCCCGAATGGACGGTATGAAGGGGTATAAGCAAAGAGGTTGGCGCGCGTTCAACCAAGCGCTCGTCGGACGAAGATGCGTTATTCCCATACCCATTCTTATGTCTGCTTCTATCCAGCGGCCTATACCCCTAAAGTGAGACACCGGCGTTTGGGGGAACCTGCTTACTCTTATTGTAATACCTCGCCCGGCTTCCAGGCACACGCAGGAGAGTCCCGGAGGCTGGGAGTAATGCATACCTTCTATTCATCATCGACGCTTGTTGGCCTCCTTTCTACCTGTCTCAGGAGTGATAGCTTTTGCCCCCGTCTACCACAGTATCCATCATCGGGATATTCCGCTGCGCCCACCTCGATGAACTACCCACTAACCGCTTTTCTATCCCAACTGCGCTGCTGGCTTCTTACCACCACACCATATTAACAGCCAAAGCCAGATACACCTCTAGAGCCTCCTCACTAGAGCATCGCGACCAAATAGACACGCCTCCCATCATTAAATCCACACCCTACCATCCCTCAAGCACCTCCCGATCCCACCCATCCGACTATCATATGCGTCGCCCCCACCCTTCTTTCTCCTCGGCAACGCTCCCGTTAACGCCCCATCACGAGACACCGCGCCACGGAAGAAAAAGCAACGGGGAGAAAAAGGAAAAAGATTACGCGACCCTGGCCGCCCAGCGCAGCGCCGCCGCACACGCGTCCGAGCGCCCGGGCTGACGGGAGCCACGAAACGGCTTTCCTTTTGCGGAAAATGCGTCCCAAGGCGGCGGAGGGGAAGTTCCGTCTCCTTGTTATGCCTATCGGTACGGTTTTGTAGATTTGTTGGAGCGAGCGGCCCGCTGCTGGGTAGGGTAATACGGGATTGATTGAGTGGGATGCGGGAGGATGGATTGAAGGTGGCGTTTTGATGAGGGTAGGGGCGAGAGAGATGTTTGTGTTTTGAGGGGAAAGTTGGAAAGGAGGAAGGCGCTGACGCTGACGGCCGTTGAGCGAGCGGGAAGGGACGATCATGCACGCATGCAGGCGCGTTGCCCGGGCGCGGAAGCCTCACAGGGCTCTTTCTAGAAGTTACATAATAAGAGAAGTGTACAGTAATGCAGGGCGTGTTATGATCTTCAGGCAGCTAGAGTAGGGATGCTCTATCAGTGACGGGAATTACCAACCAGTTGCAGCATGAAATTACTCACGCGAGCGACGCATGTCTCTCTTGAGACGGGGCGAAGGCTCTGGGAAACTTTCTCTCTGCGCAGTAAGCTGTGCGCTCGTCAGGTGGATCTCGGAGATTTGTAGCAAGAGCTATGCTGGCTTCCGTATTCCCCGATCATGCAGATGCCTGCCTGAGGAAGGGCGCGCGCTTGTCCGCAGAGCCGCATGCGGTGACGGTCTACGCTTGGACGACGGCAGGAAAGCAGTCATGGAAACGCTTGCGAGATGAGCATACGCCCGTATGCATGAAGGCCGCTCAATAAAGTTCTGCAAGCACGTTGACACTGCCCGTCTTTTGCCTCTGACCAGTTCGAAGCCTGCGCGGAAGACTCACCCCATCGCCTCGCCTGCAAGCGTCTGAGAGTCGTCGAAACTGCTTCAGCTGTCAAGTCAGAAAGCTGTTTCAAATTCCGAGTTTGCTTCCTATTTTGTCTCTGCTACCTGCCCGCTAGCAGCCCTGCCGTCCGCGCGGAAGCTCTGCCGCGCTGCCTTCGGGGCTTTGACGCGTTCGGAAATAGCGTCTACTTTGTAAGCGGAGCTAACGATCCGCTCCCTGCTGCCGGGAAAACCCAAATTCAAGAAAGGTGGCTGGGGACATGGGTCATTGCAACTTGTAGGGGAAGGATACGGTAAGGCTGAAGAACTTTCGAAAGGCAGGAAAGGGGCACGTCAGTGCTTCTAGAAAGACAAGGACCAGGATCCCGGATGAGCGAAAAATTTATCAAGGGCTGCAAAGAGCCGACATGAGTGGAATTTGGTGCGCACAATCTGTGCGAGACGGACGATGCTGGTGAGCGGTAGAATGAGAAGTATGACTGTGCGCGGGATGTTGATACTTGTTTCATTCGTGACTTGCTTTTCGGCGTCTGGATTAGGGGAAGCTAGTTGGCTCATGAAACTAGCAACCGGATTCCCATCATGTTGATTTGGGTGCCTACTCAAACCGTGCGTCGATCTGTCATTACTCTGACGATGGACCCTGGGCCTGCTATCTCAACGAGCTGCAGCAACGTTAGCAAACGAAGAAGCACGTGACGCCGCACTCCACTCAACACGCAAAGTCGTTTTGCGCCTCGTGTGATGCGTATCGTCAATAGCGCCGGCCGTACCTTCTCGTGCCAGCTGAGCAAGACGCTCATGGCCTGTCCTCCGCCTTCGCCTCCACCGCGAGCATGGATCTGGGAGAAGCCGGTCGCCTGAGGTGTGATGTTTCGCGTTGTACTCGCTGCGCTTGTCTGGGCCATGCCTTTGTAGCTGCGGGAACGTACCGTTAGCCAAATCCGACCAAGACAGGAATGACAAAGGGCGAGTTGGACAGAAGGGAGTCACAAGAGTGCTCGAGAGACCGTGGCCAAAAGGCGGTCAGATGGTGCGAGGGCTGGATTGGGGAAGTGGATCGTACATATACTTCATGAGCACGTCTAATGCCTCTGTTCCACCGGGCGCGCTGTATATGCGGCTTAATATGGGTGACATGTCTGCCTGCCGGATGGACTGAAGAATCTCGATGACGGTAGCTAGGTGGATATCCTATAAGTGCGCGAGACACAAGTCAGCCTTGTCTTCCCTTCGTGGGTACAAGTGCGAGGGTACCAGCGCGTCGTCCCGGTCGCTGGAAGCCCGGGCCCAGAGCAACGGATGCGATGGTGACGACGCAAGTCGAATGCGGAGAGACACTGGAGAATAGTGCACCGCTACGATGGCCTGGGAAGGCACTGTTGTGGAGGCGACGTAGCATGTTGCGACGTACCTTGCCCTTGTCGTCCGCCCCATACGGCGGGTTCTCCAGCGCACCCTGCAAGGCTCCCTCATTGTCTCCTCCTCTCATCAGCTGCCGTATCTGGCCGGCCAGTGACTGGACGTCTGCGGTCGATACCGGGGCGACGGTCGGTGTGAGGGTGGTGAGGTCGAAGTTGGCGGGGGAGTCTGGGTCCAAGGCATCGATGTTGATGGTGCGCCAGTTCACGTTGGCCATGGCGGCGGGCGTCCGGAATATTGGGGAGTGAGTGAGGGTGGACGAGTGCGAATGTCGGAGAATTGGGGGAATTGGTGGCTGCAGCGGCGTTGCGGACGAGGCGTTGGCGGGGAAGCTGCGATGACTTTGCAAAATAGAGGGCTCGCAGCCGTCGTGGGGGTGCGTCTGTGTCTCCACCCGCCGCCAAGCATCGGAGAGGCCAAACAATCCACCATCGGAGCTTTTGGAGGTACCGACGCACCTCAAGCCGTCACACAAGCAAGGGTCGGCACCTCAGTCGCCTCGAAACAGATCGGAGCTGGAGCGGCGGTCGCGCAAGGCCTATCGATCTTCCGGTGGCGGAGATCCGCGGCGCCACGGGTGCAACGACACCACTACAGCGGGAGCCAAGGGGTGCCAAACAACATCAGATGGCGAGAAGCGAATTCTTGTGGATTGCAATTACAACGACTGTCTATCAACCCGGCCGTGTCTCGCGACACACAAGGCCTAGGACCCAGGCACCCTTCCATCCAATCTACATCTCAGCACGAGAGCGTCTGGACGCCGTCGGCTGAGGCCGTCTGATGAATGCAAAAAAAAAATCGTGGCTGGTCATGAATCGACGATCCATCCAGCTCGCGGAGCTATATAGTACACAAATGGCCCACGGCCAGGATGCCAGTGAAGGCAGGCCGGTGGAAAATCTACCCAGATATGCTGTCCCGAAGAAAAGAAAAAAAAGTCCGATTTTGGTATCCGTCCATGCCTGGGCCCATCCTAGTCTATAAACGCCGGGATAAAGAAACTTTTTCGCAAGGAGATGCATTGTCGCTGAAGCGGGCAAGCAAGGGAAAACAGGTGATGCAGGGAGGAAGCCGCTCGAGAAAGGCAGGACCGGGGGTATTAGGCGTGCTGAGACGAAGGGAAGAGTCGCTGATTATTAAAAGGGCGTAATCCCGAGGGAAGGAAGTGAGAAAGCGAGGCGCCAAAGGGGGAAGCGCGGCTGCGCAGCGATGCGGTGAAGGCGTGGTGTTGGCGGAGCAGGGCTGCAGCAGATATTGGTCAGTCAGGGTGATCATGCAAGGTAAGGCGAGCCCTGGCACTTACGACGCGCAAGTTGGCATCCCTCCGTTCCCAACGGAACACCAGACGGACGGACGACCGGGCCTGCATCGCTGTCGAGAGCGTCGCAGCAGAGCAGACGAGGGAGGCAGGGAAGGCGGGCGGAAAAAGCAACGGTCGTCGGCGCGGCACGTTGAGAGTGAGGTGCACGGCGCTATCGCCTCTTGGGCGGCGGCGGCGGGGGCTTTGGGGTGCCGGTGGTGTCGTAGGCGCCGCGTCCCATGTTGTTCGACTCGGATTCTCTGAGTATCATGGTGGATGTGGGCGTGCGGGCTGCTTTATATGTCAGTCGCGGTTGCACGGCGGCGTCAGACCCGGGCGGCGCCCGACGGGACGGAATTGACTCACTCACTGGCAAGCGGATGCAGAGCAGAGCACAAGGCGTGGCGTCAGCTCCGGCTGAGTGCGTGTCGACGTGTGCGAGGGCGTGCCAGAAAGCGGCGATGGCCAGGGAGCGAGGGTGGTGTCGGCGACGGCAGTGTCCAGAAGCGGAGGCGTGCGAGGGCAGGGAAATAGCGTCGTGCTCCAGAGACTACGGCCGGGCAGCGCTGGCGACGAAACAGACGGGAATGAGCGGAGGCAGAGAGCGTGAGGGAGAGCAGGAATTTTTCGGCGACGAGGGCATGCCGTCCCTCATATAACACGGCGGCGGAATAAGGGGCCTGGTCACTGACGGCGCACTGGCTTGGCCCGCGACGACTCAAATGAAATGAGCGCGACTGTGCTTTTCAGGCTCCATGACGTGCCGGGCGACGGCTCTCGGGGCTTGTTTCAACATGTCCCCTGCCGGCCGTGTGCTTTGCCAGAAATTGTGCGCCGCGAGGGCAGCATGGATCTGCGAGCTGAATCCGCCGGGAGGGTTAGGCCCTGCTCGCCCAAGAGTTCCTGCATACGCTAGGCCCGACGCCAACGGTCTGTCGTCCGGCTCCCACACGGCTGACGCCCACCCGCCCTCTCGCGCTCTCCTGACGCAGTGACGCACGCTGATATGCGCGTATCTGTCTCGCTGGTATCTTACCTTCTTCCAGTACCTACTACCTTCACGTCGCCCTCCGCTGCCTGGCGCGCGCCCCCTCCCCCCCGCGCGGGCTCTGCGCGCCGCATGCCCTTCTGCGCGACGAGGAGGCATCCGCATATGACACGCCGCTCAGACGCGACCGTGTCAGCGCCCGACCTGCCGTGTGCGCGCGCTGCTGGCTGCTACGGGCGTTGACTCGCCGCGCTCGGCTCCAGACGCAATGCAGAAGTTGGGACGACGCCTCCCAGCCGCGGGAGCCGTTCCCCGAGGGCCCACTGCGCGCTGCTGAGTCCGCTCTCCATCCCGGGCGGTTGGGAGGGCGCATCTCTGCCCTCTGCACAGCGGTCCCGGGTCGCAGGCACGGCGTCGAAAAGGAGCGTTGCTTTTGCGCCTCTATCGCATGTTTCCTTTTGCGCGCTTCAGCACCGCCGTGCCGTTGATAGGCTGCCACATCCACGTGGGATTGCGGATTCCCGACCACACCCCTCGTACGCCCTCACACAGCTATTTCGGGCGCCCCAGCATCGTGCGCGGAAATGTGCATTCGCCGTCGAGCGCGTCTCCAGGCAGCACCCGTCCGCTCGCCAGGAGGCCTGTCCGGGCGACAAATGCAGCGCCGAATGGGCGTTGGCGCCGGCCGTGTGCGCGACAGGGAGCATCGCCGCTTGCCCACAGCCGGCGTCAGGGCGGCGCCACACAGCGCTTCGCTTGCTTCTGGAAAGGCTCTAGAAACGTTCGCGTTTGATCCACCGGCGCTACATTGGCCAAGTCGCAGCCAGCCCGGCGTGGATGTCACTCCCAGGTCCCCTCCGCTGGACAGCAGCCCGTCTCATCAAGCGCACGGTCTGGGCTGCGACGTCGCGACAGCCTGTGTCATTCTTCGCCGAGCGAGATTTGGCCGTCTCTATCTCAGACAGGTCGCATCTGGCTCTGGACAGTGATCGCTGCAAGCCTTCCGCTCCAAGGGAACGGAAGCTGTATGCAGCCGTCCGCGTGGATTCGTTGCTGCGACTCTGCTGCAGCTGCTGGGATGCCTCCTGGAGCCGTTTCACGCACAATCGTTCCTGCCTTTGTTCGCATGCGCTTTTCGCCGCGATCTGTCTCTTCATCGTCGCAATTGCCATCGCTATCGCCGTCGCCTCTCTTTTTCTCCCTTCCTTGTTACGAGCCGCGTCGCCCAGCGGTTGCTTTTGGCACGGAGCCCTCCCTGCGATGACATTGCCCTCCTTTCGTACGCTGCTCCGTACAGGCTTTGGCTCCTGCACAATTTGCCAAAATACGCCTTATTATAAACGCCGGTGCTGCCAATAATATAATTCAGCACCCGCCTGCATTGCTGATTCGCCCCGGCACGCCCTCCTAGCCGAGCATTTCAAACCCTCAGCCGGGCAACTATCGACAGGGGTTGGGGCAGCAGAGTGAGACAGGCACACCAACACAGGACAGCGGGCATCCCATGGCTATAGCAGCAGCCTTCTCGAAAGGATAAAGATGGGACGAAAGCTATGGTACATCGCCTCGCATCCGCGCCTGACTCCGTCCTGTCTAGAATCGCGACAGCAGCGCTGGGAAGGTGTTCCGGGCTGGCATAAGGCCAGTTGCCAAAATGAGGGATTTCTGGCGCCCTGACGCGTCTCTCGTTGCAGCGGCTTGCTTCCTAGAGGCCGGTCCAGCGCGCGGCTCGCAGCGCAGTGCCTAAGTTTGATCTTTTTCCCAGCTCCTTCGCTGTCCTTTGCAGCCGTTATGTCTGCGCGACGCCCGAAGCAGAGAGCATTGCTCACACTTCTCCACAAAAAAACTTTTCGAAATTGCAACCGTGAATTTTGGCTGCGGGGAGTCGGGACTGTGGGCTTGCGAACGGTTTTGCGACCGTAGTGGGCGGCGCTACTGCAATCTGCGGCCGGCTTCCCATCCCGATGGAAGCGAAACAGGGGTCGACAGGAGGGAAAGGGTCGATTCCTGCAAAGGCAACCCTGCCGACACGTGGAACTAGCTGAGCGTGGTGGAGCTGCGCCTCTTCTTTGGTAAAGGGGGCGGCGCGCCGTCGGACGTCCCTCTGGCAGCAGTCCGACCTGAAGCCTGACGGGCCATCACCGGTGCCTCTCACGAGGAGGAGGATATTCCGTGTGCTATTCGGACCGGTCATCAAGCGTACGAGAGCAGCCAGGTACGCAGCGCAACCGGCACGACAACCGGACCATTAGCCGGTGGAGCCCGTCCCAAACAGGAAATATGGCTTGCGAGGATGCGGCCAAGTTGCATTCCTGCAACGTTCCACCGACGCCTTGAACGACGGGAAGCAACCTGCCCTTCTCGAAGCAGCTGCAGAACCCGGTGAGCGGAATCCTTCCTGCGGCTTCGTCATCCGCGCCCAACGGCCAGCCGATCCACCGAGGGAGGCATCCGTGCGAGCTTCCACCGTGTTGAGTTGAATGCGATCATCTTGAATGACCTCACCTTCTGTATCAAACTTCTGCGCTGTGCCTGTCGATCAGTACAACGCAGCGTAACTCCACGAATATCTCCCCCTGAGCGACTCCGGCAGCCGCAGCGCAGCCGCAATCCCTCGGGCGGCACGAATTTCAGATGCTTTGTGTGCGGCTTCAGAACTCCCGCACTCGAACCCGGTGGTTCGTCACGATTTTCGATCGTTTGTCGTACCTGGAGAAAAGCCTCTTCGTTCCCGGTAACAGGTACCTTTTCGCACTCCAGCAGCTGCCGTGCGGCCCACCTTGGAACACAACCACGGTTTGCAGCATCATCGCATTACTTCTGTGTGCATCCGAACGTCTCCCGTGGCCTGATGCGAACGATGAACGCCTCGTTTGCAGGCAACTCGTCACAGTCCCGGCGACCCACATTCGGGCTCAACTCTATTCAGACCACAGCGAGGTCGCCGCTCTTCCCTAATCGACTCGAGCACTGGCGAACGCAGCCGAAATGTTGCACAGCCAAGGACTGTAGCAAACGCCACGCAGCAACGCAGTGCACTCCTGTATGGATCTGTTTCCGTATACGGACTTTCTCTTTTTGTCCACTCGAAACCAACGGGTGTGCGACCGCACGAGCCTGCGGGGTGCGGGCGCTAGGAGAGCTGATGGGCGCTATCGATACACCAACTGCACGTCTAACTTTCAATTACTGTGCCAGAGCGCACCATGACGATTTCTCCAGCGCCGCGTCTAGATCGTCGCAACGGAATGGGCCTCTCCTTTTGTCCTACGATCTCGAAATAGCACCTCATGCGGTCCTATTGTTGACCTTCGTCACCATCGAGACGCGCGCCGTACTAGCATGCATCGCGCATTCTCACAGCTCGGTCGTTGCTTCCTTTTCCGCTATTTTCTAGCCTTGTGCTGACTCTCACGCACCAGTTCAAGGTTCCGACCTCCTTGTCGTTTCCGATAAGATCCGCACGGCACAGCGACCTTGACACGTCGAGCGAATTTGATTATCGTCGCACACGGGATGACATTCGGCCTGCACGGATGACAACAACTGATATATGACCGCTTCATCAGGGATCCGGCTTACCTACAAACTACGCATCACATCAGCAGTGCATTCATTCGCACGTCGAACGCCGAAGCGGTGAGGGCATGACCAAACATACGCAGCGCACACATTGCGCTTACGGAGTGCGGGCGGGAGCATCCCTCCACGTGGACTGGACGCAAGTGCGCAATATCCCGTCCTCCCGTCCGTCGTGCCGTTCTTAGCGAGGCTTATCGGGGCGCTGACATTATGGCTGCGTGGTTCGCGCCAGCTTTGCGCTGCAATCTTTATGCATTGCGGACTTGGGCTGCGTAGGGCTGAGGCTGTGTTCGGTAAGATGGAGGGGCAAGCATTTTGATTGCGGGCATGCGCGAACTGCTTCGCTTAAACTTGCGCCGAGTGAGCCGGGAGATGACGGCAACGTTGGATAAGAGAGATGCACTTTCGGGACTACCTATCGCAGCGCAGCGGATTCCGTCGGGCTCCCGAGGTCAGCTTCAACATCGGCTCTTATGTTACAAGGCCCGCTTAAGTCCGGGTCAAGTCCGGATGTGGTTGACGTGCAGAACAGATTCTTTGGGCACCTTACGGTAGTTTTCTATGAGCGCGAGACTGCCAGCTATAGCTATCCACATCAGACGTTCCGGCCGCCGTTGACATCAGCCAGCGACGCGGTGCTTTCTTCTCAATATACATGGCCTTCGCTGCGGGGTATTCGCCAGCGAGACCATTTCTAGCCCGTCAAGATGTCTTTCTCATAGTTTGCGCGGATCAGTGAACCCTTCTCTTGTCCTCAGAAGCTCTTTTGCAGTGTCCTAGAATCAGAGTGGGCGTCAAGCATACAACGCACGTCGCCGGATAACACTTACTCCCGCAGTACTCCACCATTGAAGTGAGGACTGCCATCCTCGCCAAAATCATGTACAGCGAAGCCTCGCCCGAGGGAAGAACTGCTTCATGCTCCCTCCATACTAACGCGCCTGCCGGTACAGCTGATTTTAGTGATGTCGTCCAGCCAGTGCAGTGGAAAGAGGAGACACTTCTGCGTTGATATACGGGTACATGCATCTATAACGATCCATCCCACCCGCCATACCATCCATCCGTCCACCTTTTGTATGCCCCACCGCCAACCACCCCATATCAATACGCATGCTGATATATTACAAGGTCCGTGTCGAAACCCTCTATCGCCATGCGCAAGTGGAAAGAAACGTCGGGCAGCCGGACGCCAAGAGCGCAATCCACCAAAAGAGAAGAAAAAAAAGGAGTCAAAATGCAGCAGCAAGCGCGAAGATCAAATTCACCGAGGGTAGACCCGCCAACAGATGATTGGAGATGATAGGATGAAACGCACAATTACAGGTGTTAATAGTACAAGGGTATGGAAGTATGATTGCCGGCCGTCTCGAAACATCGTCAAACAAAAAGGTGTGTGCTTTTGGGGGTGCATCGATAAGCACGGGGAAATGGATATTGATGCGTCGTGTGCTTCTCACGAAGCCTTCTGCGTTCTTCTCTTCGGGTTCGCCGCGGGTGTCCGCTTCTTAGGCGTCTTCTTCGGCGAGTCGCCTTCGATATATCGTAGCAGTTCCTCAATGCTGCGCTGGTCGACGCGATTCGTGCTGCTGCGCGGCCTGTTGGCCGTCGTGGTTTCGCTGGTTGTTTGTCCGACCGCTGCCTGAGGCCTCAAGCCCCTACCAGTAAGTCCAATGCGGCGAAGGCGGCCTGAGGCGAGGGCCTGCGTCTGCTTAGCCTGAGTGACGGCGCTCGAAGTGAGCTGCTCGAGCCATTGCTCTGCTTCCTTGGTATTCTGGTTCTCAGCGCCGAGCAGCGTGTTGAAAATGTTGTACGACTCGCGCATGCGGTTGACGGCACCCCGCATGTCCTTTACCAGGGCGAGAGATTGCGCAGTCTGGAAAAGGAGAGTGGCCGTATTCATCGAATTCTTGCCGGATACATCTTCGCAGATGGAAAGGGAGGCTTCGAACCACACCTTGGACTCTGGGAAGTTCTTCAATGTCTGGAGCATTACGGCCGCATTGTTGAGGGTTGTAATGGAGTCGGGATGGTCGGCACCGTAGACAATCTTCCACAGCTCGAGAGCGTGGCGAACATAGATCAGCGCGGTCTTGCCGTTGCCTGTAGCGTGCTCGAACAAGGCGAGGTTCAGATAGGCCAGCACCGTATCGGCGTGGTCGATGCCAAGCGTCCGCTCGGAGACGATGACAGCCTTATGTGCGAGCTCTAGGGCGGCAACCTTGTCGTCCAAGTTGAAGAGCAGGTTCGAAAGGGTGTGATACACCCGAGCCACCTCCGGATGAAGGACTCCGTAAATCTGCTCATGAAGGGTGAGCGATTCAAGCAGAAGCTCCTGTCCAAGTTCCTTCTGCTCCGAGGCGATGGACATACGGCCGGCTTCTAGGGCTTCCTCGGCAAGGACACTCTTCGGTGACGCCTCTTTCACCACCGGAACAATGTTCAGAACATCGTCGGCGTGGAATGTCTGAGGCCCGCTGGCGACCGGACTTGCCGCACGCGAGGGAGAAGCGGTCTTGTTCTTCTTCTTCTTGCTTGACGAAGTCGCATGCCCGTTGGTAGATGGTGCCGACTCAGTCGAAACACCGTTAGCAACTGCTTGCTTCGTGAAAGCATACTCCTTATTCTCCAGTTGCAGGCCCAACTTCAGAGAAACTTCTCGCAGGAGCTGCAGCTGTTTGTCTGACTCGACCCAGGAATCACCGAGGTTGTACCGATACCTCAGAGCAACTTGTGCCAGGACTTCCTTCTTCACGTCCTCAGGAGTCAGCTTCTCAAAGCTGAAGTCACACTCCGGATACAGGGGCTTCAGCGCAGAGTCGGTCTCGGCGACAGGTTTCGCGTTCAGCTCGCTACCGAGAAGACAGTTGAGCAGATGCGCAACACACGGAGCAGTAAAAGGAGCAGAAAGATTGCGCAGCTTCGAGTTGGCAAAGTGCTTGAAACCGCGAGCAATCATTTCCTGGATGATTAGCCGCCTGAGGGCCTGAAGACGCGGGTCTTCTTTGTCAGCGAGTTCGGCGATCTTGCCGAGGTATCGGATGTTGATTCCGCGTTTGTGAAGAAGCACGCTCAAAGACTGGCCGTCCATGGGGAAGCCGACATCACCGTCCTTGAGCTCCTCAATCAAGCGCGGGATAATGTCGGAAAGCAGGTGGTTGCAAGCTGCGCGAACCTCGGCTTCGTCCTTGGCCCACTCTTCCTTGTCTTCATCCGACTGAGGGTGCTGACCACAGAAAACATCCGGGTTCAGGGCGAACTCGAAGCCGGAGATGTCGACGCGGTCCTGGTCAGCGGCTTCCGCATCCTCCTTTATCTCCCGCTCCTCGGAAGTCCCCTTCTTCGGCTCTTCATCGCCATTCGCCTCGAGCTTCTCCGCGCCTTCGCCGGTCTTGGAGGCCTCGGCCTTCTTTTCCAGCTCTTTTTTGACGTATTCTCGCAGCTTCAGCCGGCCATACGATTCCACGAGTTCAGGGCGCAGAGTGGCCATACGGTGGGGGTAGTCCTTTTCCTTGGGCTTCGGCTTGCCATCCTTGTCCGGCTCGCTCCAATGCTCTTCGATCCAGGACACGTCTACCGGAGTAAGACGGTACAGATCAAGCGCATATCGCCTTCCATCAGTACCAATCAGACCCTTTGTCTCAACGCTGCCCTCAAGCTCGTGTCGAACGTTGTCCTTGTCCCATACGGGATGCCTCTTGACTCGGAGGGCTTTCGACAGCTGCTCGAAAAGAGGAACGAATGACTTATCGTCCGCGACGATTTCCTTGCCCTCAACCGCACCATAGTCGATCTGGTGCTCCCCGGGATCCCGCTGCTTGAAAATGCCAGGAACGATACTCTGGCCAACGATGCGCTTGCCGAGATAATCAACAACGACTGTCCCGGAGGTGAAAAGACCGGGGATGTCAAGATTGTTCACCGCGCGAACGCCGAAGACATCCTTTCCAACTGCCACACGAGCTGCCTCATCGCCACCTTCGGTTCCGAAAGTGCCTACACCGTCGGCACCAAATGAATAGAAGATGTTGTTGTACACGAAAATCTGGGCGTCCTTGGCTTCTGTCGGGTTGAGGGGTGCGATCTCGCCGCGCGCAACCAGCATAGCACCGCGAGTGGCAGCGTCATTGTAGTCTGCAAATAGCTTCGAGGTGAGCCGTTCACGGAACACGCGGTCCTGGACAGCCTCCTTGGACATCTCCCGCGTCGACTGAAACTCCTCATTCCAGTCTCGAAGCGTCTCCGTGTTCTCCACGCCGGCGATCAGGTAGCTCTCCTGTGTCCGTGCCAGATCGGGCTGGTGGGTAGTATGCGGCGAGTTTGGCGCAGGGACGAGCCAGGGGTTCGCGGGGATGGCATTGGAGAGCTGGAAGAAGGTGAGCGGATCCCTCTTCTGAGTATGTTCAAGGTACGCTTTGAAGGAGGAGCTAAAGGAGGGGGAGATGTCCTCGAGGAGGGCTAGGAGCGAGTGGGCCGAGTGGTCTTTTGGTGCTTGACGCGGTGACGGATCGAACTTGGCATTGGTCGACTTGTTCACGTAGAAGCCGGCGACATGGGCCGTGATGTGATGCTGCTCGCCCTCGTTGGTGGTGACGTGCAGATACAGCAGGTGCCCCTTCGACCGCAGGTGGTACGGGGGCGGGTTCCACGAGGAAACGGAAATGGACTTTATCGTCTTGGGCGCAGGTTCCTGCGTAGGTGGCAGCAGAATCTTCACGTCACCCTTGGCCTTGAAGTCGTAATCGCTCAGGGGCGTCTTGTCTGCACCCTCCTGCTTTGGCTTGCCAGACTCGTCCAGCCCAAGGGTGTCGTGCAGCGACAGGCCCGCGGTGATGCCGTGGAGGGCATCGGTGCGGTCGCCGGCAGCGCCAATCAGCTCCCGGACGCGGATGACATGCATGCGCGCCTCCTTCTCCGTGTATGGGTCCTCCACGAGGGTCAGCACCGCGTCGGCCTTGAGGCCCGGCACCTCGGAGAGCTCGACGTAGTCGTTGATGCGCTGCCCATCGAGCTCCAGGTGGAAGCACGAGTACTGGAACAGCGGCGGCGTCTCGATGATGGCCTGGCGGAGGTCCTGGACCTGTTCCTGCGTCGAGATCTGCCATGCATCAGCCATGCTTCCCTCCTTGTGTTGCCCGGCTAACGAACCGTGATGGAATGCTCGAACGGCGCATGGGGGAGCTTGACGGTGATGGAGAAGATGGCTGCGCTGCTGTTAGTCACTTGCTGCAAGCTCTACATGGGTGACGCAAGACGTACTCTCAGGGTGGCCATTGGCATCCTCCTCCCCGGCTTGCTCCGTCACGGCTCCCTGGCCCGCTGCGGGTTGCTCGGCGGCGGCGGTCTGGGCGGCCTCTGCAGCTGCACAATTGTTAGCCATGAGCTGCGCCGGATTGTTTTTGACGTGGAAAATGGGCTGTCGCGGGCACAATCCGACGTGCGTAGGGGTGGGTAGCTCACCTGCAGCGGAAGCGTCATTATTGCTCGCGGACATGTTGGATTCGCGAGGGCAAACAAATTACAACTCCGGGAAAGCACAGCGTGAGAAGGAAGGAACAGCTGCGGACGGAGAAGATAATATACAAAAAGGGAGCATTAATGTACAATGGGCGCGTACAGAGGGGATGGAGAGTGGGAGAAGAAAGCATCATGCTTCCAAAACTTTTTCGTCCCACGACGCCGGGGAAGCCGCTAAGCCGAAAGCACTCCCGAGCGTCTACCGAGCAGCCCTGCGGCCCCCAACACCAGGCTGCGGACTACACTCGCTTTCTGCCTTGCCCGTTCGTCTGCTGCTCCTGCATCATGTAAACTGTCTTGAAGAGAATGGCTGTATTGCTCCTCCGCCGCGGGACGGTCGCCTCCAACATGCGTGCTCGCCATTCTTGGCTATCTTCAGTTTCGGGAGTGATCGGCCGCACGGCCTTCGCCAACCGCGCCCTGAAATCTCTCCCCGATCCCTAGCAGCGCCGATTCTCCGTCTACGCGTCTCCTGCTGCCGTTTGTCCTCTCAATTGCTTTCATTCCTCTTGCATGTCTGTCTTTCGTTTCATTTCCTTTCGTTGGCCTTTCGTTGGCCCGTCGTTTGAGCGTGTGGCGCGTTTCTCGACGACACGTGTGCGGTCGCGCGGCGCCCGACGCCGCGCAAGGTAATAATGTTTATGCGACGAACCCTCCTCAGGACTGCCACAGCACCATCCCAGGTCGCGTTTCAACACCCGCACCCACGTCCCTTTCTCTGCCGGTTCCAGCAGGCTGGCTGTGCAGGAAGACCGCGCAATCAGCCTCCGTTTAGTCGTGGACTAACTGGCCAGTCGGGTCCGCCCAGTAGGTGCTACGATTCTGTATAGTACTTACGTTTACATATAATTAGCCCCTGGAAATGACGCACCCAATCCCGTGGACGACGCTACTGAGGGCGCTCACGAAGAGGATGAGGCCAAGTCCAAGTCGAAATGGAGGGGTACAGCCTTCAAAATGTTTGAGGCCGCTGCGACTACCGGCGCATCCATCTTTATCCTAGGGCTTGTCGGTTTCAGCTACACAAGGTACTACAAGTACATGGTACTGGAAAAGATGGAAAATGCCTTCAGTCCCGGGGACCCCGTTCTCGAGCTCGCCGCCGCCGGCAAAGAGGTTCCGAAAGAGGAGAAAGCCTTTGGTGACATACCCGGAACCACTGACGAGGGTGACTACGACCGATGGATTCCACGTGAGGAGCAGGACAGGATCAACAACATCGTCAGCGGAAAAGAGAAGGGTCGCTACCATCTACTCATTGGCGAAAAGGGGACCGGAAAGAGCTCCATGCTGATTGAAGCAATGTCCAAGATCAACGGCGAGGGAGTCGCCATGATGGAAGCCCACGCAGACCCAGAGATCTTCCGCATCCGCCTCGGCCGATGTCTGGACTTTGAGTTCCACGAGGATAACATAGGAGCCCTGTTTTCCATCCGTGGGCCCCGGGACGCGTCAGCTCTGCTGGACATTGAACGAGCATTCAACAAGCTAGAAAAAGTGGCTCTGAAGCGACGCACCAAGGTTGGCCGGCCGCTCATCTTGATCATCAACCAGGCACATCTGATTAGGGATGATGAAGACGGTCGTGATCTCATCGAGCTCATCCAGCAGCGCGCCGAGCAATGGGCTGCATCGAACCTTGCCACCGTCATCGTCAATTCCGACAAATACTGGGTCTACGAAAGACTCAAGCAGCATGCGACTCGGATGGAGGTTACCCAAGTGTCGGACCTTCCCAAAGATCGTGCCATGCAAGCTTTGAAGAACTATCGAATGAAGTACTGGAGCGAGGCCACGCCGGAAGTGGTTCTAGAAGATGTCTATGACAGGATAGGGGGCCGTCTGACTTTCCTGAACCGCGTCGCAAAATCCCGGAATATGATTAAGAAGTGTGAGGAGATATGCCAGATGGAGAAGACGTGGTTTCTCAACAATTGCGGCATACTAGGCGAGGAGATGGATGACGACGTTATGGACCAGCAGAAGTATGCGGTACGTCATCCTTTTCAGCCTCATTGCCCAAGAACCATGCGACTAATCCGCCTACCAGTCCACGGCAATGGTCCTTGCCCACGCCTTGTACAAAAAGTCCCTCGAAATGGAACAGACATACGACCCCCGTTTTGGCCACATCCTCCCTGAATTCCCTCTCCACCAAGCCCGCTACATTATGACACGAGCCGACTTCATCCGCCAGCACCATGACCTCTCCATCTTCGCCATTGATTCGCACGCCATGGTCCGTGCTGACAGCGTGCCCATGCAGCGCGCTTTCAATGAAATCTGCTCCGAACCCGGCTTCGAGAAGTTCCTGGAAGCGACGCTGGATCGTATTGGCGATATTGAGTCTCTCGGCCGCACGAAGGAGGTTACGCTCAAGGATCTTTGGGAGGGCGGAAAGTACAGGATTACTACAAAGGACCGGAAGGGCAATGTTGATAAAGAGATTGAGATGGAGGCCGTCGGAAAGAAAGACGACGATGGTGACGGTGATGACAACTAGGCAGATGGACGACAGGTATGGCTACGACTTGGAGCGCGACTGGATCGACATGAGGGGTTGGATCCATGGAGACGAAAACGACATTGCCGGTGCAATTGTATGACCGGGATGATGGATTGTACATTACTGTCAGTGTAGGGATTGCATTGACACGAGGGTAAGGTCGGCTTTTCCTGATTGTTGGGGGGAGATGCCCTTTGAACGTAGAGATACCCTTCCTATGAGCTTACTTTATCACGCCGTTTCCTATGTATTCTGCTGTATCACATACTATGTCTTTTCTTTGGCTTTTTCTTCCTGTCCAATGTACAGCAGGGACCATAGTCTAAGACGATCCTGGCAGTTTGTTCAGCGAGCGATGCGCGGACTTCAGTGCTTCGAGTGAGCAACCTGGGACGGCTAGCCAGATATATCAAGCCCCGGAAGACCCGCACTTTTCCACAGATTTCCACGCACCGGGTATTCAGCGGTCCGCGGTGTTTGCTTCCGAAGCCGACATCCAGGAACCCGTATCCGAGCACAGGCTTCATTGGCCGAGCAAGCGAATTCAAAGGCCGACCCGGTTATCCGTTGTCCCCTCCGAGAATTCTCGCGCGGCGTCCAGGTATTTAGGTGCGGCTCATGCAGGCCAAGACGGCCGTTGAGACGCCTCGGGAAAACGCTTTGCCTCCCCAGCCAACCAGGCCGCCTTGTCTCTTGGGGTAGGGAATCCAAGGGCTCGCGTACCTCCGCAGTGCTAGAAGTTTGTCAGTCACGTGATATAGCTAACCAATCGCAAGTGGACATGCCGCTCACGTGTCTGGCGCCACGCAGGTACAAGTACGTAAGATTGGCTCAGCGAATTATACGTCCCATTGTACGCACCCGCGAAGGCCTCCAGGGGAGCTGTTCCGCACGTCGTTCTGTCCGGGGAATTCCACACCGTAGCTCGCGTCGCAGCCGCTCCGCACTGCCGTCCTGCGCATCGTACCACAACAAGCGTCGATTCGTCTCCAGCTTTTGCGGCCCGACTCTGGCCCCTCGGCGTCTGCGACTGGCGATCGTCTTCCCCGCATTAGTGCGGGTTACCGCATGCGGCAACGGAGCCGCGCTTTATCGGCCTTGGCTGCCATCACCGTGCAAAATTCGACGAGGGAGCGCCGGGGTAATGTAACGCTGGAGCTGTCGTGCAGCGGGCGGATATGGAGGCCGGGGAGCAAAGCTGGTCGGGGAGAGTGCGCCGAGATTGCAGGGATTGGGGGGGAGTTCATATAAAATTGGTATCCCCACGCCTGACGACCTGCTATCGCCATCCCCGACCGCTACGGACGAAAGAAGACTGCATCATGGCGTCCCGCGACTTCAAGGACGATGTGGATATCGCTAGCGAGACGCATAATGTGGTGGTACCCGTCAAGGGGGCCAATGTCGCGAGCCATATGGACCCCGAGCGGAGGAAGATAGTGGAGAAGAGTCTGAAGCGGAAGCTCGACAGCCGATTTGTATTGTTTGTTGCCATCTATATTATGAATTATCTGGACAGTAGGGCTTCCATTATGAGATTCTTTACTTCTACTAATTTAGCTATTAGGAAACAATATCGCGGCAGCGCGTTTGGGCGGCCTTCAGGAGGATCTCGGCATCAACAACACGCAATATGCTACTTGCTTGAGTATCCGTAAGCGGCTCTTCGAACATCCGGATCAAGTAGGCCAGCGCTGACGAAATCCAGTTTACGTTGGCTATATCCTGATGCAAGTACCCAGCAACATGCTCATCAACCGCATCTCGCGCCCCTCGGTCTACATCTCCGTTGCGATGGTCCTGTGGGGCATGATCTCGATCCTTTCCGGCATCACGCAGAACTTTGGGGGCATGGTCGCCATCCGGTTCTGCATCGGCTTCGTTGAAGCGGCCTTCTTGCCTGGCGCCCTTCTCATCTTGTCCAAATGGTACACGCGCCGCGAACTCACCCTCCGGAACGCGATCCTTTTCTGCGGAAACCTCATCTCTAACGCTTTTTCCTCGCTTGTTGGAGCGGCTGTGCTTTCGAATATGGAGAACACGCTGGGCCATCGTGCATGGCGCTGGCTTTACTGGATTGAAGGGGCCGCCACGATGGCGATCGCCATCGCTGCAGTGTTTATCCTCCCCGATCTGCCACATAACACGAAGGGCTTCACCGAAGAGGAACGCGCCGTCGCCGTGCTGCGCATGACCGAAGACGTGGGCGAAGCAGACGCAGACTCAGAGACCCAGTCCCCATACGCAGGCCTCATCATGGCAGTCAAAGACGTCAAAATCTACGTCATGATGCTGACCTTCACGGCCTACGTCGTGGGGCTCAGCTTCAACGCCTTCTTCCCCACGCTGACGGGCACGCTCGGCTTCCCCTACATCCCGACGCTGCTGATGTCGGCGCCGCCGTGGGTCTTCTCCTGCATCGTCAGCCTGATCAACTCGTGGCACGCGGACCGCACGCAGGAGCGCTTCTGGCACATCGTCGGCCCCATCCTCTTCGGTATCGTCGGCTTCGTCATCAGCATGTCCACACTCAACGTCGCCGCCCGCTACCTCGCGCTCTTCCTGCAGGCCTCCTCCTACGCCGGCTTCATCGTCTTCTACTCGTGGATCTCGTCGTCCTTCCCGCGCCCGCCTGCCAAGCGCGCCGTGGCTATAGCTATGATCAACGCGTTTTCGCAGCTCGGCAACATCGCTGGCTCTTATGTGTGGAATCTGCCGTCGAATGGATATAGGAAGAGCTATGGGATTGTGTTGTCTATGTTTGGCGTTACGATTGTGGGCTGCTATGTCTTCAAGGTTATTTTGCAGCGGCTGAATAAGAAGATTGAGGAGGGCGAGATGGCGTGGGAGGTGCAGGGAGACGTTGTGGAGCAGACGGCCAGGATGGAGGGTGTGTCTGTCGAGGAGGGGACGAAGCTGCAGCAGGGATTCAGATATCTTGTTTGAAGAGCTGGATGCTATGCCCGACTCTTTCAGATATCCTGGTGCTGTTTCTGCTAGTAGCTATTTCAGAGTATAGATGGAAATTTCGCGTGGGCATTCTATTTCGGACCAAGTCAGTGCATTACGACACATTTTCCGATCCGAAGAGTGATGCTTCCGCCCATTTTGTTCCGCAGTCAAATTACACCAGCTGCCATTCTTAGAAAAGTGAATTCTTCATACTCTACCCATTCTACTCCAAATAAAACACCTCCTCCGTCTGCCCCCACCACCCCGGCCCGCTCTTACTCCCCACCGCCCCCTCCACAGGGCTCTCCTGCATCCCATCCGTCATTTCCCACCACTGCTGCACCTTCGGGTTCGCCGCCATGCGCTTCATATCCTCATCCCACGCATTCCCCACATATTTGAAGCTGGCAAACAGCATCGGACGAGGCGTTAGGGAGAGATATATGGAGTCTGGACCAGTCAGTGTTAGGCTTAAGCCGCCTGTAGTGTGGCGGCTCTGGTGGGGAAAGATATTTACAGTCTTTTATGTTGGAGTCCTTGATTTGCTCGAGGACTTCGGGCCAGACGGCTGCGTGGCATTTTTTGTAGGCGTCGATGCAGGAGGGCTTGAGGTAGAGATATTGGCCGATACGGCGGGGGCCTTGTGGAGTGGATGCCATTTTGGAGGATGAAATTTGTTGTTAGGAGGCTGGTATATGTGGAAGGCTTCCAACTGTAAATCCATGTGCGTGATTGACGCCGGTAACGGATGGATAGTTTGCTCGGTGTATCAATGTACCGAGCTGGACATCTTTTAGCTTGGCTTAGCTTTGAGGGACGAAGAGGAGGCGTCCAGTGAATCTATCTTTGAACTTCTTCATCTGAAGGTCTGAACTGAAGCAAGACGCCGAAGTCGATGGTCAGAGGAGGGTGGTGACAGATGACGTCGGCTGCAGGCGCTAACCAAAAGAAGTCTAGCCATTTTCAAAGGTCGTTCTTGGCTTCTCCTCGTCTTTCTCCTTTTCCTGTTCCAGACGCGGATTCGAAACGAGGGCATCGCCGAGGCAGCGAAAAGGAATCGGTTTTTGGTGAGTCTGCGCCGATAGTGAGATTATACCGCACAGAACTGACCACAAGTCAATGCCTTACTCTCTTCCCTGTGCCTGAGCCAACGTTCTATACTGCTACCAGACTAGCTTTGAAGCTTGAAGCCGGTGGGCATTACGGATCGCGGGGCCCACCGTTTTGTACCGGCTGATTAACTGCCTCTCTCTCATCGTCCCACCAGTCTTCCGCTTTGTCACCTTTGAGCTGACTTGCGCTCCCTTCATGTAACATCGCTTTCATCAATAGCATCCACCCCGGGCGGTACCATCAACGAAGGCTCGCAATCTTGTTCCTTCCGCGCGCACTCGGTCCCATTCGTCCATCTCTTATGCAGTTCCCTGCGCTTGAACTAGTAGCAGTCGTTCCCGCCTGAGATCCTGGAATCCGATGATGTCAAGTCCACATCCACCAAAAAGCTCTAACCTGCGCGACTCTATCCGTCCCCGAAGCTCGGCGGTTATCGTCTCGAATATTCCGACGTCGTCTCGCGTCCAGAAAGACGACTGTTTGCGCTCCCTTTCTTTGGGTCTCTTCCGGGACAAGTAGCTTGACACGAAACGTCTTATGGACCCTTCATTTACGCCCGAGTCGCCCCTAAGGGTCAATATTGTTGCACCTCCGCTTGAATCGGAGACAGTGGACTGGCGCGTCTCTCTGCCAGACCCAGAAGTGGAAGATCCACTGGCTGGCTCGGTTGCCGGGATCGACTCTAGGGGTTGGCCTTCCTGCGGTCTATCTAGTGCCACCTCCTCCAAGATATCTAACATCCGTACTGGGCAAAGGTTCGTCGTGTTGTTCTCTCCCTGAACGAACTCGCTCTCAGTCAAGGTTATGTCAATTCCTTTGTCATGGAGGCTTTGGCTGATGTGGTTGAATGAGACGCCGCGCCTCAAGTATTTCATCACATCGTTCTTGATGAACCTGAATGTGCTTCGAAGCAACCTTCTTCTTGCGGCGACTATTGCGTCTATTCATCGTCAGTCGCAGCACCTTATACGTCCGATCGAGCATACCTCTGAGCCTTGCAGGGAAGTAAGGAACACCGTCGACAAAATCAATTATCGTAAACGCACAGATCAACTGCCTCGACGCGTCTTCGAAGTCCCCTCGCCAGCCGAATACCAGTGCTATGAATGTCCACCCCGCGGCTTCCACCCCCAGGTCGCTTTGCGGTACGATTTGCTCCCGCCTAATCGATGCCAGCCTTGCGAAAAGCCCAGGATCGCATTTGTAATGCCATACTGCAGTGCTCAGTCGCAAAAGCTCGAGGAATGTCAATTCATCTCGATGCGGCACGCCCCGGTCGATCCACCTTATGAGCCGCTCCATCGTACTGCGGGTGAGTGTTGGCGGGACCGCAATTTGGGTTTCTCCTTGTCCTCGCTGAATGTCGGCCTCGATAAGCTCATAAAGTCCGCGCGAATAGCGGAGAAAATGTCCAACATTTATTACTTGCTGCCAAGGGCCGTTGACACCATCGACCACGATGCTGTGTTGTTCCCCGCTCATGACTGTGTTGATGGATGATCGTTATGGGCGTGGAGCTTCGGAAGAGCGAGGATGAGCTTGTTACCAAGCGCGTCACACGCCCGTCACCCACCCGCCCAGTACAGAGCCTCATGCAGTCCAATCACACGAGATTCGCTTTCTGCCTGACCGTGGCGGCATTTTCCGTTGGCGCCAATAATTGGTGGCGTAAACGACTGGACCAAACCACCACATCACGATGTTCATGCCACAGCTCTCTACAAGGCGTCAACGAGGCAGACCGCTGCGCCCACCGTGGCGATAACGCCCAGAGGCAAGGGGCAAAGGAAGCGGAGGCATCCTCCTGTGTCCTAGATCGTCCTGGTTCCTTCCTACATCATTGCCCAGTACTGGCACTGCGTCACCTTTTTTTCCTCAACGCTATACCCTCACCTTCTGTCCAAAACCGAGTGTCATGGATGCATCAATTCGTACGTTCGAGGTCGTGCCAAACCATCGCTTCAATATCAACGCAACGGACGAGGAGATTCGGCGACGACCTACACTATATTATGATGTAGGTGTCAGCAAGATGGGGTATTCTCAGACTAATCGAGCTCAGGGCGCGGACATTGTATGGATGATGGTATGCAGTGCATTGGTGCTCCTCATGGTACCTGGGATTAGCCTGCACTACAGCGGCACTTCAAAGAAAGCCAACATCAACATGACATGGATGCCCATCATAACCACAAGTATTGTCGGTCTCGTAGTAGGTCATATCATATCCCGGTTCAATTCACGCACTGAAGTTTTCACAGTGGTTCCTTTGGGGATATGCCATCGCCTTCTCCCCATCTGGCTCCGGTTTCTGGGGTGGATCGAGCGGTGCAGCACTCCATGAAGTGCTTACCAGGCCAGTGGGAAATGCCCAGGGTCCCCAGATTCCGGAGCTTGTTTACGCTCTATTCCAGGGCATGTTCGCATGTTTCACGTAAGACACTGCCATGAGTATCGATTCCTCCCGCTAACGAACCGCAGTGCCTCTATACTTAGTGGAGCTACGATATACAAGGAAAGAACATTGAAGTGGGCACTATTTGTGGTCCTCTGGGTTACCCTAGTTTATTGCCCGATCGCCCACTCTTCATGGAGCCCTGACGGTTGGGCTAACAAGGCCGGCGCGCTCGACTTTGCAGGCGGCACGCCAGTGCACATTACAGCTGGAACGTCCGCGCTTGCGTATGCGCTCTTCTTCCGCCTCCAACTCCACCGTTATAATCGACGAGCACGGGCACAAGGCAGCACCGAGAGACCTGTGCTGAACTGGATCCAGAAGGAAGACAAGGAGCATGTCCCTACGGTAGTCATAGGTACAGTCCTGCTATGGCTCGGCTGGTTCGGCTTCAACGGCGGTAGCGCAATGGGCGCTAATATGCGGGCAGTGTCTGCCATCTTCAGCACACAACTAGCTGCCTGCGCAGGTGGTGTCTCGGCGTCTCTGCTCGACAATCTGTACAACCGCGCTAAGCTGTTCGAGATCGAGGAGGAACGCGAACAGAAGGGACAGCCGTCTTTGACCGAGAGCGAACGCGACGTGTATCGACAGAGATTCTTCAAAAGGATGGTACTGTCGTTCTGCAATGGGGTGGTAGCGGGCCTGGTGGCCGTCACTCCCGCTGCTGGCTATATCTCCCCATACCTCGCACCCATCTTTGGTGTTTTCGGTTCCATCTGCTCGTCGTACGCTATACGTCTCAGCAAACACCTATTTGACTCACTCGACATCTTCGCGATCCACACCGTCGGGGGCTTCGTTGGAATGATCCTTACAGCTTTTTTCGCCGAGTATGTATCCCCGCGTCCTCCACAGATTGCCAGCTAATTTTTGATGTAGTGCGGGAGTCGTGGCTCTTGACGGGTATAGTGCAATCGATGGAGGCTTCATTAATCATCACTGGGTGCAACTAGGGTACGTGGACATATCCGAACCTGAACATTCTATACGCGAACACTGCTGATGACTCCAGAATCCAGCTTGTCGACGCCGTCGCCGCCATGGCATACTCGTTCTGCATCACGTTCCTCATCTTATGTTTGATGCATTTCAGGTCATGGTTTAGGAAGAGCTTGGCGGAGCCTATACTTGTGCTTGACTGATTCGGGCTGGTCATATCTATCACGGAAAGTTGGACTGCGTCGCTTTGCAAGTCACTCTCAGCTTCTTCCATGGTTCTTCTTGAAATGAGACACCACAGTACCAGTCCCTTTGCGCGAAACCCGGGGAAACGCGCGTAGTGCTGGTTAAGCGAAGCCCCACGCGATAATACGCCACATTGGGACGGATGTGGTAGGGAAAGGCGACAGTCTTCAGCTGAGCCTCAAAAAGGCACGCCCACGAAAAATGACAACGAACCGATTCGACGCCGTATCTGCTTTTGGTCTTCTCCGCTCCACATGTCGTCACAATCACCTCTTTGTCGCCTAATATGCATGTGAAGACTCGTCTGCCTTTCGAGGCTTTCTTCAGCCTTTTTCACGAACCATTGAGAATATTGCAGCTTATCTGTGGATGCTCTCGGCACTCAGCCTGCTTCTCCGCCCTTTTCATAGCCTGTTTACTCCGCTCCTGAGAAGGCTCGTCTGCCTTGCTGCCTGTACGCCATCTTCGAGGTCCAATCCCATTATGGAGCCGTCATTTGCCATAATCGGTTTCCCCCATACCTCACACTATCATCCTCTTTGATTAATTCCTAGCGCAAATGGCGCCACGGCACAACTCATCACCTCGTAGGGACTGGAGCGAAGTCCAGGAGCGCGAATACTACGAGCACGAATGTAGGAAGTTCCGCATATGCATCATAGGCAAGGCTGGAGTAGGGAAGACGACTTTGCTAAGCAAAGTCTTTGGCATCGATGAACACGAGGTACGTCTCCCGATATCGACAACGAACCGTACTGAGGATCCTCAAGGCTGGTGTTGTAAGGCAAGAAGATGCCGTGAGGAGGGGTGGTGGGCAACATAACATCTATGATGCCATTGTTGACGAGAACCGCAACTCCGCGCTAGTCATACATGACTCTTGCGGCTTTGAGACTGGCGAAGATAATAATCTGAGTCTGGTTCAGAGCTTCATAGAGTACCGTAGCGCTAAGCCCTCTCTGCAGGAGCAGCTGCATTGCATCTGGTAAGACGTCGAGTCGCTTTTTGTTGCTCTGAACGTCCGCAGCCTAACCTTACGCAGGTATTGCATTTCCCTCGTCGACCCACGACAGCTCCACGAGGCTGAACGCGAGCTGTTTCGCTTCCTGCGAGAGAAAGAGATCCCGCTTGTTTTCGTGCTCACGAAATACGACGCCTTCGTTGGTGAGAAGCTCAGGGAGGCGGTCGAGGATATGGAGGAAGCGACTGCAGATGACTGGAGGAACGCTCGGGTAGCCGCACAAGAGCACATAGCTGACCTGCGAGGATACTTGGAGAGTACCATGGGATATGGTGTCAAGGTCCAGGAGGTCTCCAAGGCCAGGAAAGGTGCAAACACGGTGCGAACGCCGCCTAGAGTTCACTGCTTACCCGGACAGATGAGCGGCTCGTACAGAAGCTCGCCGTAGAGACCACAGCCATCGTCAAACCAAATCTGCGGATCGTTTGGTTCCGCGCTCAAGGCGTTCTAGCCAAGCAGAAGCGCGTGGGTACGTCGCTATTAACCTCCTTCGCGGACATGCATGACTAAAGGCATTCAGCATGCGTCGAACACTTTCCGCAAAAGATTCTCCACAGTCTCATCGTCTCATCCGCCCTTCCCCTAAACCCCTTCCGCGGCGTCAAGCTCGGCGATTTCTTCGAAGACACATTCCACCACTGTCTCGCAGTCTGGAATCTCCCCGGCCAATCCGTCCTCTTCACCAAGGACTACGTGCAGACCATGTTCCGCGAAGCCTCGCAGTCCTACATCCGGCGCACGAATCTCGCAGCTGCGGTAGCTCCTCTCGGCGCCCTCGACGCGCCGCGCTTTATAAAAGTCGGCATCCAGATCGTGTGCGACCTCATCATGATATTCCAGCAGCTCTTCTGGGCGACACCGCGCCGGCAGAAGCTGAGCTATGGAGACTTGAGGAGGGAGCTCGATCTGTATAAGGGTTCGGGGATAAGAGAGAGCATACATAGGCTGGTGGAGGGCGCCGTGAATTATGGGAGCAGCTTCTCAGTGAAGAAGCTGGTGGGCGTGATTCGGGTAGTGGTGGACGATGGGTGTAAGATCCTGCATAGCGAGGCTGTGAGGAGCCATAAGAGGGAGGAGGTGAGGAGCTTTGATGAGCCGCCGTTTGCAGAGTTGCCGGCGCAGAATGCATAGACTAAGAATGTAAGCTAGGAGCAATAAGATGTACTGTATTTGTAAATGACAGGAGCCTGGAACCCCATCCATAGAGGGGATGTTCTCAATGGAGTGGTCCGGATATCGATGCATGTCCGGGAACCTATGCGCTTCACGGTAACTGTAATGCCATAGTGGCAGGGTAGGTAAATAAGCTGATCGGATGTCATGACGCCCTATACTCATTCCTCTTGCTTGATACGATCTACCTAAGGTAGATCCCACACAGTTGGTAATACGGCCAACGTCATTGGAAATACGAGAAAAGAATAAATCGAATGGGAGCCCATAAAACAGGTCCTGGAAATAGTTGCGGTTAGAATGACCTTATTCCTTTCCTTACTCTTAGTGTAGCTCTGCTTGCACTCAAAACGAGAAATAATCAATCAATCAATCTTTACCTACACATTCCTGGGTAACCTTTGGATGCCTTCGGGCACGAGGCTGAGTCTAGGCGTGGCACTCAGCCTCGGCAGAGTACGAACCTCGAAAACCTCGCGAGATGCATGCCTCTACCATAGCAGTTCTCCTGTCTTTCATGTTCCCCGAGATAACACTACAATGGCGAAGCAGAGGAGCGACTCCTTGGTAGAGAGCGAAGAGATGAGGAAATTTTCCTATCAGCCTCTCAGGTCTAGTCGAGCCATCAGGCTGATCAAGTTCCTGCCGACTCCAACCCCGACATGCCAGATGATTACGGTCGAAGTCGAGAAAGCCCCGCCGTACGTGGCTCTATCATACACCTGGGGATCTAAGAGTCTATCAAAAGCCGTTCATGTGAACGGCTGCGACATCCGTATCACGGCTAACCTGGCCGATGCAATCGATGCCATCTTCGTCTTCGCAAGGGAACGGAATCTGATGTTCTGGGCAGACTCGATCTGCATCAACCAGTCAGACGTCCACGAGCGCAGCAGACAAGTGCGCCTCATGAATACAATATACCGTTCAGCGGAGATAGTCGCCATTTGGCTTGGCCAAGCTTCGCATGATAGCGACCTCGCATTCGATAAAATGAAAGAATGGAAGGTGAAGTTTGACGATTTGAAGCAGCAATGGAATGGCTCCGAGGAGTTGGCAGTTACGAGTATCCCGAGCAATGACCCTTTCTTCTTTGGTCTCAACGGCTCGAGGCAACAAAAGGCGCTGGAGGCTTTGCGTATGATATGCCGCCGGCCCTGGTGGAAAAGAGCTTGGATAGTGCAAGAGGGGTCTGTTGCTAGTCCTGCGCGCACACGCCTATTCTGTGGGACCCGTTCAATGGACTGGAATCATCTGCGGGCAGCGCTTGAAATCACCCATCACGTTACACATTATGGAAGCTCTGGGATGAGTATCGACTTCGACGATGGTATGGCTATTCGTCTTGATGCTTTTCGGAAAGACAGGGAAGGCGGTGCGAATATTCGGTTGCTGGAGGTTCTTCGACTTATACGAGCGTATGAATGCGAAGATCCTCGGGATAAGGTGTATGCTGCTTTAGGAATGGCCATGGACGTGGAAGAGGACGATATAGTCCCGGATTATGCAAAATCTCCCTCCGAGGTGTACACTGAGGTTGCAACTTTGTACATCTCTGGATTCGCCGAGCACGGATTAGATTTCCTTGGGGGAGTATGGAGATCGGCGCCGGGCAGTGCTTTTGAGCATAACCATGACTGTACGTTACCGTCCTGGGTACCGGATTGGACGTTGCGAGCATCGGTGCATCCTCTCCCTAAGTTTATGGATTCAGACGTATATGGCCATACCGAGAAGGCCTACAACGCCAGCGGCTCACTCGAAGGGAAAAGCTACGTCGAAGGCGGGTGCCTACTTCTCCAGGGCTCGGTACTTGACCATATAACACGAGTATCGAGCATTTGCGAGTGGAACCTTGCCGCCAATGGGCTCAACACCGAGCGCTCATGGATACCACAGCATCCAGACAAGCTTTACTTTACTGGACAGACTATAATGGATGCCTTCAACCACACCGTAACGGCCGATTTAGGCAGACATGGGCTCCATAGCGATTCCGAACTAGCACGGGATTTCGCCATAGACTGGGCCCTGGTAGAGCGTGATATGGGTACCATGACTGCTGTCGAGCGGCAAAGGCAGAGCTGGATGCTTATCGATACCAAGGCGATGACATTTGGGAGAAGGATCTTCAGAACGAGTCGAGGCTTCATTGGCCTGGGGCCGCCCGCCGCTCAGCCAGGTGACCAGGTCTGTGTCTTACTAGGAGGGCAGGTCCTGTATGTGCTGAGAGCTCAGGACGGTGGACATGATGAATTTATCGGAGAGTGCTACGTACATGGTATGATGGACGGTCAGGCGTGTGAGGATGAGACCTTCTCAATTCGGCAAATCATACTCGTTTGACATGGACATCTCGCAATCAAGGTGGCTATTGTAGGCGCTGCGTTCGGAACAATCTTCCTTCTTCATTCGTACTGCTTGTCTGGTTGAGGAAAGTGGGTCGTCGAATATGTTACATTCTTTGACGGCTTCGGTTTGCTGAGACGATATATGCTGGCTAGTACGCCCCGGAATGTTCCCCCTTTGAATAAGGACTTTCTTCGTGAGAACATTCTTCTCCATTATTCCTAATCATGCTGCTCACTTCTTCGTAGTCCTCTCCAAAGGACCTTTACATGCCTCATTTGGCAAGCACACGGAGTACCAGGCGATCCAAGAACTTGACAAACAAGATGAAGAGACAACAAGCTCTATTAGGCTCAGCAACTGATCCCCTAGTGTCCACCCTATAGTCGACCCGCATATGTAGCTGCGATCCCGTAGTGTTGAAATATTAACCTAAGCCAAACCAAACCCAAATGACCTCAACCCCTTACCAAATCGCAAAAGTTTCTCGTTCTCGCTGCACCGGAAGATTATCCAATATTTCTCCGTTCGTTTGATACTTGGAGAGTTCCGGATCTGAGATAGTTAATTGCACTGTCCCAACTCTCTCCCAGCGCAAAGGCCTGCCCGGCGAAATCACCTTACGAAGAGTCAGAAACCTAGCTCGGCCGTGTTTAATGGACGGATCGCGCCCGGCAAACATGAGAATGCTGATAAATTCTCTGGATCTGTGTTTCTGAGTCCACTGATCCCTTGTCATCGGCATCGACACACTGATGCACACCAGTCTGCCCGCGAGCCGGTGCCAGTCAAAGTCCCACTCTGTTCTACCGACATCATATCTTTCTCTGCCCCTTCTACCGGCGTGGCGGCGCCATGACCACTCTTTCTTGGTTGGCTTGCAGGTGAAGTATTTCAGAGTGAGGGGGTTCCTGACTTCGAGCACTCTCAGGTCGAGATCATCATCCTGCAACTCTTGCGCCGATCTAACATCCGCTAAGCGAACTGGAGACGACACGCACGCTTCTCGGAGATAGATGTCAGCAACCCACAAGAAATCGAGCGTATCAACCTCGATCAGATTGCACATCATCACAGAGTGTTCTTCCTGGGGTGGCGAGCGCCATGAAACGGTGCCCTTCCAGCCCGCCCACGTCCACGAAGGCAGATGGGTCCTGCGCTGACAGTCTTCGGCCACAAACATTCGGAGACTCGGGTCGCTCCGATGGTACCATGAACAGACGGAAAGTGCGAAAGTCACCTGCGGGCCAGATTGTCGCCCAGCGACTTTCCCGAACCATATCGGGATTCCTAACAAGGCATTGATGTTGATTGGATCGTATAGACCCAGAATTCCCTGGAACGCGTTTAAAGAGTCCTCGTCGTAGCCCAAGTTTCTTGCCGAGAAAGCACGTATGTGCTCCTCCAGTCCTCTGAATTTAGCCCGTATGGAGCCATCGTCATGGATGGGAAAGCCGTAGTCGAGACTATAAGAATCGTCGCTAATCAAGACCTCCCCATCATCGTCCATAGCTCCGCCGCTGTACGAGACTCCTTTAAAAATACCAGCGAGCATGAAGTCTGCCATACGTGCCTTCGAAGGTTCGTGGACAAGGTGTAGAGGCAGACGGATGCCATCATGAATGGCCATACATCGGCACTCCCAATACGCTTGGTGGTCTGTGAAAACGAGTCGGCGATTCGACAGGATGCCTTCCTGATACGTCCAACCTCTTGTGGACCACTCTGACTCAAGGATATCCAGACGAGGATCGCGGTGCGTAGACAAGAGCACGCTCCCGCTGTCCAGCCTGAACTTGGCCTGAGGCTTGCGGAGTGTCGCTCGTACGCCCGGAATCCCGTAGCCCGCCCCAGAGCCAGCTGCGGCCACAATCGTAAAATCCGCCTCGGAGTAGATTGTCGTCATTCTTGCAATGAGGTACTGTTTCTCCTCTTCGTTTTGCTGATCGATACAGAGTCGATCCACCCATAAATACTTCATCCCCATCTCTTTCATAACGGCGACGGCATCTAGGACTGTCGCGGGCCATCTCTTCTCAGCCTCGGGACCTTTCCCCCAGACATAACTTAGAGCTGCATAGGTGATTCCCCACTCCTGCTCCTCCACGATAGGAGGATCCTCATCGCAATTAATGACGCGAAATCCTCGCGCGATGTTTCCATGTGACGTGCTGCGCTTGCAGACATGGTCATGGTGTTCATTACAAAACGAAAGCCATTCTCGGATCACAGTGAAGTCGGCCCTCTCCTGCAGTTCCCGTGCTTCTAGGGTCGCGTTTGTGTCGCCGGACTCGCCTGAACGCAAGCGATAGATCGATCCTACAGCAGGAATATCGCTCTCCAAACAAAGTTCTCCGTGGCCGTTGGGTGGAATAGATGCGATATCCGGCACAACCGCCATGAATACCGAGTGGTTGATGCCCTCCCATGCGCTGCTGGCCTTGAGTCTCGGAAGGCAAAATAGTCGGCTCTCGGTGCTGCAGAAGGCGAGAAGTTTGTAATCCTCCTGGAGGCCTGGTTGAACCCTCATAGTCCGGAAGAAATGACATAAAAGACACCCGGACGGCGTAGCTAATCGATCCTTGAACCGGTGGACCAAGAAGCAGTCTTCGTAGTACAAAGGCCCGTTAGCCTGGCGCTGAAGCTCTTGGGAGCGAGGGATTGTGCCTTCTCTAGCCAACTTGTAGAATTTGAAAGCGCGTTCGAAGCTTCTGTCAAGCTTGAGCGAACGGCATTGCTCGCACAGTCCTTGCGAGGGAGTAATCTTTCGTCGCTTGTTTCTAATTAGTTCTTCGGCGTCCTCGGTCGCGTCATGACGGTCTTTATCCTTGGAGACATGCATGCTGGTCATTGCAACTGGATTAATTCTAGAGAATGGACGGAGTAGGAGACGCGTGAAGAGTCTGGTCGGAAAGGAAGATGGAGCGAGGATGACACGATGTTCTGCCTGCGCGCAAGGTCGTGGCACAGCCGCTTAGCGACTTTACCTAGGTAGGCTTAGCTCAGCCGTATCTCTCAACGCATGGGATCTTCCTCGACAGGACATGACGCGCACCGCTGGTGGTCAGGACATCCGAACCCAATACATCCCGAGTAGAGTTTCAAAATATATGGGCCATCGCCGCATTGGCACTAACCCCAAGTGTTAGCACGCAGGTATAATAAGGCTCGCAATTCAGGCGCTTACGCAGTACCAGAAACCACGCTCGTTGGAGTGCGGACCGAAGTGAGTTGAGCGATGTCGCTCGAGATTATCCCAACTTGGCGGCGTCGGTGCAGTGTATAGGACCGATGTAAGACATAAGTCATCCAGCAGCCGAGCCTGGTTTGGATACTTCTCCCGTATCAAAGCGGCAGCTTTCTGAACGAGAAGGAGGTCTCCGCGGCGGGAGGTGAGAGTCGACAGCTCGGGGTCGGTAGAAGCTACTTCGAATATGAACTCAATCATACTACGAACAGCATGCCCCACCTCAATCTCATCTGCATGGCCATATATGGAATTAAAATATGCATCCCAAAGACTACCAAGCAGGCAATAGAATTAGTTCTGGTGTGGTGTGCTAAGGGATCGTGGCGGCGGTAGTCTAGATGCGTCTCCGGGGCGGCTACTTTGAGTAGTAGAGTGCGCAACCGGGCGAATGGGAGCAAGTGCGGAAGGTATCGCGCTCTCTTCTTCTAGGGATCAGCATGAGATAATAATCTGAGGTCGAACTTTCGGACTGCAAACTAACCTGTAAAGGGCGACGCCACGGTATCGGGGGTGGATGCAGGCGTGAGAGGGTACTCCTGCTCGATCATTTTAATGTCCTGTGAATTACGCCGCTTCCGGTACTTTGGCTTCAGGACCCCTTTTTTGTACCATTCTTTGAACTTCTTCTTATGTTGATCGATACTATTGACATGCGTTAGCGCCTATGTATAAACGATAAACTCGTTACACACGTCGCCCAAAACCCGTATACTTCCTCCATTGTTGACTTCAACTGATTCAGTGTCATTCTTCGATCGCCGTCCCAAAGCATTGAGAAGACATCAAGGAATTCATTCCAGTGTTCGCTTCGAGAGACATATTGCACGTTGCTTCGAGCACGGGCAACAGTAGTATCTGAACATGGAGGAAGTGATGTGGTTTGCCGTTGTAGGTGTGGTGAGAGCCGTCTAGTGTACAGAGGTGTCGGAGGACTTTCCCCACGCTGGGGCACTAGAGCCATGTTCAAGAGCTAAGGATCTGCGGACTTTGGATACGGGTCCCGGTGTGTCCAAAATGCAAAGCAGAGAGAAAAGGTTGGAGGTGCCATATCTGCATCTACCGTTAAGGTATGTATAGTTCTGTGTTCGTTGGACAAGTGAAGGGCTCTTCGGAAGTGCCCTGCATGCCGTGAGACAGGTGATTCGTCAGCGCCAAAGTGCTGTGCATGAGACTTTACCGTTTCCGGACATCAAAGCTCCTCACGCTTGGTGGGGTGTTCGTGAAGAAAAAGAAAGTACAAGACGCAAGATCGCGTAGAGCGAGTACTGGAGCAGCGTCGCAAGCTTGAGACAGTATCGCATACGCCTGTAATCCACAATGGTTCCACCTAGGTGGCCGTGGGAGATGTTGGAACAGGTAAAGCTCGGTGCAGCCGACTAATGATCTCGAGATAGTCGCTCTCGTTCTCATCGGTAATGATCCCATGCCGGATGAAGAAGTCGATCATGACGGCAGCGCAGTTGGTCTTGAACTCTTCGTTTGCCAACGCTTTCTTTACACGATCCACGTCCCATAGATAGAACTCCTCAACCTCATCGTCTCGCGGAGTAGGCACGATGTCGAAGGGCAGCTCGATGTCGTAGAGATATAAACAAACAGGGACCATCAGGCCGAATTCGCCACCAAACCCGGAGTTCCTCTGCTCCACATACGTGGTCGCGCTGCAAGCACGAGCGTGTTTTCGAACAAAGTCTGTGGGCAAAGAGGCCTCCTCGTCGGACTCATGGACGATACACTCGAAAGGTGACTCTTCGGCTCTTACTCCTCCAGCGACCGTGGTATCCAGCATTCTTGGGTAAGTGAAGAGATGGGCACTTCGCCGCGGAACCCAGATCTTCATGCCCTCGTCCGTCCGAACGTACGCAGTCATATGGGCACCACGGCAGCAGACTCCGAAAAGGGGTGCCGCGGCTCGCAGCAACTGCACTGAAGGGTACTTCGCGCCGAGAATCTTGTAGTCTTCTCGGAATGGCCTTCCTAGGGTTGCGAACGCTCCGGACTCAATGGCTCTGGCGATCACGCTGGCGAAAGCCTGGTTACACGCCGCGGCGGTGTCTCGTCCATGCGACTTGTCGAGGACCTGAACAGTCCTAGGGCAGTCGTGGCTGACTTCGAAGTCGGATGTCCAAGGAATCTTTTTCACGACCGAGGGCAGCATATACCCATGCGGCCGAGGATCGCTGGGTAAAAGTAGTTGGTAGTAAGAAGATTCTTCGTGATCATCATTGGGAGTCCTTGCAATGTCGATGTAAGGGAAGCTGCTCGAATTAGCGATTACAAGGATTCCAAAGGAGGAAGAAGCTGTACCTATCGACGGCTTTGAGAAGATCAAGATAAGTCTTCGGGCGCGCCATGGCTTGGGTGCCGCGCCTGGTCCAGAAGGAGGGAATTCGCGAGGGGGACGCCGTTCGAAGGCTAGGGCGGCTAAGTCGAGCCAAGTAAGCAAGCATTTACGTCTTAGAGATGAACGGCTCTGGGCGCAGTTGGAGAGTGGTGCACGTTGGAAAGAAGAAGATGGGGTTGTTGGAGCTCTGGACCTCGGGAGTCCGAGCGTCGCGACCTAATGTGGCCTAGTGCGGCTTGCTAGCCCCCTTCCCATCGAAAATTGCACCACGTTTCCGACCTTCGCACTGACAACAGGTAATACCATCACGGGAGTATCAATGAAGCTGCAGCACCTATTCCTAGAGCCCTAGCAGGACATCTAAGATTCCAGTGCCAACAGAGGCCTCCATCCGACTCTCGCCCTTTCTTCCCCTCTTCGCTTTCACATACCCCTCACCTCGCTCCATATCCTCCAAGGAACTCCCATCAAATTCTAATACACCATGTCGGATCCTTGCTTCCATCTCGCCATACCAATCATAGGGGTACCTCAACCGTAGCTTCCCTTCCCCTACGTCATGCTCGCTGACGGTGTTGAGAAGCGGATTGTACTTCCCAGCCAACGAATTTTCGTTGGCGGAGCTGAGGTACACATTAAAGCTGCCGGACTGCGACGTCGTATATATCTCGCTCACAGCGTCCGGCCTGGCAGCGCCGTACGGCTCAATATAGCACGAAATGTTGCCGCTGCCGCTAGAGAAGTTGGTGTACGAGCCATGCGGTACCATGGCATGGACCTGGCCTGATACCGTCTCGATCGTCGTTCGATGCGTATAAGACTGTGGCGGCCAGACTTTGAAAACAGTCTCCGCGTGAATATTCCCGGACGAAGACGAAATGGAGATACTTTTGGGTTCGAATGGCGAGTTGATACCCACTCTGGGACAGATGAAAATGCCAATTTCTCCGTGTTCGTTGCGGATGTCGAGGTGCTCATCTGGGATAAACCAGCCGAAAATGGTTCCGTTGATAGAGCTGACGGAGACGTTGTGCGTTATTAATGGATCGGTCCAGGGTTCAGTGGTGTCAAGGGTGAAATCACCATATGAAGTATGGGCGATTAGGTTGTTGACTTCCCAGTTAAGGAGGGGGTTGAATAAGATGTCGAACACACTGGTTCGTACGTCGAACAGATCCAATAAACGTCTAGGCCACGGCCGGAGGAGTACCAGTACATTGACCTCGGTGCAGAGATCACTCCTATCCTGGAAGTTGTAGTCGATGTCGAGAGCGAAGTCTGAACTGTGGATGAGCACATTCTTGAGATCTGACCCTTCGCTGGATCGAACAACGACGCGAACCTCTATATCGGAAGTTTGAAAGAGACTCCCGCGGTCAATGGTAATGTCGCCTCGAAGGTTCTTACGCGATTCAGGAACCGCGGAATCATTAAGTTGCCACCGCTTTGTGGTCGTGGATTCAGCTGTGATGTTGAACTCGAACTGGCGATCTTCAGCGGCGGTGATGGATGAACAGCCTTCATACGTTCGAGCTCTTGGATGCGGTGTCATAGGGAAGTCGAGGCGAGCCAAAGGAGTTGTTACATCGGATATTGTCGAAGATCTGAATCGGAGAATCTGCAAAGAGAGAGTGAGTAGGGCTAGCAGCAGGACCCAGTATTGGAATCGACTGAGAGTCTGTTCCCATGCTCTCATGGAAGATTCAGAGGTTGACTCCTTGTTATCTTCGCCATGCTGCGCACGTAAGTTTTAGCGTTGGAAAGCTGCAAGATACTAACATGCTGGAGGCCAGGGCCAGGGACACGATGACACTGCAAACACTCTTCTAGTCCGACCTTTTCGTTCTCGGTTTTCGTCGCCATATTTAGAAGAAGGATAAGCCGTATCACAGGATATGTACGCAAGTTTCTAATCTCTAGACAAAAGATGCAGATTAAAGAATAAAAGAGGGTAGAAATTGGAAGCGCTCTGCGAGTTGGCTGCGGCGTTGAGGCTGTGCGGCGCTGAGACGTTTAGTTTCAGAGGATGCACGAAGCCGCCCGCGCCGCCTCCTGTGCGACAATCCTTGAAAGCCTAGCCGCAACGTTACCTTACAAGGCATTTTTTGGTCTTTCTTCGCCAATACGCTTGGGCTTAAGATACATGATCAGGCAAAGCTCCTAGGGACTTCGGGCTTCTAAGAATGTCCAAGTGGTAGTTCCTTCGCAACATGCTTGAGTCGCACCCGATCCGACGAAGATACTTCTAGGGCTGTGATAGGCTACATATTTTTTGATGGTCACAGAAATCTCATGGAGACATATGGACACGTCCGCTACGATTGAGACGCTTTCTCTGTGCCTTGAGCTCCGTGCCTTCCAAGGTTTTGTGATTCGTACATCTCCCTTCTCGGTCTTGCGAATCGATTCTGCGCTTTGAGCCAGTGGCCCACACGGAAGAATTGAAGTCCTTCATATCCATTCTTTCTTCTTCAGGACTTCCTGTCCGAACTCGCTCGTCCTTCCCGTGCATGAATGGGTCTATAGAATCTAGCGTATCACATGCGAAATCATTCCAGCTATCACAAGTAGTTTCCGCTCATGGTTCGGGCTTCATAATTTTGCATATACGTATCTATCAACAAGGACAGATAACCCCTTGAGCCCTCTTACGGCGTAGCATGTCTATTAATACCCTCAGAGGTTCCTTCGATGGAGGAATGCCATGGTTATTCCATAGTCGACACCGTTGTGGCGCAATGCTGCCTGCACAACCTCTTCCAGGAGCGCATCGATGTCAACAATATGATGTCTCTCACTAGAACGTGTTGGCCACCTACTTCATCCAACAGGGGTTTGAAGGAGCGGCATTGAAGGACACGTTGATGATAAGATCACAGACTTGAGCCCGACAGCAAGAGAAGGATTCGCTGTTCCTCGTGAGCAGGACTTTGGGGAATGTGGATTTCCCCATGAACGAAAGCCCGCGATTGAGGCGTATACGTTGAGGACACGCTTTCATAAAAGCATGATGCACGGCACAGTGTACCCGGGGAGTACGATATAATACGGATTGGGTGTTGGAAAGGAAAAACTGGGGAAATCTACCAGCGACACGTCGCGTGCTTTCAAAGAGCTTTGAAAGTAGACATAGGAAGCACGCAAACATTGTTATACATTTCTCTATTATTCATGCCTCCATCTCGCTGGACTCTCCTGCTAGGGTTCGCCCTTCAGCTCCCCAAGGTCCTTGCATACCCTAGGGAGTCTTCGCCGACAACGGTCCAACTGGACGTGAGAGAAGACAGATTCGTCTTCGGGGCCATTGGCGACTCTTGGGCTGTGAGCTTTCCACACATTACAGACATGATATCCCTTACTGATAGACAATAGAGTGGCATTGAATGGAATGACGATAACAGATTCGACAATAACTCAGACGGATGCATGCGCTACAAATATGCATGGTCTACCGTGGTCAACGCATCCTATGCCGACTGGGTCCCCGACGGCAGAGAGCCACAGTTCGAATTCAAAGCATGCTCCGGCGCACATCTGGAGGACATGATGGGTCAGATGGATCAATTGACGAGACCAAAGGTAGTGCTCATGGAAGCCGGCGGCAACAACGCGGATTTCTATCCCATGGTTGATGCTTGTCTTTTCCACGCAGCGATCCCTCCCAAGAAGTATGGGACACAATACGAAGACGACGACCCAAACAACCCTCAGGGAGAATGTAGAAAAGAGATTGGATTGGTCAGAAGCAGACTCCAAGGCGACGGTATGAAGAACAAGGTTGCGGACACAATCCACGCATGGAGAGGCCACAAGGCCGTTGTGGGCAACGACGCCAGTCTGTTCCTTCTTGGCTATCCTTGGTTCTTTGCCCTTGCAGAGCAGTGTGATCACTGGCACTTCAATGTCTGGTGGGCTCTTCAGAACCAAAATCTCGTCAAGCACATGCGCGAAGACTTTAATGAAATGGTAGGTGCAGCCTTGATGCGTCACTAAAGTTGCTTTACACAAATGGAAGCCGCTAACAGCGACTTACCCATAGACTGACCTTATGAACCGCGCAATTCGAGAGGCCGCGGAAAGTTTCGATGACCCGAAGATCCAATACATCGATATCAATCCAGCCTTCAACAACCATCGTTTCTGTGAAGAAGGACATAGCCGAACGGATCAGCTCAACTGGAGCAACAAGGTGCACATATGGAACAACCCTGCAAAATGGTTCGTTACGATCAAGAATGGGAACGAAGCGAAAACGTACAACACCACTGCTGATGAAATACCGCCCACGGAGGACGTTGATAAACTGATAGAGCATCCCGAGGAGCCCACAGTAGAGGGCAACAACGTCGTACTTACATTTTACAACCCCGACTATCCCGACCTCAGCATGGAGTGGAAAACCGACTCCAAAGATTTTGCAGCGCTTAGCGGTGATACCGAGGGTTCGGTTGATCGTACACTGCATCCCACCGAAGATGGCCACAAAGACATGGGAGCCATTGTCGTTGAGCGGCTCAAGCAGACTCTCCAGAACCAAAACGTGACACCTCCGCAGTCGACGTCGGTGCCTCAACCGACGCTGCAGCCTGAGCCAGAGCCAACGCCGGAGCCAGAACCAACACCAGAACCAGAGCCGACGCCTGAGCCTACGCGAGATCCATTGGCCGATGAGTGCTCCAGATCTTTAGGAAAGGAGAAGAGACAGCACATATGCGCCTAAGTCAGTCACATCGCAACCCGCGTCGTGGACGATATTTCCTTTTGTACATGGGGCTCGTGTTTTCTTCGTAACGGTTCAAATATCGTGGCTAGACTTGTAATGCAGGCCAGTAAAGACAATTTTTATAGTGTTCATATCCAAGCCTTAGGTATTTCATGTATCTTGTCGCGATGCTCATGGCTCTGAGCCCCCTGGTTTGGGACCTCCAAGTCCGTGACTGCCCGAACTCCACGACATGTATCGCCATGACCGAAAGTAGCTGCGCAATTCGGGTTTACGTCCGGGAGGAAGGTGGAAATCCTGGGATGCTGGCGAGTACAGGCACAAGCGTCAGGTTACTCTCGAGACAAGACTCGACACGGCATACCATCCGCAGGATGCGCCCCTCCTCCAACGACCTGATCCCATCTCTGCCCTTTGATCGTCCTCACCCTAGCCTGATGAGTCGCATTGAGGGCTCCGGACTCCAAGCAAAGGCAGTGTGGCTTGGGATGTAGTGAATGTAGGGTAAAGGTGGGGCGAGTTTGCATTGCGAAGAATATAAGTAGTCCATGCCGCAACAAGGGTTTTTGCAGTCATTGCTCTCGTGCGAGAAACGATTGGGCGTGTAGAACATTTCGCGGCTCCGGGGCCAACTCATGCCTTCTTGAAAGGTACAACCAAAAAAGACGCTATGTCCTGATAGCAGCCCACACTTAGCCCCGGTTACAGCCATGTCGACAGTGCATTCAACCCGATCACTACCCTGATGTGACCCTATTCGCTCCCTATAACGTCTCGACAACGTGGTCCACAGTTCTCGGCTCTGAGAGTCGCGATTGTCGATTAGATGATGAAGCAACGGAAATGGCTTGGTCTTTGAGGAAGCTAGGTTTCGTGATGAAGCTGGTGGGGACGCTGAACTCGGAGCGAACCTCCTCGTTCTTGTGGGGTAGTATGGTTGTGCTCTCTCCCACGGTCCGATTGGTCCGTTGAAGGAAGCTTCTTATCCCAGTCATGGTCGCTCGGGGAATCTCAGGAAGTCTGGCCTCCTCGTCGTGGGTCGTCTTGCGGAACGCGAACCTCTTGAATGAATATGCTGGCCTCTTCATACGCTCCTGGCGTCTCTTTCGTTCGGTCTGCGCAACGAAGAATGTGCGGTATGCGGTTAAGAAGGCCATAAGCACGGCCACGGTAGCCTCGAGAAGAAGGAGAAGTGACTGGTATATGAAATCTAAAGCGACCGGACCAGTACTCTTACTATGTAGGTTGCTGGCGCGGGTAAGAGCTATTGCGACCATGGCAAGAGACAGGCACAGGAAAGAGCCTACAGCAGTCTTCTGGCGCGCCTTTATGTTGAGCTGACGGAGGATGAGGATGGAATGCTCACGACTACATGTGCTATTAGTTGTAGGCCTTGCTGGAGACGAGTCAGTGGACTTACTCATGATATCAGTGAGCGCGTCCAGGCTCATTCCCAGCCCAACCATGGCGAAATGGACTCTAGCCTTGAGCTCTGTCCAACACTTGACTGCGGCAAGGTTAGTAGCATGACTCCCCTATCGCGGACCACTACCTACCGGTCTCGGCTCCAAAGTGAGGGCACAAAATGTATGGCTCCGAAACCATGTACACCCAAGACACGATGGTGAGCGCCACAACGCACCAATAATATTTTCGAATGTTGTCCACGGATTGGAGCAGGCGCTAGAAAAATGCGAGGAACGAGAACTTGACCGAGAATACCGTCGCGTCTAGGAGACACGAGCTTGAATAGATGTAGGCGTTGATCCCATTGGCGGCTGCAACTACGTCCTCCTGACGGATCTTGAGGATTATTCCGGGGTCTCTCTGAACCGCCTGCACCAGGCACATGGTATCCAGCCCTGCGTACGCAATCTCTGTCCCAGCAATGAGACAGAGAGACCCGAAGAATACGAAGCAATCATCGACGGTGGGCGTCGAACGTGCATGAACTCGAAGTGCAGCTCTACCGATGACTGAGAGAACGGCGAGCCCAAAAAAGACACCGGTAATGACCTGTATAATGTTAGACAGAAAGACGAGTTTGGGCACCGGTCATACCTTGAAAGTTCTCACCCTCACAGAGGAGAGATCATCTATCAACCTCCATATGGACGGGTCGTGGTAGTCCATGATCCGCTCCTCGGATTTAGACCTAGGAGCTCGGATTCGAGACTATGCGAAGTGACCGGTTAGGCTTGAATGTACGTGGTCCTCGGGCGCGCCGCTCGACTTTATCTTCTCTTGAGGTGACACCATACTGCAGTGTAATAAACATCCGTTGATGAGATGTTTCCCATGATCCCATGCCAACACGATGGCCTGTCATTGTGTGTTCTACGCCCGCTTCGGGGATTACCAAGTCCAATCAAAAGAAGTGACTTCCAGCGTGCCCAGGAGGCTGAAGCGAGTCCTTACTGACTGCATGAAGCACTACTCTGTAACGACCAACTCTGGGCCGTCAAAAGTCACCAACTCTGGACGCTCTGCCAATTACAAGCGGCGGCCCCCAAGGACGGCCTACGGCATATGGGGCCATGCGCTGTAATATACTTCGTGGGACAGGAAAGGCTAACAAGGCGGTTGTGCGACATAGAGCGAATGTTGTGGATCGCCCTTACGCCACCCTAAATGGTCGGGTCGGTCGCGCGATTATTGGAGAACATGCTACTTTTAATCAAATGGACATATCCAGAGTCTGCAGGGTGCCTTGAGAAGGTAAATTGGGCGTTCCCGATGGTAGGGTGTACACCGTGTTGCCCTTTGGCGACGTATATTAGGAGCAATGCAGCAGCCAGTGCCGGGCTCCCAGCCTTGTATTTCAATCCCGAGACATTGCGGAGATGCCGGCTTCGTGTTGGTGGCTGCATAGGTAGTGATGGTTCTGAAGCCACGAGCAGGCAATATAAGAGTTGAGATGGGATGGGATGCGCTAGCTTAGTAAGCAATGCGGCTCTTCCCGGCTTGGCCCCGTCGCCCGGCGCAGTGAGAGCTTTGCCGACGACTTCACCACCGAACCTCTCCCCGACCGCAACCCATCTCCCCCATCTCCACGGGCTTCGAAACAGCCATTTGGTGCGTCAATTTCCCTCGCAGAAGCTGTGCCGCGCCCATTGGACCTCTGCAACAGCGCGCTGACCCGCCGCCGCCCGCAGAGCCCACCATGAACTCGACCCGCCTTTTCCGCCCGCTCGCGAGGGCCGCCTTCCGCCAGCCCACCCTCGTCCGCCCCTCCGTTATGGCGCGCCCAGCCCTCGCGGCGACCCAGAGCAAGACGCAGAAGACGGAGATGGCTCCCCAGCAGATGGTAGGAACCACAGTCGGGGTACAGCAGAGGGTTCGACCAAGCTAACAGTGACAACAGACGATTCTCAAGTCGGCCATGCCGCAGCTCATCCCCTTCTTCTTCGTCAACGAGACCACCATGGCCTTCATCCTGCTCCCGTCCCTCATCTACGTCATGTCCAAGTACATCCTGCCCCAGCGCGTCCGTCTCTTCGCGGCCCGTCTGTTCATCAGCAAGCTCTGAGCGAGTGAGGAGGAGGATCGTGTACACATAGTCAGCATGTGCTTATAGACAATTGAGAGGTTCTTAAAAATGGCCATGTCACTTGGTCTGCTTGAGTGCTGTGTGCGATCGGCGGCTTGCTAGTTCCCGAAAAGTGATGCACCGGGATATCTGCTCGGTCGCACTTGTCCAAGGACACCAGCAACGAATCTCCAACCATTTCCATGCTTTGATAAGAGTTTCCCAACCATGGCAGCGTCCAATTGGTATTCCGGACTTTGAGAATCTCACCCACACAGAAGGATAAAGACTCTTTCGGAACGTAATCTGCTAAATATTATATAGGAGAATCCTATGACCGCCAACGATCGATCGACACAGCCATCTACATCTCACCCCTCTCAATTTCCAGCAGCTGTCGCCCCAGCTCCGCAAACGTCTCTGTAGCACTCCTCCACTTCAATCCGAATACCTTCTCTGCCTTGCTGGAATCCGCGCTAAACGCATCGGCTGGTCGCGTGTTCTTCCCTGGCTCACCCCTCGGCACCCTCTCCTCCGCTCCGGGAACCTCAGCCCTCAGAATATCAGCTATCTGCTGACTCATGACAGCACCGGCGGAGAGAAGAAAGCGCTGGTTCCCCGCCCCAGACGCATCCATCGCCAACACATGAGCTTTCGCTACATCCTAATAACCTCTCGTCAGCGCTTCAATCCACAGCAAACCAGAAGCTCACTCCAATCCACTCACCCTCACATCCACATACAGCGGCAGTCCATCCGGCGGCATCTCGCCCTCAGGCTTCTTCTCCTTCAAAAACAAACTCCAAATCCTCGCCGTACTCTCATTCAAGTCGTCCACACTGCGCACCTTGTGCGCCAACGGCCCGTACACCATCGGCGGATTCAGCGCCACCAATTCCCAGCCCACCCCCGCCTCCCCGTGCACCGCCCACGCCGCCTTCTCCGCAAACTTCTTGCTCGCGAGGTACGCGAGCCCTTTGTCTTGGCTCGCCTCGGCGTCAGCGAGCGCCACGGGACTCCAGTCCTCCTCGGTGTAGACCTTGTTGCGCTCGTCGGCGAGGCCGAAGGCGCCGATTGCTGCGAAGGACGAGGTGAGGATCACGCGGCGCACGCTGCTGGCGGCGACGCGCTGGATGCCGCGGAGCACTTCGGTGGTGCCTTGCACGGCGGGGGTGAGGAAGTCTTGCGCGCTGCCGGCCGCTTTGTAGAGGAAGGGGCTGGCGGTGTGCATGACGATATCGAAGGGCTGTTGGAGTCAGCGTTACTATCCGTGATTGGGTTTCTTAGCTGGTGGACGGTTGGGTGATTGCGCTTACTGGATCGCTCTTGAGCGCGTCGTCGAAGGCGCCGGGAACGGTCATGTCGGGCACGACGGCGAAGTCGAGTTGCTGGGGCGAGGTAGACGGAAAGAGGGACTTCACAGCGTCGACTTTGGAGGCTGAGCGCACGACGGCGCGGACGGAGTGCTGGGCGGGCGAGGCGAGCAGTTGCGAGAGGATGTGCGAGGCTACGAAGCCGTTTGCGCCGGTGAGGAGGATGCGGTGCGATGCCATTGTAATCACCTTTGGGCCTTGAATTACTACGAGAAGGAGAGCTTGATGGGAAGGAAGATCTTTGCTGTCGAGTTAGTTGCATTTGGCCTCTTGCAATTCCCAAGACTATATATCTTTACCGTTGCTCCACCTAAACTGCTTTACACACAAATGCCCACTCAGTCCTCACATATCCCACCCAGAATGCCCCAAAGGGACGAGTCGTCCTCTAGTAGTTGGCATTGACCTATCGGATGCCTCGACGCGCTTCGTCAGCCAAGCTTTGCACACCTTGTACCTGATTAATCGCGTAGCAGCGCTGTGAGTAAGCATCAGGGCCGTACGGATATCGTACGACGGCATTTCTGGGTGTTATTGTCGGACTTTCTGGGTTAGAAATGCATGGCACTAGGCCCTTAGAAAGGTCGGCCGACCAAGGTTTGAGCTGAGCAATTCAGATGTTGACGCTGACAAGCTTGCGATGCCGAGGTAGAATTGGAGGGGGGAAATTAGTCTCTGGATTTTCGTGAAGATGTGATATCTTGGGTATCTGGAGAAAGAACGCTAGCCGCCATGCCCCGGAACGCCGCGGTAGATACCTTTGTTAAGCCTGTAGTTTCTAGTCCAAGGCAATATCGAACGCCTGAATCGACGCCCTCACAGCCCATACACGAAGGTGATCTTTTCATCGCCCTCTCTCCCACCCTGCGTAGCCTCCAACCACTCCGCCACCCAAGGAACCATAGCACTCTTCCTCAAGACGGCGATCAGTATCCGCACGATCTTGTACTCTTGCTTCAATGGTCCTTGCCCATGGAGCCTCTCCCGCTCGACATCCTCTTCATCCCACTTGCTCAACAACTCCCTCCTCCTAGCATTCTCAGCTCTCAGATTCCGCAATAGGAGGACATAGCCAGCTGCAGCCGTAGCAACGCAGGCCAGCGTCCACCAGAACGGTGTGATGTATCCGGAATCCGCGTACTTCGGTTTGAAGAGCATGGCGGACAGGACGCCAGCGAGGTTGCCCCAGCCGTTAATGCCGAGAAGTAGAGCGCGTTTTCCGGGCGAGGGTGTGTTGCCGGATATCCAGGCCACTGTCAGCGGAGAAGCAATGAATGTGCCGGACAGGAGAATATTTAGCGCAAGGTAGCGCGGAATTGCCCATGCTTTCGATGTCGGGAGCGTAACTACGAGAATCAAGCCTGCTACCATGATTGCCAGGCCGGCTAGGACGGGAATGACGCGCTTGCGGTGCCTGTCGCTGTAGCTTGCGAACAGATACAGCGTGATAGCGCCGAAGATGTACGGCGGCGCGGTGAGAAGGTTGACCAGTGCTGGATTCGGCGACTCTGTCAGGGGGGCTAAGACGAGCGGGAGGAAGACGGCGAATGCGTAGACAGGAACCGCAGAGAGGATGTTACAGACTAGTATATGCCAAATTCTCGGGGAGAGAAATGCGGACACAATGTCATGCGGAGTCAGGCCGCGATCATCCGTTAAACCTTGTCCTGCGATGTCGGGAAATGCTTGAGACGGATTTAGTAAACCGCGAGATTCTTCGTCGTATTCTCTTTCTTCCTCATCCTCTTGGGCCGGTAAAGTGGCGGATTCGGCCTGCGTCGAGCGGTCCCGTATAATCCGCGAAGAAGCGTATTCCCGCTCTTCCGGCGTCAAGAACCACGCCGTTGCGGCGCTGTGGGGGAGCCAAAAGTAGCCAGCCAACGCCACAATAATAGTCAAGCCGCCCTCCAGCAGGAACAGAACTTGCCAGCTCTGCCACTTCGTATGCAGCCCAGGGTCACCGCCCTCGCCGTGCTCGTCGCGAAACTGGGAGAAAACAATGAAGCTAATGATGCCGCCGAGCGCGCCGCCGACAGCCGCCTGGCCATAGAACAGCGAAAGTCGCCGGCCGAACTCGAAGCGCGTGTAGAAAAGCGAGAGGTAGGACACGGTGACGGGGTAGAAACCAGCTGTCTCAGTCAGCATGCTCCATCTGATCGGTCCCCCAAGCTAGACGCACCTTCCAAGCATCCGATGATTATCCTCAGCGTATAGAGCTGCCACCGCGCTCTCACCCAAGTATGCAGCGCCGTCGAAATCCCCCATAGCAGCATACAGCTCGGCACCCAGAGCACCATGCCATATCTCCTTCCCAAGGCAGCACCCACAGGCTGTAGAGCGACGAAGAAGGCGAAGAAGAGCGCAACGGCGGTATTCAGGTCGGATCTGCGCAGGCCAATATCCGCCGTAAAATGCGCGGACTCAGCATTGCCAATCTATCCAACCAAGCTGTCAGCGGAAGCGTGAGGAGCTCGCAACAGAAGGGAAGACGTGCATTCGACTTATCCAGCGAGTTGAACAGGAACAGCAGGGCAAGAAAGGGCAACAGAAGCCAATCTAGCTCCCGCAAAGTCCGTTTGTGTAGCCCCGGATCATGCTGGGCGGGCTCGACGAGCTCCTCCGGCGGCATCGTCGTCGCAGGTGGTGACGAGATGCGGGCGAGCTCGTATTGCTCTGCCATCTTATCCGAGGACGCCGCCAAGAGCTATATAGGTAGGGCTGAAGGACGCGCCGCATGACCACGGTCGCGCATGGAGAAGACGGGAGGACGTTCGAGGATTCCTGTCAGTTCAGGGCCACCCATCGTGAGCTTGTGTTTGCGCGTTGCTAGCGGTGCTTACTTATTCGTGGTACGGAACCCTGATGACGTCTAATTGGATGTCTGGGAGCTGGAAGTGGAATAGCGCGGTTGAGGCTGACTATATATTTAGGACCCCATCCAAGGCGATGCACATCATGTCTCATTTGGCTCTTCTTAGAATCTTTTCTAAGTCTTTTATATGAATCTCCTAATAATCTGGTCCGTTACCTCCTCACTCCTCCCTCGCGGTCCTGGCCTTCCTGTCCCGCGCCTCCAAAATCGCCTTGGCCTCCCTCTTCAGTTTCGACTCCCTCTCCATAATCTCCACAGCCCTCTTCGACCCCACCTCCTTGACAACCGTGTAATACAAGTCCGCAAAGTCCTTACACAGACTCTCGAGCCACTCGCTCTCGCACTGGTTGTACATGTCGTTCTTGAAATTGAGGTCAATCTTGGCTTTGCCGGCGTCGGTGAAGCGGGATTGCTTCTTATAGTTGCGGTAGCCGAAGTCGTGGCGGTGGCAGGAGTAGAGGACTGACACGCATTAACAAGAAGGCTGGAGAGTATTAAGGCGTTCGGGAACTTACAGTCGAACCCGAGCGGGTTGTCGGGCGACGAGCTGCATCCGTCCGAACTCCAGTCCAGACTCGGAGGGTTCTTAGCATTCCGAGCCGTTTCAAAGTTGCTGATGGAGGTGCTGAAGAGGAGACGGTCGGTTGCTTCGTTTGCTGTCTCGCGCGAGGCTAGGTTGCCGCTGGGCGCGGCCATTGCCACGGACAGGATGCCCAAGACGGTAAGAATGGCGGCCTTCATCTTTGCAACTGTGCAGGCGTAGCAATTCTTGGGAGAGGTAACGATGTTGTCTTGTTCGAGCACGAGTATCAATGCCGGCGGTAGATGTTGAAGCCAGGAATTCTGCTTGCCCAACCTCTCCTAGAGAGCTTCACCCAGAAGGAGGACGAGGCTCTTTATACGCGCCTTCTCTTCCCACCTGCCTCGATTATTCCACTGCCGGACTGTCTTCTTTCCCGTAGGTACCTACGCCTCACATACACATACATCTCGTACCTGCATCTTCTGACCTAACAGCCAACCCACCAGCTCCAATTGCCCGCTCTCATTCGCCGCTCCAGCATACTCTTCGTGAATTCATCCTGTCCATACGTCTTGGTCTCCGAAGGCGTAGCCGCCCGAGAGACCCGTGACTGCCGGTCATGGCAGGTTTGCGAAATCTGATTGGCGAAATCTATTTCGGAGACCGGACGATCGACTCGATTAAGCGACCATTCACCCCAGCTTCCGTTTCAGGTATGGCGTACAGGAGACCGGGGCATGGCATCGGGAGGCTCCGCCGAGAGAAACAGGTAGGCGAAGAGGATAGATGGTTGAGGACACGAGGAATGCGGTGATCGTGACGTGTGCCGCCGAGGTGAATAGATTGCCGTGCATGTCCGGTTGTACAAGCTGGAGGTCAGCGGCAAGAAGTAGTAGGTACGAGCTTCGGCGACTTCAATAGGAAGCCAGGCCGGCGTAGATAGGTAGCAGAACTGGGGGAAACACGGTGGTATGAAACAGGAGGCCTTCTTCCTACACTGGTCAATGGCGTATACGTTGGTGTGTCCCACGTCTTCGTTTTTCTGATACTAAAGAGTCTCAAGGCGTACCATTATTACTTTCAAAACGGAGCGTCTGCGACTCCTTCAAACCTTGGAAGCTCGGAGGTGTCAGAGGAGCCGCACTCAACTGGGCATAGGCTAACGGCGCACGTGGTCGAACGCGGGGCAGCGACACCTGGGCACCAACAAGCCGCTGGATTGCGGGAGCAACGACACCGAAGGCTCAGATTGAAGAAGCACGCACGTAGAAGCGGTGCACGCAGCCAATTTCTCGGGGATCAGCGCGGCATTGATGTCTCTGCTCTTGTGGAGATGAAGAGCCTCCTCTATTTCCTTTTTCGTCCCACCACCCAAGCCCGCCCCGCATCAGCAGCGTCACACGAAAACCGCGTCGAACGGCTCCTCGTGCTCAGTTGCCCGCCGCCGCCTGCACTCCAGTCTGGCTGACAGCTGCTGTCTGCATGCGAGGGAAATCAAAACACCCTCTTCGAGACTAAAGGCAGACTCGCGATATCAAAAGGCCCGCTTCTGGGCACCACGAGCGAATAGCACGGCGCCAGGTTTCCATGCATCTGCTGACTCGACGTCACGCCCCATCACAGCCAAAGGCGCCCACAGCTCCTCGGACAGCTTGCGGAGCACGCGCGAGATGCGGAGGCCAGGCGCGTCGAGTGGGCAACGGAGCTCGTCGCGTCGAGGGAGGAGGAGGCAAAAGGAGGGATGCTGAGCGAATGGGACGAGCAATGGGAGAGAAATGAATTTGATAGACGGGCCTGGCGAGGGCTCTCCGCGTTACGCTGCATGGATCAGGCCCCTGTGTAGCCAACGGCTGTACCCGTGGACCCGTAGCGTCCTCAGCGTGCGCTGTTTTAGCCCTGGTGACGGGCGCTCGGGCCTTTGTTTACCAAAGTCAGACCGCCCAGCAAAAGCCAACTCGACACTCAAAATCCTTATCCACGCCCACCACGCTTTCGTTTTGGCCTTGCAATACTTAATTCGAGGCCAATTCCCTGTTGCAAAAGTTGTAGTTGGGCTGGGCGGCTAACCGACGAGCAGGCTCCGGCTTTGTGTACTTCCTTCACCCCGTGGCACCTCCGCTGATGCTTTTCTCCGACGCACAAGCGCCACCCTCCTCAGCTGCCGAAACGTCTGCCCTGCATCGATAAAAGCCTCCCTCGCTCATACATACCTTAATACCGCCCGCTTTGCCCCCATATCCCGCCCCAAGGGGCATTCTTCGTCATGGACGGCCCTCCTCCGCCTCCACCGCCGCATGGCACGAACCCAAAGACAACAGGAGGGAATGGTGGCCTGCCGCCAGGCAATTACGACATCTTCATAATACCACCGCATTCGTCCGGCGGCGGTTTCGTCTACCTCCCGAGCCTCCAGGTCCAGCGGAACAGCTTCCTTGCGGGCGTGGGTAGCACCCTGGCCACCATTGCCGTCTGGAAGATGATGGAACCGACCATCAAGCAGTGGTTTGTCCTGGTCAGCCAGAGCGTGTCGGCTGGCGGAAACGGTGTTGTATTACTAGTTGCTGTGGTGGGTGTGGCTGGCTGGGCCTACGGCAAGACGCAGGTCGACGGGGGGGCTTTTGGCGGGAGTGGACCTGGCAACGGACCACAAGGCGGAGCTGGCACTGGAGCTGGAACCGGAGCGTCAGGTGCGGGATACCAGCGGCCGCCCCCGCGCCCGAACGCGAGCTATTCGGGAACTGGAGGCCCTCCGCCCCAAGGCGGATGGCAAGGACAACACCAGCAGCACGGCGCTCCGCCACCGCCCCCTCACGACGGCGAATCATGGTCTGGCTCGCAGCCCGACCCCGACGCGGGCGCAAGCTGGGAGAAAGCCCGAGAAGAGACACGCAAGCGAGAAGAGGAGCGGAAAGCGAAGGAGGAGGCTGCACGGCAAGCTCGAGCCAAGGCAGAAAAGGAGAAGTGGGAGAAGATGCGGGCTCGCGAACGGGAGCAACGAGAACGAGAAGCTCGGGAACGCATCGCGAAGGAGCGGGCACAAAGGGAGAAGGACGCCAAAGAGAGAGAAGAAAAGGCACGCCAGGCTAAGGAGGCTGAGGCGAGGGCGAAGATCGAGAAGGAAATCAGAGAGAAGCTCGAAGCCGAGCAGAAGGCCAAAGCGGCCGAGGAGGCTGCGAAGAAGGCTGCCGAACAGAAAGCAGCAGCAGAAGCAGCAGCAGCGAAAGCCAAAGCCGATGCAGAACGCGCGGAGCGGTTAAAGGCAGCCCGCGAACGTGCTCAGCGCGACCGAGAAGCGCGACTGAAGGCTGAAGCTGAGAAAATCAAGGCCCAGCAATCAGCAGCAAACCCCGCGGCAGACAGACGCTCAACGACGTATGGTGGTCTCGGAGGCGGCGAACGATTCAACCCCTACTCAGGCGCTACAGGCCCGCCGGCACCCTCAGTCACCTCAACGCACTCCTCCCCTATCAAGGCCACCGTCACCCCGAAGAAGAACTACGAGAAGCCGTCGGCGACGTCATACGTTGGCACCGAAGACGAGCACTCGTTCCGCCCATATGACACGCCTAGGCGGCCGCCGAAACCGCCATCGCACGCCTCGACTGCGTACACTGCCTCCAGCTACGCGGCGTCGCACAGTACGGCGAGAACAACACCTCCTCCGTCCCAGCGCGGACCCTACTCGACGAACGATCCAGACAAGATCCAGATCAAAGCAGTATATCTATTCAACGACCTGTTCCCAAAACCTGTCGCCCAGCTTGTGGCGAACGTGGGCAAGGTAACGGACGGCTTGATCCTGAAAGTCCAGTCCGAGGGCTTGTTTATCGACGATGACGTGCGCAATATACCACAGCGCGAGTGGGATGTCAAGGCCTGGACGTTGAAGCTGGTCGAGGTAAGTCTCCAGTCCGGTTTTGTTCATGGCACCTCTCTTCCATTATCAAACATGCTACACTACGAGAGCGGATACTGACTTACTCAGACCGGCCAAAACACGGCCAAACGCCTACACGTCCTACGCGCCTGTGTCCGTGACGCCGACGGCAAGAAGTACGTCTTCCTCATTGACGAGTCCGAAAGCTGGAAGCTGGCTATTGGCCTACAGCGGCTGCGCAAAGGCTCGCAGGTCCGCAGTATGCAGAATAGCCAGATCGCGCCGACCGAAGTATCCCGGATACTGAATGCGATTCCGCCGTTGGCGTTGTAGGCTCGTTGCCATTGCTTGGATAACGAAGATGAAAGTCCTTGGGTGTGAAGAGCCGATTCGAAGCGAAAGTGTTGGCGCAGCATTATTGGTGCTTGTTATGCATGATGGTCTGGAATGCTGCGTTCCGTTCCATTCCTCTCTGCTCGAAAAGTTGCGTTTCTTGGCTCTTGGTGCGAAGCGAAAAGATTCCCCCTTACGCGAGATTTAGATATCCCCCTCCTTTTTTTGTCCTTCTCTTATGCATCATATGCGTCATCAGCATCATCAAACTGCATCAGCGACGGAGTTGAGCAAGAGACGGCGGGAATTCATTCACTTGTACATTGCATGGTGGTCGGTGTATATACATACGGATCTGTTCGCTGGACAGGTGTATTTGTGGGAGATTGAATGTGAGATGAGACTTCTTTGAGATATCTGCTAGTCGCCGTTGCTGAGCTGCTGTGAGGGGCGTGAGAGCTAGCGGTGAGTTTCGCTGCGGGTTCTAGTTGCTATCCCTCAATCTACATGCAAATGTCTCGAGGGACCAGCATCCCTGGCGCGGATGCGAGACGAAGCACGTCCATCTATGCGGAATCGGGTCCTTAGAATCCACGAGCTACACCGAACAGTCAACACCACATCAACCCCATACAATCAACTATCAACACGCACTCACCTACTCATCCGTCACAACCCGAACACTCCCCAGCCTCACCACACGCGAGCACCCACAGACCCCCCCATCGCAGTATATCGGCTTGAGCATCCACCCGCCCTCGCACTCGTCGCCCTCAAACACGCGAACTAACAATTTCGCATCAGTCAGCTACACCCTGTCCCCATCTCTCCAAACCTTGAGCAGATAAGCTTAGACTTACGCGCATTGTACCTGAGCTTCTTCTCGTCGAAATGCACGACCCGGAGCCCCTTGGCGCTGTTGAGCGCATGGCACGCCGTGTCGGCGAGGGCGAGTGTCGCGTTGGCGGTGCCGGGGCTGCAGTGCGCGCCGGGGTAGAGGTCCATGGAGACGAGTTGGGGGGGCATGGGCGTTGGGACGCCGGAGGGGTTCTCGCGGGTGATGCTGGCGATGGGGTTGGCGAGGGCGAGGTCTAGCAGGCTGAGGGTGGTGGTGGTGGTGGTGGTGGTGGTGAGGTGCATTGTAGACGCGGGGTGGGATTGTTGGGGAGGGAGGTGCTGGTAGGGTTGAGAGGAGGGGAAGAGGAGCTGGAGTTTGGAGAAAGTGCTGTGAGGGGTTAGATAGGTGGATCTCTGTAGCGGCTGTTGGCTGGAGGCGTACACAAGCTTGGGAGTGGATGAAGGAGGGAATGGATGGAATAGATTTACGTGTGCTGCGGCGCTAGAGCAAGTGTCTCCGCTTTGGTAGTGGGTGGGAGGAAAGTGCGACGGGGAGGGCGGAGGAGGAAGGAGCGCGCTGGTCTTCGATAAGGAGAATTGGCAAGAATAACAGAAAGCCATGGGAAAGGACCTCGGGAGATGGAAGTGGGTCTCACTTGGTTGTTCATAGTTGCTGAGTTGGTCGGAATCCAGCTATATGAGTATAGCTATGTAAATTGAAGCTAGAACTGTCAACAGATCGCCATGCCAGCTACTCGCGATCGGGATCAGCCACGGGTTTCGCACCTAAAATCATTAATGTCAGCGAACGGTTTCGAGGCACCACAAACTTCTTTTGACTCACCAAGGACCCATCCAAGCCCGCTGGCCAACCCACCAGTAACGGCACTGGCAACCATATCTCTCTTTCGGACCCTCTCCTCGGTGCTACCACCTGTGCTACCTGAATCACTCAGATCCATGGAAACGCGGCCACGATCGCTTGTCGTGTCCCTGGTCTCCGCCCCTGAAGCAGTCCGGTTACTGCCCCGAAGGGGAAACGCAGTCTTCGAGAAAGCGGCAGCAGCCCCTCTAGCAACGTCAAAGAGCCCCACGGGCGCTTCCTCCACCGCGCCCCTACCGACTTCGCGCCGCGGCTGCACAGCGACTGTCTCGGTAGTGAATGCGCCTGGTAATCGGCGATCTGCTGCATCATTGAACCGTTCTTCCGCCGCGTTTTCCTCGGCTAGGAGGGTCGTCATCTCTTTCTCACACTCCTGCCAAACTGCAAGGACCTCCTCGAGATGACGAGGCGGTGCGAGAAGAAGCGCCTGCGAAAGGAGCTCCATGCGCTGTTCTAGTCTGCGCAGGTCCGGGCGTGCAGTCGTTCCAGACCGAGACCACATCGAAGAGGAGGGTGAAGAGTGATGCCGTCCGGCTTCGAGAGCGGCACGCCACGCAACGTCTTCCGCGTCGTCTTCTTCGGTAATCGAATCATATAAGCCAAAGGAAAAGCGCTGAGAGGAAGTAGATGTGGCGGGCGACGCGGCTGGGGAGGGTGTGGGTGGAGTCAGCCGATTGACAACGTATGAATACGCCGTTTCGAAATCGTCTTCGCTGAGAGCCGCTTCGACAGTCATGCCAATGACCCGGCGTTCGGCGGCTGCCTTCTTGTTTTCTAGTGCCGCTAAGTCGACGGGCCTAGTGTCGGCGTCATCGTCTATGAGAGTCGACGGCATAGCGACAACAAGATTTTGTCCGATGGAGATCAAGTCATCCAGGTGCGTATAGCTGCGGCTGTTCTGCTGTAGCAATTTGCGTAGCAGAGACAGGGGATCGGCGGTGACTCTGATGTTCACGGGTTGGAAAGGGACGCCATGTTGGAGAGTCAACGAGTAGAAGGACATGGCGTGGGTCGCAGACAGCAGAGCCCTCATTCGTTGGAATCGAGAGGAAGAGGGAAAACATGGACTGAAGGCCGCAATGATATCGGACGCACGCTTCATGCCGCCTCTTGTGCGGTTACCATTGCTTGCGTTGTCGTAGTGGTGCATCGCTGTAGCGAGGACGACTTTCTCCACAATGTGGAGGGGCAATGGACCGTGGCTGGATGGTGTCTGAATGTAGATTTGAATGGCAAGCTGATAATGACTGCTCTCGAGAAGACCCTTCAGGATCTCCATCTCGCACGATATGTTGTCCATGTTGCCGAATATCCCTTGAGCGTGGCGGTCACCCTCGGAACGGTTCGTTCCCCAGTTCCACAGCCAGAGAAGCTTTGCCCTAATGGTCCTCCATTGCTCGTCATCCTTCTTCGCGCCACTACTAAGAGAATGGATGATCTTCTGTAGCAGAGCAGATTGCTCGGAAAAATCGCTGCCCAGGTACATCCTTGCGAACTCTCTGATCGATATGGGATGCTGTAAGCTGGAAAAGAGGCAGACTGAGAAGAGCAAGAGCTGCAGGAGGTCGACAGCGTCCCTGCCAGGCTGCGTAAGAGCATTATCGGGTCGGAAAATATTCTCTTCCCGCAGAGCGCCCGTGGAGGTCTGCTGCGCCATGGAAACTTTGAGGCCGTAAGACGGCAAGGAGTCTACGCTTACGTTGAGGCCTGGTGGCGGGTCAAAGTTCAGGAGTTCGGAGACTCTGGTCAACAGGGCATGCGCAGTTTGTATTGTCTCCGTGCTGCTACTCTCCACCAGATAGAGACATGCCAAAGCCGCCTGGGCATATCGAAGCTCCAGTTTGCGCCGCGTTTCGTCGCCGACGTAATCTCGACCTTCCTCATAGCCTCCTAGGTCCATGTCGTCCGGGCCGTCCCACTCGCAAATTACGGATGAGACAAGAGGTAGGTCCGCTCTCGACGTGTGCACTAGCCACTCAAATAAGCACTCCCAGTCATCCGGCTCTTGCGTCGATTTCTCCGTAACGGACGCTCTTCGGTCTTCGGTTGACAGCTTGCGCCTCTTGCGGTCATTTGCCCCACACATCCAGGGCCCGACTACGCCCCTCAAGTCTCGTGCAGCATGCTCTCTGCCTGGTGTATCCTTGGGCGTCTGCCGCAGATTGGACAGCTGTAACTCTATGGCCCGCCTTCCCCTCAATCGTGCAAACTCTTCTAGCGACGGGGCAGGCGTTTGCGGATAGTATTCGTAGCTAAGCCGCAGCAGCGGCAGCACCGTCGATATAAACCATGCGCGCAGGTATTCGGAGTGGTTCAAGAAGGGCACTATTAGCTGAGGGATAAGCTCAAGCACACCCGTTGTAGCGTCGATGTTGTGCGCGCGATGGATGAGGAAGTGGGTGAAGGGATCAAGCTCGATCTCGTTCTTGTAGAGGGCAAGTGCGAGCGGTAATAGCTCCAGGCTCCGTTTCTTTTTCCGCGCTTGCGAGCCAGAGAGGTGCTCCACGGGGGAAATGTCGAGCGACGCGGCGTCATCATCGCCTGATGGCCTAGTGCCGCTTGCGAGCTCGTGGAGATATTCGACATACGTGGAAGGATCGGCGCTCTCTGGAAGATAGGTCAAGATGAGCCTCAGAACGAGCTCAAGGTCCAGATCGGCCGCGCGAAGAGCTGTCAATGCCCCCAGCGCGCCAATATTGCACTCGATGGCATAGTGGACGGCAAGCAGAAGGCAGTGCGGCGCCGAAAGCTGTTCGAGCTTCTGAAGCTGCGGCATGATAGCTGGGTCGGATCCCAAGGCTATGGGATGCGAGATGCGTGGGTAGTCATGGTTATGCTGTTCTATAGCATCGCTGCAGAGGCCACGCCCGCATTGAATTCCAACCGCCAAGCCCCGATGATTACATAAGCAGATTGGCCTCCACATCCGAGCGACGTCACCTTCTCTCCCTCTCCACCCTGGATTACTTCCAATTCCTTCTCACAGCAGGACCGGAACATATTCTGGAATAAAAGCCCAGGGGGACTGTGCCGGACGGTACCATTTTGTCGACCCGAGTTTTCCCGCTTTTGCCTCGATGGGCAAGTCATGGCATTGCCACGAGTGCTCATGCTAATATAGGCGCATCAACCATAATACACCTGCGAAGCAAGCGGAACCACACTTTCGCTGGATGCGTCGCGCCTCGAATCATGGGCTAACACTCGATTGCTATGCTAATCTGTCTGGCTAGCGCATCCGTTGAGCCGTGTCGGATACTGGAAAGGCACCATTTAAGCTCCGGGCCCCTCCATCTCTGTCCGGAACCTGCTCACCAACAGGATATCGCGGTACAAATCATATCAAAAAACCACAAAGCCCTACAAAATTCCAGGTAGGGTAATCAGACAAGATAGCCATGAAAAAGGTCTTGCTAGTCGGGGTAGGTCCTCTGCGAGGAAGGGAGGTGCTTTCGCTAACAACATCTTTCTAGAATAGAGACATCTCCCGCACTATCATCAGCGCCTTGACTTCCAAGTTCGAGGATAATCGTTGCCCTTATCAGGTATCCGTCTTGACATATCCCTCTCAAGAGCCATACCTACCCCCACACGTGTCCACCGGAAATGTCCGGCATAAGACGTCCGACTTTACACCGGCCTCCCTTGCGCGAGAGTTCGCCGGACAAGAGCTGGTAATCAGCACTATAGCCGGTTGCAACTACCATCTCCAAGCTACCATCATCGATGCCGCTATCGCTGCGGGTGTGAGGCGATTCATACCGCACGAATTCGGCTACGACACCTTGAACGAGAAAGTACAGGCAAGGAGCTCCAAAGGCACGGACCGGGCAAAGGTCATCGAATACCTTCGTCATGCCCACAAGACGAATACAAGCTTCGAGTGGGTGGCTGTAGCAGTGGGTTGTGTTTTAGATACCATGCTCCTCACCGGCGATCTAGGATTCGACATGGAATGGCAGAGCGGTACAATACCTGGTAGCGGGGAGGAAGTTTTTCCGGCGACCAGCCTCAAAAGAGTGGGGACTGTGGTCGAGAGCATCATTCAACATTGGGATGCGGTCAAGAATCAGTTCGTCTATGCCGCTAGCCTCTTGACGTCCGGCAATGAGATTGCGGCCGCCTTGGAGAGGATGTCTAGCTCAAAGTGGAGTGTAGGTTATTCTGATGTTGACGACTGCGTAAGAGAAGGCGAATCAAGGATCGATCGAGGGTTTCCGGACTCTGGCATGTTCCTTTTGGAGAGAAGCGTGCTTTACGACGAGCGATTGGGCGCAACAGACCCCTTCCGGTATCGGAGCGTGAACGAGCTCCTAGGATTGAAGCCAGAAGAAGTTGACTCAGTTGCCCGCACTGCCTATCATGAATTTCGACATCGAGGCAAACCGGCTTGTGGGTGCAGCAGTTGAGAGTCCTTGCCAACAATCGTGTGGTGCCATGCCGACTCATCCAGCAGGAAGCATCGCTTTCCAACACGGGTCGCTTCTGCAAGTAGCTCGAAAGTCTTACGATGATTCGGCACTGTTGAGTCCTCGTAGACGGACCGGAGAGTGTCCGCGCCGGACGACGGATGCGAAATGTGGCCCGTTCTGCTGATTCCGTGGTAGCACTTACGACTGCGGAGACAACAACTGCAGACGCCAGATGCCTGCATTTGTTCCTCAAAGACCCGACTTCACCGCTACTCCCCACCCTTCTTTACTAGGCCTTCTCGTTTTCTTCCGGGGCCCTGCAGCCCTCCGCCTCCCCCGATTGTTCACGCTCTGCAACAGACTGGACATCCTAGCATCGCCTCAGCATTCGATGAGGGTATATCGACTAAAGAGAAGGTATACTCGCAGACACTCTCGCACAATTCGCATTAAACTCCAGGTCGCAGAGGCCTCAAGTCTGGGCTCGTATCAGTCGCCATCCGCTTTAGGGACGTCGATCGGGTCTGGCAATTTTATCTCGCCCATGCCACCTTTAGGGTGACTATCGTCTAGCACTGTATGATCCATGATAGTGGGGTACATGGGTTCCGACGCAAATTGCCACTTACCAGACCAGTGAAGGTCTTCAACCGCAACATAGTGGTCAATGCTAAGAGACCACCAGCACAAGATCAGCCCTCGGTATCGTGGACCTCTAGACTTCCGACGCACAGTGAGGGAGTTGAACGAAGGGCTAATTACACGCGTTTTACCCGGACACACACGACGCTTTAACACGCACACCGCTGGGGGCCTCAGCCCAACTTCGGGACCGGTACGCCACGCTCATCTGAAGCGTAAGTCGATCTACACCAGGATTTATGGATCATCCTCGCAATTGCACACCAGATGGGTATATCGAACACTATCATGCTGCGTTCCAGAAGAGCACAGAATACTGGTAGCTAATGCAGAAGCAGCTCTCAGGTGGACGCTATAGATATACATGGTTCTTGCTCGCCCATCAATGCGCCGTGCAGGTTGCATTCCACGCCTATCAGGACAGCCTCCAAGCCCAGAAAACACAAGTTCGTCGCCAAGGACCTTGAGCATGCGCTGCATGTGCGCCTCAGAAACTGACGTACATGAACGCAATGCTGCAATATGATCCCTGCCCCACCTCCAACAATTGCATTGTGCAGCAGCCGTACCTATCACGAGGTGCCTCAGGTTGCGCGATACGATAGGGCTGCAAGGTAACTCGCTCGGGCGCGTTGCGACCGACGAACTTGCTTCTAGAAAGACCAGAGATATTTGTCAAAGTCAATCTCGCAAAAGATGCTAAGGATTGAGTACGAGCTCATCTTCGCTGCGTCGGAAAACGAGTCGACATACCGTCTCAGGCGCCGGATATCGGATCCTTGGGAAGTTTGCGATGAGGCTAAAGATCTTTCCCCGTATTCGGATCTGCATACAGCGCCTCCTCCGCTTTTAGGGCATTATTACGGTAGCCAGCGTACGGTATACCGTTCCCTATCGACCCATGAAGATCCGCTACGCGGACTGACGAAAGCGCCTTCAAGAGAATCGGCGCAGATTAGCGCACTCCGCATGGGAGGCAGAGAGGTCTGTTGCTGCGCGGGTCCTCCCATACGATGCCGTTGCCTCACCGGCGGGGTGGCACCGCTCCGACGGCACTCCCCACCATGATCGCCACTTGCGACAGGGTGCTGTTTCAAGGGTCCCTCATGTTAGAGAGTGCAGCCCCAGGCCGAGTTTGAGGCCAAGCGGTGTGGCTCGCTGATCATGGTTGCTAAGGCTCATGTAATCCGAGCCCGGAACTGCTGGGCTTCCGGTGGGTGCTGTTGGAGGGTTGGAGCTCATCCGGAGAGGCCAAGCAGACGGCTCACCGCTAGATGCCCTAGATGAGGGAAGGCAATGGCGATATTCGTTGCAATGGCACCGCGGTGCTAACGTCCATCTTGTGCGACATGTGGCCTTCTGGTTGCCCGGGTGCTGCGCTGCTACCCTACTCGAGCCGGGAGCCACAAAAATGTGTCCGGTCGAGCTCGTACAAAACGTCATTACGAGGGTTCTGAAGGGTTCTGCAGTTTTGGAGGATTGTTTCTTCTTGGTGGTACAGAAAGGAGTCTATCTACGGTGGATATCTACCTACGTGATGTGGAGGTCTGCTTAAGCTTTGGTGGCTCAAGCACGGGGCGGTAACTTCGTCACTTCATTAGGCCGCACCGCCGAACTGGCGTGCGAGCCTATGGAAAAGACATCGCCAGCAAACATGAAAAGGAAAACATGAGCCCGAATTCATATCCCAGTGGCCGAAGCCCAGGCCGAATGCCTGAATCGCTGACGAAACGGAAAGAAATAAAGGAAATATGTCCGTTGAGACCCCTAGTCGTACAACTACATACCCGGCGTAACCTGGACCAGGACCAGATACCACAGAAGAGAGAAGAAGGAGATGAAAAAGCTAAAAGCAACGCTGGACTGATTGAAACGAACCTGCCCGCCTCGCCAATGATGAACCGACCGACAGAAGCAAACGTTCCCAATGCTGATTGACCTAACCTTGGACCCACCCTCTAGCCGGAACGCCAATCAAGCCTACAGATAAAAATGTTGCTTGGGAAGAAGGACAAAGAAGATGGCGCCGTCCGTCCACACACCCTTATCTGCAACTACAGCAGTTTGATCGGTGAGCGACGCGGAGGACGGCGCCGTTTACCCGTTACGGCAACGAAAAGCAACGCAGGGTCCACCCCTTAGATCATGCTTGCGAGCGAACTGAGTGCAGTTGCCCGCGGCACGCCCACTAGCTCTGGCTCGCTGACTTGATGCGCTGGATTCGAGTTGAAACTGCGAGTCGGCTGCAAGGGAGACGTGAAGAGTCCCACGACAGGCTCTTGCTTGATGTGGCCGTGGAGCTCGGATGAAGAAGTCGGCGGATGCATTGTTGTCGTCGACGTGGGGGTCGGGTATGCCGAGGTGGACGGGTACGAGGTGCTCAGCTGCGGAGTCGAGGTCCGTAGGGATGGCCCAGACGTCGGTATGCCGAGGGCGTGGAGCGAAGACGCGGGGATTGGCGTGGAATGCCGGTGCGATGCTGTGTCCGTTTGCTGCGAAGCCGACGTTTCTTGCTTCATTGGGTAGCTGGTCGAAGTGGTGGACGCGGAGGATGCTGCGCGGTTGCGCACGGCGTGCGTTTCACGACGGCGCTTAGGGCCGTCCTTTACCTTGGGATGCGTGTGGCACTATCACTTTCGTTAGCGTGCACGAGCTTGTGGAACGTCGAGCGCTGCCATAGGCGAATGGGGAATGCAGAATGACTGGGCGGTGTATACGCACCTTGTATGCATGTCTGAACCACGTCGTCCCTTTCTTCTTGCTACTCACGAGCGCAATCCACTCGCCGCAGCTCCCGCACAGGCCCTCCCAGACATCGAGGTTGCCCTCTGTGCGCCGCGTCTCCTGCGGTCCTTGGAATGCAGCGCCTGTGGCTGCACTAACGCCATGCGTAAATGACTTGTCGTACCAGAAGGCACTGTTCTTCAGCACGAGCCAGCGGCCAGGCTTGCACAGTCCACACCAGCCCTCTCGCTTGTTGCCGTGGCCGCGGACCCACCGCGGGGTATACAGGTCTCCAGCGAAGCGGAGATCCTGCTCGTGCGGAACGAGGTCCGGATCAGAAGGGTTCATGTCGGACTCTGGTGGGTCGGATGGCTCCTCGTGGAGGGACGAGTACAGATCTGGTGGGTCGGAGAGATCAGCGAAATGCGATGCGCAGCCGCCATGGCGATCTGCATTGCTTTGCAGGAGGCGGAAGAGGCCCTGCGATGGCAGCGGTCGTGGGACTTCGAGATGGAACGGCTGGTCCGGCGAAGCAAACAGCGTAGGGTTGCTGGATTGCAGAGGATGCGGTTGCGAGTAGAGCACGTTCTGGGTGTGCATTCCAAAGCCGCCCAAGGCGCTTGGAGGGTACGCCGGCATCGAGTGGTGAGGATTTAGTCGTGGTCCGTAGGGCGCGAAACGGTCCTGGACATGTGCTAGAGCACGAGAGCTGGCCGGCGTCGAAGTCGGCGCATGGCCCGTGGACCATCGCTTGAAGCGACTGCTCTCCATGGTATAGGGCGACGAGCGCACATTGTTGTGCGGGGCCGGCGAGGCGCGAGATCGGCTGCCGCTGCGGACGACGTTATCATGTTGGGGGCGGCGTGGAGAGGCGAGCGGTGAGAGTAGGCTAGGGGCTGGCTCGAGGTTGTTCCATGCCTCACAGTCCGACGCGTATGAAACGGCCTCAGACGAGGCCATCTCCTCATAATTCGACACCTCTGGAAGTGCGCCACCTGTACTAGAGATGGAAAATGACGATTCGGACAGGCGACGGTTGGAGTTTGGGTTGAAGGTGGCCATGTTGTCAGCCTCCTGCTGTTCCATACCATGATATTGCCTGAGATCAATAATTGGCGTGTTCTCGTCATGGCTCATTAGGCCCTGGTTGAACTCAGCCATGTCTGGATCCATTGATGGGAACGACTCGAATTCTTCACACACTTTCTGACCCCACGGACCTGAGGAAGTCAGTACGAATGAGTAGGCACAAAAGAATTCGAGAACATACTGGTGTCGATAACTCCGGGAAAGTAGTCAGTAGCCCCGAGACTCTCGGGACCATTCATACTATTCCGATAAGTAGAGGTGGTTAAGGCTGGCGACTGAGAGGCTGTGACGTCGACCTTGGCTGCGAAGTGCTGAGATTCATCTCTGCTCACTGCCATATGACGATAGTACGGATTGTGGGTCTGTGGTACCGCCCACGTGGGTTGAGGCGGCGATGGTCGTGACACCTGTTGCATGCTTTGTGGTTGAGGCTGCTGCGGAGGCATGCTGCCATAGGGATACATCATCTGCGCTGGGTGTCCGGAGGAAGGTTGGTTGATGGTGAATGATCTATTAGACGATGGACGATACCTTTATACGCTGTCAGCCTAGTCGATAGCCAAGAGAATTGTCGAGGTCGAGCAGGAGGAGCCTTACTGGTGAACCGCATTAAATTCCATCTTTAGCCTCGTTCTCTATAAGAAATGGCCTTATGTGTACCCCGCGATAGATTAGACTGGCGTGGCCGTCAGTACTCGATTAGGCAGTCCATGAAGTTGTGCGGGGCTGAGAACGAGAGGCGCACTCGTCGACAGCAACGTGGGGGGTCTGTCGAGCAACGCAAGGGGGAGCACATGCGCACGGAGGACATACAGTGTTATCGGTAAGTGGAAAGGAAGACGGCTGGTCAAAGGAATGTGGCTAGTCGATAGTGCTGTACGACTTGGACTGTGGTGTGGTTACAAAAGAAAGCGCAACGACCGTGGAAAAGAGTGTACGGAGAACAATGTCTCCCTCGCAGCCAGCGCGGAAAGGAGCCCGCTCCAATAATAAAAGAATGAATGGTAAGAATAGGGCGGGGTTTCTAATGAGTGACGAGGCCAAAGTAAGAAGAAACACAGCTTGAGGGAACGTGAGAATATATGAGAGCGGAGTGAACACATCCGAGAGTGACAATGGGATGGAATGACATATGGCAAGTTGACGCAAAGGAACCACTTTTGGGAAGTTGGTTTGAGGACAGCTTCGGGAGGCGCCTTGGCCGCAGCGATCTGGAACGGCGACAGCTTTGAGAGAGGCGTTCGCCCAAAGTAGCAGTGGTGGGGTAGAGGCTGTGGGTAGGGCTGGAGGACACTGATACCAGCGCGGCTTGATCTCCTGCCGGGGGCCTCGGACAGGCAAGTGGAGGGCGAGTGAGACTCCTTGCTGCTGAGGAAGCCACCGCTTCCATGGTGGAGAGCGTAAGAACTGCCAATCACGGATGCTCACGGAGCCTGCGAGCCGCAGGCGATGAGGCCGACCCAAACTCGAAACCTGAGTGCGAGAGTCGGCCGGCGTCCCATGGCGAGAGGAAGGGGTCTGCCGAGGGAGAGTGTCAGGCCTGTTTCAGACGTTGACAGCTTCACAGTCTGAAACCAGCGCTAGTGGAGCGCGAGTGCACGCTAGCGCCCGAAACAGCCTAGCCGAGCCTTAGCGAGCTTCAAACCGCACACCTCGCAGGCCAGTCCATCACCACCACCGCCCTCTCGCGAAGGACCCGACAAATGGCCGCGGCGGTGCAAGGGCCGTCTTTTCCGTTCAGCTCTCGACGACCGTCTCCTTTCGGAACGAGCGACAGTTCGCGCGGCCCCGACATGGGCTGCCCAGCCGCCCAGCGCACCCTTCGAGCTGCTCCCCAGCAGCGCGCGTACTGTCGGCATCTCCATCGCCAGGAAAGGCCTCGACGCGAGGAAACAGACGCTCGCGGCTGACCGCTGCTGGTGCGGCCTGAGCACCACGTGAGCGTCGCCTACACCGCTCCGAGGGTACCGTGTTTGAGCCCCTCCGCACCTGGGGAAGAGCGAAGCGTGCAGCGCCGCCGCCTCTGACCACACCCGTGCTGGAGTTGTTCGCATTCAATGTTTTGCATGCAATACTTCGCGTCATAGAAACGGTTCCAAGGAGCCATCTGTGTCGCTGCTATTACCCGCCGACCCATCACCCTTGCTGCCTCAGTCCATCCTCAGCACACGAGCCTATATTTGTCAGTGCGGCATGCACACTGTTCGGGTCTCATCGGCGCACTCTTCATCCATTATCTCCGTACATCTTGCTGTTCGGGGTCGGCATGATCATCTCGAGATAGAACGGATAGAGCTCGTTGTTTGCGATTCAGCCACCGTCATGCCATTTCTGCATACAGAGATTGCGGAATGGGGACTGGGGAGGTGGCGGACTGTCAGATGTACAGATTGCGTCTGCAAGCTCGGGCTTGATGTGTGCGCCATTCCCGACACGGCTTGTACATCGAACTGAACACCGCGGGAGCAGCACGGTCCGCCCGTCAATATTTGGTCCCTCTTGGTACTACGCTCTGATTTCTAGAAGGAAGGTGGGTGGGGAGGACGGCTCTGAATGCGCTCCCTTGCTTCCCAATAAGGCAGAATAATCAGACTTGGACTAGGGAGTCTTACTTCCCCACACTTGCTCTACAGTGTTTACCAGCGCGCAACGTTCCTCCGCCTTTTACGCCGCCGTTATCCGCATTACTTGTGCCCTCCACGTGCCATGTTGCACGGAATGGTCCACCAGCCGCCTAGCCATCTGCAATAGCCTCTCGATCAGGGAAGGGCACATTGCAACCAGCCTCCATCAATATCAATATGGCGTACGGGCAAGCAGCCACTCTCGCTCATCCCGGGGAAATGAGACTAGCGAGGACTCCGCGGTCGAGCTCAGAATTAACGTTGGAGGAGTTCCTCAGCCCGAATATAGAGCTCCCAAAGGGGTTGTACCACCCACTAGGGTTGCCTAGGCTGCGTACTCGGTAAGCCTTGCCATCAGACCCTAATCACGAGGAAGGAGGGGAGGGAACCCCCGCTATCGATGTGTCTGTTCGGATCGGTCTACCAAGCAGTTGTCTCCCAGGCCAATTCCAGACCGCTCTCAAGTTACAGGGCGACGCTTCTTCATCAACTCACCCTTTGGCGTGCTCATATCGCCGTCACCGGATCCCACATTTCATCGGCGCGAATGATAAAACCGAAGTGGAAATGGTTCTGAGGAATGATTAACTCCATCTGACCTAGAGACAATTGACTGACGCTAGGAGACTGACACCAATTAGCCCCTGTGCTGTGTTGCCAATTTAGCAACATACCTAGGAAGCGGATCAGTGAGAGTGTCAGCAAAAGCAAGAGACAGCACCCTATAGTTAATGACACAAAATGAGAACGTTGAAACGATCGAAGCGATATCGCAATTTACCTTCCTACCGGAGCGCCTTCTTCACTCATTCGGGCCTACACCCCAGAACGCGTGATTCCTTCATTATCGATAAAGTCCTAGCAGGGGAACCCCAAACCGGAATATACACACTTCAATTTCCCATTTCAGCGTCACCGAGGCCAGCCCTAGGCTTCACCATCGATGAGCGAGAGGGACCGTAGTGGGGCGGGGTGTGTTCAACATGGGATACCCAGGTTCCACGACCTCGGGTCCGATAGGGGGCTCACCCTGAACCGTGACGCGTATACTTTTTGCTCAGCTACAAAAGGTAAAACATCCAAGAAAGTCTGCTGAGATACGAGATCTGGCCGAGCCGCGGCACATACCCCACTACCATCGCGTGATGATTATATCGGAGGGCTGCGCCATGACCGAAGACTCTCTGGGCAGTTTTAGAGGTGCTTCCTCACACTCCATACCGTAGCCTAGACATGCCGCAAGGAAAGAGATATAACAGAAATGTCATCATGAGGCGAGCAAAACGAATTAGACCAACATTGGCAAATGGGATAGAAGTTCTTCCGACTTCAAGCTATCTAGACTCTATGGTATAAAACTATAAGAAATGGTGGCTAGCCCTGAGTGGCCGATAGGCTCAGGCCTCCTTGGAATACGAACGCCACCCCCAAATCCATTGATACCGATCATTGAACTCCCGAGGCGCCATGGCGTTGCAGCCTGCTCTCCAACAAGCTCACGCTACGTCCGAGCGCGCGTCAGATCCTCCTGTCATAGCTTCCCAACCTTGACCTCGCACCCTCCGCTGACAGTATTAAACACCATGTTGCTCCCGCCGTTTCCTTTCTTCGCCTCCGCCCTATTCAGCCCCGGCCTCTCATCCTGACGAATCAGCTCCAGATTCTGCCCTTGTAGGTGCAGCATGCCTTCCATGGAGGTGCCTTCAAGATGGCCCTCCCATTCCTCGGGGTAGGTGAGATCGATTACGCCGGAGATGCTCTTATGCGTGCTACGGAGCTTGTTCATGGCGACGCCAGCATTCTCGTATGGCGAACGGATCTTGAGCGTCGTTTGGCCGTCTGTGGCTGATGTGTCGATGCTGGAGGGGTAGTCGCCGCTCTTGAACGGCAGGATATCCGCATTGATGAAGCCGGCAACGGACGACATGACGGTTCGAGACCCGTGGATGAATGTACCATCAACAGAGCCGACGGTTGTGTTGATCAAGACTTGGTAGTCTCGCTCGGGAATTCGCTTGCGCTCGAAGTCGGCGCGTATGCTCCCAGATAAGGAATTCGCGAGGAAGACGGCGGACTCCGAACCTCCCTCCGCGGCTTCTTTGGGCTCGACATTGATGTTGACAGAGCCGCTCTTGGTTTTGATGGACAAGAGGTCGGAGAGGGAGTACTTCCCACTAATGGATCCGGATATTGTCTGCAGGTGTGTCTCCCGTGAGCTGAAGGATGTCGAGTCCAGAGTGCCGGTTGTGAGAGAGATGGATGTCTCGTTCGAGACGGTGAAGTCAACGCCGTCGTGGATCTGCATTCCGAGGTGGGTGGAGCGAATCTTGAGATTTTCCAGCTTTGTGCCTGGGGCCATGTAAACGACCACGGAGATACCGAGGCACGCTGTGCCTTTTCGCACGCCATCGAAGCCATCGGGGAACGAAGGATCGCCAATAGTGAGGCCAGTGGGAGTGTAAGCGTATTTGATACTGTTGACATCAACCGAGGACGAAACGGCATAGGACATCTTTGCTTCGATTGTACCAGCTGCCTGCCCTTCTGGTGCCTGTGTGACATGAATCCATCCAGAAACTCGCTTGTAGGGACCGTCGAGTTGATGCACGGCTTCTAAGATCTCCAACTCGGTAGGGAAGCCCCAGTTGATCTCCTCGCTCTTTACGTTGTAGTCCTTGCCGCAGCGCGACGGCCATCGGATCGGGAAGTTCTCTTTTGGTTTTGAGGGCCGGGCGGGTGCGTTGGACTCTGCTGGTTCAGCTGGGACGGGTAATACTGTTGTCTGCGTGTCGGTTAGCATTCTGCAGGGTTTACCAAAGGTTTTCGCCGACGTACCTCCTTCTTGTTTGTTGCCGCCGCAATGATCGCGGCGAATACAATGATGGCGAGTATGGCGGCCATCCACTTCAACATCCTCTTCTTGGTACAGCGTTCCCGGAAACTCCGCTTTCTGTACGGCCCATCTTTGTACATTCCATCTCTTTCAGGCATCATCGGCGCAAACGATATTCTTCCACCATTATCCAATAGCCTCGCCCCCTCGTCGCCGCTGGGCCTCCCATTCCACGGCATCGGCGTCGTTGCCTCTAGATAGCTGGGCGGTGCATCCTGCCCCACAAAGGTCTCCAGCAGTGGTGTCCTCTCCTCAGAGTACCGCGTCGCACTGCTCACGGTAACCTTGGGCTTAACGCCGTTATTTGCAGCCTCGGTGTCAATATACATATCGGCAGGCAGGTCCGCTGGTCGATTCCGAAAGTACCCGTCCGTCGGACTCGAAAGCGGATCAGTGTTCGTCGAAAGAAAAGAATAAGAGTCTGAATCTCTCCAGCGCGAGGAACTCATGGTGGCTAAAAATTAGTTTTTAAAGCGCTTGACCTATGATTGATCTGCGGTCTGGAGGCTGGAGCAAGCGTCGCGCTGTCACATTTGTTTCGGGGTGTAGAAACGCGAGCTGTTTTATGTATTTCTTGGCTGTCGCCCGACATTTTCATCTTCGACTGCTGTCAGATTTCCTTGGGACGGGATGCAATCGTCTACGCGTCAATTGGTAAGACTGCGGAGGCGTGCGTAGGCAGCAGCGATGGATTGAGGTGCAATTGGTCGTGTGGCACAGAATGATGTTGAGAGGTGCAGCAGCGGGAGTCGCTTGGCGATGCCTGAGGATGTTTTGGGCTTGGAGGCGGCGCGGGGCAACGTCAGGGGCTAATCTTGCTGGGGAAGGTGGCTCAAGTGATTGCTGACTCAGGTCGATACGCCGAAGACCGTTCGCCTTCTGAGGCCTGGTACCGCTTCGCGACTCTCGCGCGATGCATATCCTTCCACGGCGTGATATCTGTCAGTCAGTCTGGATGCGTACATCAGATCCTGCGTACGCAGAACTCAGCACGGTGACTCTAACGGGGTCCTTCGAAGACATCCAAGCCGAGGGACTCAGCATTTCGACCTCTAGACAACGTCGCCTCCACTCTCGCTCGCCATTCCATCCTCCACCACCAGCCCAAATACGTCTGCACGATCTGAGAAGGCCAGGTCGAATGGGGGCGATGAGTCCGGCGAAGACCTACAGGATCTGCAGGTCGTGAACAGGCGGGTGCAGAGCGGAACGGCTTCCCCGAGGCTCATTAAGGATCTACAGGTGCTGTACGAGAATGGGGGCATAAAACCGTCGAAGATACAGGTAAGATGATCGACTCATAGGAGCTCCTCGACTGGTATGTCGCAGACTATTCTAACAGCGCATCAATATGTCGTGTCACCTTCAAGGTTCGAAGAGCCGCAATTGACGCCTCCTGAGGAGAAGTCCTTCGCGCAAACTCAGCGAGTCGTTGCGCTTTCAAAGCCATCCGGGCCGGAAGGCGTTCCGATCGAGATCCGTAGACGGAGTTCTGGCTTGCATCGGGAGAGGACGACGAGATAGAGCGCCGGCTTGGCCTGGACGGGGCGCTTTGGGACGGAAGCTTCAATCCGGATGATGCCCGAAATATTTGTGGGTAGCGGAAAGAAGTTGAGAAAAGGTTATGAGACGACAGAGGGACAAGAAGGTTGTACGTAGATCTAGGCGAGCTTTGGAGCGTTTTAAAAGGCGGAAGCTGAGTATTAGAGTATCGGAATCCCTATAGGTGGCGGAGACAAGAACGATGGCGAGTGCTTACTAGGATGTGGATGTCGCGTGAATCTGAAGCTGTAGAGCTAGAATTTCTAGTATACTTAGCTGTACTTAAAAGCAGCGCTACGGCGAATATTAGTTAGGTGCGTAGCTAATAGCGAATACCTGCTGTTGTATGTTCTCGCTTTTGCTGTCTTTTTGTTGCTTTTAAGGTTTCCTATGCTCTATGCCTCTTAGGTCTCTATTTTTGCTTCTGAAGTGAATAGTTAAGACAACATAAAGGCACATGGGTGCTTATCCCGAAGAGCTTTGTTTTGCATCTGGCGAGAGCGAGGCTGATACGGGCGCTTAGCAACACCTGAATTGGGACTAGCGTAGTAATATGGAGATCGCCGACGTGGTACAGACAGCTGTGTGCGCTTCTCACGTAAATCACCTAGCCATTCATTACCACCCGTACTACTCCCCTACCGCATCTTTGAACGACACCATTGAGATATGGAAATGTTCGAAATATGCTGCAAGGGCTCCCGGCGGAAGCCCAGGCGGCCAGACCGCGCCCCTGATGGCAGGCAAGACGAGGTGAGTAGGTTTCAGGGAAGCTTGCGTCACCACAATACGCACTAAGAGATCTCGTTCCTGACATCAGTTCTAGTTTCTTCAATCCCGCGATACTCTTCCGCTACATACACCTCCGCCCCGCCCAGCTAGTTCAGCTCATCCGGCTCCGAGGTCCCTAAGCCGTAAGAAGGGATATGGTCTCGAACTGCTGTATGATGGCAGGCCCCGCACCAGCGGTCGGGATGTGACTGGTGTGGATATAGTCGCTATACATGGTCTCAACGGGAATGCCTATTCGACTTGGCGGCACAGTAATGGCACACTATGGCTAAAGGATCTTCTACCGAGTGACCTCCCCACTTCGCGTATCTTCACATACGGATACCCTGCAGAAGTCCTGTTCAGCAAATCTGTGGGGGACATACTGGACTACTCGCGTAGCTTCCTGAACGAGCTCTGGGGTGGATTGATTGAGGCTTCACAAGACAATGTAAGCCCTATAGTGATTCTCCGGTGCCTTTGATTGACCAGATTGGGGACAAGGTCCTGCGTCCTATCATTTTCGTATGTCATAGCCTGGGCGGACTCGTATGCAAGCAGGTACGGACCCCTGGAAGTTCTGGCATATTGCCACCAGAAGTGGTAACGAATTCGCAGGCTCTCCTTCTGGCAAATGCGCCGAAGAGCCACTACCAGGATATCTTGTCCGCCACTGCGGCCGTTGTATTCCTAGGGACACCACATCAAGGATCTAAGATAGCCGATACCGGCAAAGCTGTTGGGAACATTGCGAATGCCTTTCTACGTATCACGCAAATCACGAGTGTCACCGGGTCTATTCGCGGTGATCTCGTTAGCACCTTGAGCGCGGGCTCCGGCAAACTACAGGCGCTGGCCCTGTCCTTTCAACAACAGCTAGACTATCTAAGCATTGTCACTTTCTATGAACAGCAGTTCACCTTTCCATTACAAAGCCTAGTAAAGACCTCGTTAGCAACCGTCTGGCTTTAATAATGGGGACTAACTGCTTTCAATTTAGGTTGTCGATCGGAAATCAGCCATTTTGGGCATTTCGGGCGAGGAGGTCATCCCGCTGAATGCCGACCATAGAAGCATGTGCCGATTCGATTCAAGGAATAAGGAGTATCTCACCGTCTTAAGCCAGATTCGGCGTTTGGCGCGGGATGCCAAGACGAATAGGTACTCCGCGAATCTATGTATGTATCGATTCCTTGACATGCGGATATACACTGAGGAACCGTTCAGCCCTCATGTCTAGCGAGAAGCGTTGCATGAGCCTCCTTTACTCCACCAATCTCGCAGACTACAAGAGTCAACTACCAAGACCTGTACAAGGGACGTGCAACTGGATTCTCAAAGATCCACAGTACGTCTCATGGATGAATTCTGAAGAGACTGCACTCCTTTGGGTCACGGGAGAACCAGGCTGTGGGAAGACTATGCTGTCTGTGTACCTTACAGAGCAATTGAGTCTAGGCTCTACTGATCCAGCGCGTTCCCAAGTATTCTATTTCTTCTGCGACGATAAGATCGCGACTCAGCGAGATGCTAAGGATATAATACGGAGTATCCTGCATCAGATTCTCCAGCAACATCGAAGACTCATCAAGTACGCAAGATCAAGATGGGAAGCTACGGGGCAAAATCTCATAGAATCCTTCACCGCGCTTTGGGAGATCTTCGTGAAGATCGTATCGGAAGCAAGGTTGGGCGCTGTGTGCGTCATCATAGACGCAATCGACGAGTGCGAGGCCAACACCCGCCGGACGATGCTTCACTCCATCAAACAATTTGTGCAAGACTCGCGGACGTTAGCCGGGCGGCCACGAAGCTTCGTAAAGTTTCTCATTACCAGTCGTCCTTCTCTCAAAGACCTCAGCGCCTTTGACGAATTCAAGAAGAGCATATTGCCTATGGATGAGAATTTAACAAGGATCAGCGACGACGTGAAGCTAGTCATTAAAGACAAATTTGGCCACATCGCACACAAGGCTGGCTTCTCGGACGACACTAGGACAGAAATAGAAGAACTACTCTATTTCAAAGCGGAAAAATCGTTCCTGTGGCTCAACATAATCCTACGAAGTCTCGAGGAAACTCCTTCGACCTCTAAAAAGGACTTTAAGCAAATCATCCACAACTTCCCTCAGAAGCTGGAGGCAACATACGAGAGTTTCCTACATCGCATTCCTCAGAAAAGCCGAGATGATGGCAGAGATATACTCCGTCTTCTTGTTGGCAGCTCCAGGCATTTGACTCTGGAGGAAGTGAACATTGCATACACGATCAATCAAGATGTCTACAAGACGGTTGCTGGTATCGAGGAAGATCGTCAGCATGCTATTGAGCATATGCTACAGGGTATCGTGGGCCCTTTCATTCGGATTGAAGCCTCTAGGATATCCCTGATACACCAATCCGTCAAAGAGTTTTTGGGCGAGTTTGCCCTCCGTTCGTCGGACGATGCCATACGTAATTTTGGTATTCCTTCATCTACTGCAGCACTGGCTAAAGCAACGACTTGCATTCGGTACTTGCTCTTAGAGGACTTCGCGACAGATGTCTTCATGACAGCGCAACATGATTCAGACCAGTACGATATAGATGATGAGCCGGTCACCGATACGTTACTCCTGGATTTCGGCGCTGGTCTGGCTGGAGGGCCTCTTCCCAACGTTAGCGACGGCATTGGGGACGAGAGATGTTCATCCGTTGCTCAGGTGTACAAGTACTTTGACTATGCCGCTATGCATTGGGCGAAACATTTTGCAGCCTGCGAAAGTATCGCTCCGAAAGATACTTCGAGGGCTGTCCAGCGACTCACGGAAGGCGGAAGCCGCTTTCTGATTAACTGGTTAACGTACTTCTGGGTCAAGAGCGATATGGACTTCGCAATTCCCGAAGATTTCGATACTATCATGGTCACTGCGTTCTTCGATTTTAGCATCCTACTCGAGGAATCCTTGCAGGAAGCGACAATCCCAATCGGCCAGTCCAAGAAAGATCGCGCGTTGTTCTGGGCCGCGAGGATGGGGTCCGCCAGTTCTACGAAGGTGCTGCTCAGACATGGCGCTAACCCCAACGCTCAAGCACTTTATGGACATACTCCATTAACCGTAGCTTCACATCATGGTCATCTAGAGGTCGTGAAGGTCCTCCTATCTGATGCCCGGTGTAACATCAATGCTAAAGGGAAGTCTGGTCGTTCGGCGCTGTCCTTCGCAGCTGGAAACAGTCACCTGGAGGTATTCGACCTGCTATTCCAACATGAAGACTGTCAGCCTGAAGAACCGGATGAGCACGAGTGGACTCCGTTGTTCTGGGCAATCGAAAGGGATCATACGACTATCGCTCGCACGTTACTCCGCCATCCGACTGTAGACATCAATCATGTTGACCGCGATGGACGCACCGTTCTATCATGGGCGGCGGGTGAAGGATTTCTTCAGGCACTTCGGTTGTTCCTAGCATACCCAAACGTGGATGTCAACTTTAGGGATTCCAAAGGCCGGACTCCTTTGCTATGGGCAGCTAACAACGGCCACGAAGACGTTATCGAAATTCTTATGCAGGGCGAGTATGGCGTCGACCGAATGAGCAAGGACAATAAGCAACGCAGCGCTCTGTCGTTGGCTTGTGGAGGAGGTCACACTGATACCGTGAAAGCACTGATTAAATACCAGTGCGGAGGGGACGAAGAAGATGTCGACGGATGGACTCCGCTAGCTTGGTCTCTAGAACGCCGGTCGCCCCAGACGGTGGAAGCTCTTCTTTCGGGGCAAGAAATTGAGCTGGACCGCAAGGACTACCGCGGGCGGACTGCGCTAATGCAGGCTGCAAGTTATGGCTATGCTGAAGTGTTACAAATGTTGCTGGACCAGGGTGCGGATCCTTACATTGCAGACAACTATGGCCAGACAGCTCTTGACGTCGCAAGAGCATGGGAAAACTTCGATCGCAGAGACGTGATACAGTTGCTAGAGGCAGCCCTATCCAAGGCGAATCCTACGGTACCGAATGTATGAGTCGGTGGTTTGGTTAGCCCCATGCCGCTTCTTCTTCACTGCACCTATACTAAGCTCGAGCTACCGTGATATCATACATCGATGGATATGACCAAGTCTGGCTTCGTTTGCTATTCCCTGTCTCGTGTCATTTCGACCCACAGTTCATGAGAAGATCTGATCCAGTGCAGATACCACCGTGATGCCGTTTGCCCATGCTTAGCTGGCTTCGCTTGTGGATTTGGAATACCAGTTCGAGGACATTTCGATGAGATTGTCGCCCGGAACTTCGGATATAGGAGCGACAGGAGTGCTATGGAAGATTAGAGGCTGTTGCCACTGAACCGGAGATTAATGGACCATACCGCTCTCCCCCCATCCGAGACTTTCAAGAGTAGGCTTCGTTTTAGACACCGTTTCATCAAACACATTTGCGGACCATCCGTGCTCGTCTCTGAAAACATCAGTGATGAGGGTAGATGACAGTGACTCGGCAGATCATACAACTTGTTGATGAGAACGACAGCTTTTCCTTGTTTAGAGAACTCTGCCAGGCCTCTGACTTGGTCGGCAACGGTTTGTAGCTTTTCGGACGTTTAACTCACTATTAGAATTAGGAGGACGCCTTTAGCAGTGGGTTCATCTTCTAGGTGACACTCTAGTACGAATAGAGAACGCTGCTAATTTGCTCGGACTGACCCGTCATGATCACCCTGTTCTTGGGCGTATAGAACCAGAGTGGCTCATGGCTTTCTTTAATTGCGTTGAACGCTTTGTCGTAATTATTATTGCCGCCCTTCTCCAGTCGCGCCAAGGTTGGCATATCGATGCCCTCCGCACTGCATGTACTTAGCTGAGGATCGCCCTCTTTTTCACTCGTCCACAATCTTGTAGACGAGATTGCCTATAGTGGTGGCCTTTCCTGCGTCAGGACTTGCCACGACTATCAAGCGCTTGCCTTGATTTTGCATTCCTCTGCTATCATTCGTGATAGCCACCTTCGATAATGCACCTGAAAAGCTGGACGAGATTGTAATCACAGTTTCAGCCCCGGAGTAAGATCCTTCTTTTTCGCTGTCCTGCGTGGTAGCCTAGGACTGTGGGGTGAAAACCCCGCTTTGCACTGCGACGGAATCACGGAATATCTTTTTGCCAAATTAAAAACCTTCAGTTCTCAGCTAAGGGGAAGAAAAAGGCGCCGTCATTCCAATTCAGTCGCTGCACCTACCTAGGTAGGGCACCTCGTCGCTCGCTGTCACCGTAATTGGTATAGAGCATCCTGTCCACATAGTCTTTAATCATGCTCTCATCAAATCTCGAACAACAACAGCCATGGCGGGATTTCACAGCCACGGTATCCTTTCCTTACACTTATTCTCCTAGTAAGTAACCTAGGTATAAAGAACGATAAAAAGCCGAAACGTATTGACACATGGTGTTCGTTATTTCGACTTCAGTAAACATGTTGTCATTAGTTCTGCTCGCCATCGCCGGCGCTGCAGCGGCTCGTAGCATTCTCACATCCGGATCGCTCGACTATAGCATCCCGACCAGGCAGGCAGGCAGTCTACCTAGCAGCTTCAAATGGAGTTCGAGCGGCGCACTCGTCGGCCCCAAGAGCGACAGTCGTAACATCAAGGGCATCAAAGACCCCTCCATCGTCTACTACAACAACCGATACCACGTCTCCGCCAGCACGGCTGTATCTTCAGGATACAACATGGTCTACTTCAACTTCACCGACTTCAACAACGCAAACTCAGCGCCCTTCTACTACCTCGATCAGTCAGCCATCGGCACTGGATACCGCGCTGCGCCACAGGTGTTCTACTTCGAGCCCCAGAAGCTCTGGTATCCCGTGTACCAGAACGGGAACGCGGCATTCTCGACCAACAAGGACATCAGCAACCCCGCCGGCTGGACCGCACCCAAGACGTTTTACAGTGGAACACCGAAGACGATCCAGGACAATCTCTCGGGCGGATATTGGGTGGACATGTGGGTAATCTGCGACGCATCGAACTGCCATCTTTTCTCCTCCGACGACAACGGCCGCCTTTACCGCTCGCAAACTCCCGTCAGCAGCTTCCCTAGCGGCATGAACGAGCCCGTCATCGCCATGCAAGACTCCAACAAGAACAATCTCTTCGAAGCTTCAAACGTGTACGCGGTCGGCAACGGAAAGTACCTTCTGATTGTCGAATGCATAGGGAGCACAGGCCGGTACTTCCGCTCGTGGACTGCGAGCAGCCTTGCGGGCCCGTGGACTGCGCTTGCGGCGACGGAGAGTAATCCCTTTGCGGGCGCTGCAAATGTGGCGTTTAGTGGGACCGCGTGGACTAAGAGCATTAGCCATGGCGAGATAGTCAGGACGCAGGTCGATCAGACGTTGACGATTAGTCCGTGCAATGTGCGGTATTTATACCAGGGGTTGGATCCGAGCGCGAGCGGCGATTATAATTCGCTGCCTTGGAAACTGGGACTTCTTACGCAAACGAATTCGGCTTGCTGAGGGCTGGACATAGCGGTGCTTGGGAGTATCAGACCCTTTGGAGATGACACTCGAACCGTGATGCGAGGCTGCCTTGTACCAAGAAGTTGACTTACTTGTATGTACAAGCAGCAGAAATACAACCTGTACTTCTCTAAGCAATTGGCAACCGAATCGTTCAAGATGGAATTTACTTAAACGCAATTTACCACTCTTGCGCCTATATAAAGCAAAATAATGCCACATTGAAGAAATAGTCTGTCTAACCACCATCACCCCAAGTACCTAGCCCCTGTTCTTGGTGCGTATGTGGGTAACCAATGAAGTAGGATGCGTCGAAAGGATCTGGATCATCAAGATCAAAATCCCAGTAAAAGTTCTCCAGTAGAGCCTCGTCAGGATGGAAAGTTTGCCGTGGAATTTCTCCCGAGACAACAGCGACCGACGAATCGTCGCGGGACTCTTCGCTTCTAGACGGTGCGGCTATCTCTGATGTATGCCGAGGCGACGGGGAGGAGCCGGTTTTACTCGTGGCACTGGAAGTGATCAGTGAAGCGTAGCCCGACTCGACAACTGTTGGTTTAGGACTGTAACGAGAGAGCCCCTCTCCGCCAATCCAGCTCTCAATGGCCATATCGAACAGGTCTCGAACTGCTGCTTGCGTAAAAGCTTCAATCTGGGCCTGAGACGAACGGAGTTCTAACGGCAATTCAGCTCGCGCGAAGGTAGCGATCCTCGCCGGTGCCTGCTGCACGGTAAATTCTCTCAAAGCGAGCAGCTCTTCAGAGAGTTGGACGTCGTCTATGTCTATAAAAGCGTCAGCAAACGTACTTTGAGAGGCGAGACATCATTGAAGCTCCCTAAGGTTGAAAGATTCGGGCTCAGGAAAGTGGCGTGCTTACAGGGGCTCTCGGGGCGGGGTGAGTGAGGGAATAAGATGTCGTATATCAGATACCAATTTTCCTCCTTTGTCTTCTTCGATGATACTCTTCGAGCCAATTGCCTCTTTTGGGTTTCGCTAATGCCGTCCCAAATTCGAGGGGCTTGAATTGTGCACCCTACTGCTTGGCGAAGATGATCGTCTCTATCGGCCTCGGTGCTGAACGTCTCCGAGCATCTTGCGCAATGGATAGGTGTTTGGTGAACCCTTAATAGATGCTGCCTGAGCGATCACATATTAGTAAAATCGCTAAATGCGTCTCCCGCTACTGCAAATAGGGTTGCGGGACGCAGGGTGGCTGAACTAGCGCGGAGAACTTACTTCAGCCTGGCTATCTCTTGGATCACATACTTGAAGCATTTCCGATGCCTCAAGGGACTCTTTTTGGCAAATGGACATGCCAGAAACCGGCATTTGATATGTTCAGGCGACGCATCCAATCTTCGGCGTTGTGGTGGACGATGATCGTCCTCATCATCTGACGGCCTTTTCCTAGGTAATGCGTTGGAAGTTGAACTTGCTTGGTTAGAGAGCTGTGGGTTGAATATGTTGGTGCTGGTATTTGAGCTCTGTGAGTGACTGGGCTCGTTCGTTGAACCGTTATCGCGTTGGTTCCCTCGGGTATGGTAGCTCCCGCTCCCGCGATACCTCAAAAAGGTTGCGAAAAGTGCTATTGCAGCATTTCTCACGAGAGGCGACAATGCAGGTGGCACCACCGAAGAAACTGAGTCTGGACTAGAACCTTCACTCCACCTATCCCAGTCGCTTGCATCCTCGCTCTGGGAGGCGAGGTCCTCCCCAGAACCCCTCACTGAATGGCTTTCATCCGGGCGAGGTGTCATGATGCTAGAGTGTGAACCCAGGTCTGACGTTCCGATTGAGGGATGCCGCTCAGAATCATTAGCGTCAGTCCCGGTTCCAATCCCTAATGCAGCCAGGCTGTATAGTATGTCTGGCTTTGTACATGATTCGGCCATCTTTCCTTCTACTACATCGGAAGCCATGGGCGACGATGCCAGCTGTTGTGACTCTTTCTCGGACGCAAGATTCGGTCCGGAGTGACTCTCGGGCCCTTCACGGGCCCTTTCCCGGTGAGCAATTGGCGATATAACATCTGTTATTCCTTTGGTTGGCCGATGCGGCTGTACTGTAGTCGGAGTTGAGATCCTGTCCGTAGGAGCATGAGGCACGATGTGCTCTGAGCTGTGGAGGGTAAAGTTATCGTCGCTTGGCGTCCATGTATACGCCATTGTGGAGCCGGGGGAAGTAGGTGATCGTGGCGGGTCAACCCAAGGCTCGATAAAAGATGCGTCAGAAGACGCGCGAGATCGATTCGACCTATCGCCATAAGAGGGATCTGTGAAAATGCTTGCATCGCCGGTGGGGCTGGAAGGAGGTGCAATTAAGCCGCTTGAAGATGGACCTTTGGGGATCTGTCCAAACGGTTCGTCCCAGCTGATGAACGAGTAGTCGCCGGTGCCTGCAACAAGTGAAGCAACATCGGCTCCAGTAAGAGTAGTTTGGCTTCCATGAAGGCTCCTTGCTCCTTCTAAAGCGTCCTTGTGCAGATGTTGCTGGGATTTTGGTGTGGAGGACATGTTGTGGCTGGCGTATACTCCTCAGCACTGGGGAGCTGAGAGTCGGCACTGTCTGAGTGTTGCAGATTGCCGGATTGGTTTTCTTGAAGTCGATAAACGAGACGGGCAAACGAGTGGAGGACCGCGAAGAGGAGACACAATTCTTCTGAGGTGCTTACGGGGCAAGGCTGAAAAACGCAGTTGCAGTTACGCACAACCGGTGCGCTCAGCCGCCAATGTATGCGAGGGGTGGGCGGAATCATCATCTATTGGTTAATTACGCGCCACCTGTGGCGCAGCCCTCAACTCTTGTTTCCGCACAGGATGTGCGGAATTTCAATGAATCGAAAGCACGTACGCTCTTAATCACTGAAAATGCGGACAGTGATGTGCAGCCCTTAAGTTACACACCTAGGTGCGGTATGATTGTGTCTTCAATTCGTCCATGCAGAACTGCATTGGAGCTTCACGCATAAAACATACCTCTGCCGTTGAAAAGAAGGGTTATGATGCGCTCTGAAATTGGAACGGATCTAGCCCGTGTTCCTCAAGGCTTCTGCCGGTAAATAAGAATGATGGGAACCCCGGCCAGCATTGACTTTACAGAGGTAAAGCGAAAGACATGGATTTATATCCTCTCCGCCAACGATGGCCTCCGCGGCATCTCTGTTACGGCCTCAGATTCGAACTCCGACATTCTGGCAAAATTGCGCAGCATGTGCTTGACGCCGCGGACGAAAAAGTCGATCGCCTTCTTGGAGAAGCTGTGGAATATCCTCCTGATGAAGGCATACGTGGTTGGAAGAGTGAGACTTGATCCGGTGAGAAGCCATGACGATTGATGTACGTCCGTAGCTGACCGCATAGTCGTGGGACCTGGAGCACCAACATGCGACATATTATCGGAAGACATCCATAAGCAGAGATGACTTTCTCACGTCTGCTCTGCATGGTCAACTCGAAATCCCCCGCGCGTCCCGAACAATCGCCGCATACCTCCTAGATGAAAGTCACTTTGCGAACATGGACCCCAGAGAGCGGACAGCGTTGTGCATATTCAACGTGTTCAACCAGAGGCTCGCCGCGAAATGGCTCCTTTCCGCGCTCTTGCTATCCGTTTTGGCTGGCGTAGCTGGTGGCTTCGGATCGCGCGATGCCAATCTGGGATTCAACATCGGGACCGGGTTGCTGGCGGCTTTGTCAACAGTACAGGCGATCTTGATGTTGTGGCAGACGCGAGGTCACGCTTAGCTTGATCATGGACTGTCCTTGCCTGGTAGATCCAGAATCTATCTCTTTCCTTATCGTCCGGAAACGTAACTGGGCTGTGTTAGTCATCCTATTCTTGAACCTCTGGGCACTCTGTATTCCTTCCCAGCCAACAGCGACTCGCAAGCGTGATAGAAGGATCTATGAGCTCGATTTCGGTAGCGTCACTTCCAAGGCCAGGTACGAGCCAGAGCGATGGAGTGCTATCCAGTCTTTAGGCTTCGGGATTCGGGATTCGGAAAGCTCATTTCAAGACCTTGCCGATCTTGGCTGAGAGTCCGGCCGATGCGAGCTTCAGTTGATCAGTGTGAGTGATGAATGTGACCGGCTATGTGTGGAGAATTTGCCTGCCGAGCGCACGGGCGCCGTCGGATGTTGCAGCGCGCCCCCTTCGGCCATCAACTTTGACTTCTGCAATTCAGGTCGCCTTCTAAGAAGAATAAGCAGAAGAGGTCTAGCGACTGCTGCTCTAGAAGTAGAGGGTTATGGATAGGGTGCTGAGGTGTGGGGCTTTGACGAGCAAATTGGGTATAGCGTCCCTGCGCCTCCTGCGCCGACCCTCCATCCGTATCAGCATCGCCTTAACCCACCATCATGCGAGAAATCGTATTCATTTTTAAACTCGTAAACGTCAGGTGTCTCCTTCGTTGTCCAGGTCTGCAATAACAGTCGAGGCGCCACATGCGTGAGGCTGCAGCTGCCGTTGGCCAGTAACGCACAAAATGCGAGCTCAGCCTCGGATTCTCGAATGAGCCTTGCCAGAAAGGCGAAGGGCACTACTTCACCGAGCAATCGAATCTGGCGATAACAAACGAAGAGTGTATACAAGGCCAGGCTTCATGTCTCCGCTTAAAAGTTGACGCCCACGCCTCGCAGCCTCCTTCAACGAATACTTCTCTCAGCCTTCTACAGCATATCCGATGTCGGGCTTTGTGTCTCCATAGCATCATGACAGGCCACAAGCTCACCGTGGCGGAGAAAGCAAAGAACACCGAGCGAAGGCAGTCGATCAGAGCCATTGGAGAGCAATTCGGGGACCCGCCGCCTTACACCTCGCAGCCTTCATCCGTTCAAGCGTCTTCATCAAACGTTGGATCCGAGAAACTGTCAACGACCACGAACGTCCCTTTCGAGAACTTAGACTTCAAGCCAAGCCCTTTGGAGCTACCCACCGCGGCGGAATGTATCGCGCATCTAAAATTGTTGCACGCCTTCGCGAAAGTGAGGCACGAGATCGGCAATCATGAGGGCCTCTTTGGCATCAAATTTGAGAAATTCGAAGATGCGAAGGAACCGCTAGATTTGCCTCGCGATGAACTACCAAGGAGTGACAGCCATCAGCCTGAAGGAGTTCACGGACAGGACGGCTCTAGAGCAGCGGTGCCGAACGAAAACGAGAATGAGGATGCAGCTCTCGTGGAACGCATACGTGAGAAGAGATGGACAGTCTTTGTAACAAAGGCCGCACACCGATTCGAGAAATGGTGGGACTCTTGGTATGCAAGCTATCCCATCGCTACGACCGACTACGATTCCTCTGGCCGCCGTCAGGCACCTCGCATGTTTCCTGACCAAGGCGAGGGATTCGAAAACCAACTGCCGGATTACTTACCCCCATTGGATGTACTAATGGTGTGGCACGCGTACATGCTGAACCCGCGGGCATATCTTGAGGACTGCATGAGGTGGAGCAAGCATAGAATCTGGCGCACGTCGTTCCCCTGGAACCTAATACACGACTCCACTGACAAAGAGACGTTCATATTCCACCCTTCCGAGGAGGCGATCGAAACATTTGAGAGGGCAACTCGCCTCCCGTGGAACATCTTGGATGATCATTTCCTCAAGCTAATTACCTGCCCGAGATGCTTATGCGTTTTTACAGTCCCGTGGACGCGACTTCCAGCAAGTGACGACCGGGAAGCTGTCGAAGCTTATCTCTCCGGCGATACTGGCTTCGCTGGAAACGCATTTCGAGACTCATGTTATCGGTGCAACCTCGTAGTCACTCACGAAACCCTACGCGTGGGCAAGTTCATCGCCGATGCAAGCGCCCTCCATGCTTCAAAACGACCGCTGCCAGGCACCATTCTCAACGCAGCCGGGATGCCGCAACTGACCGACAAAAACAAACGCATCAGTACTCACGACCCCTTTTTTCCTAACCGCGTCGTTGAAAACCTGAGCGAGTTCGAGCCCCGCCAATTACGCAAGAACATTAACAAGCTCTCTATCGAGACGCTGAAGTCCATGTTCCAAAACGCCATGGCGTCGCCTTCCAGAGTCAAGCTAGTCAATTCTGAGCAGTACAAGACGGACTTTGTCGCCAAGGAGAGCAAGATTGCTGTCCGGAAGATGCTGAGCCATTACTGGGATAACTCGAGTCCCTTTGGGCTTGACCTGGTGGGCGCGGTGATACGGCAGGGTAGCTTTGTCCTAAAGATGCGGCGGATCGACTGGCTGCACAGTCCGTCTGTAATGACGACTATGCAGAGGCTGATCGTAAAGTACCACCGCTTCGTTCGCATCATCGCGGACAATCCGAAAAAGGTCGCAGTGCCCACATTAGACGTTGACCTCGCCTGGGTAAGTCTGGCCCCGTCCATCCTCTCCTCGAACTCTTCATCGAACGATTACTGACGTATATACCAGCACACGCATCAACTCACCCCAAAACTCTACTACCGCTATACGGTCGCCGAAACCAAGAAATTCCTCAACCACGACGATAAAATCCCAGAAACGTCGCTCTACACCTCCTTCCAATGGACCTCGCAAGCCTACGAGAAGAAATACGGACAGCCCTACTCCGAGTGCGCATGCTGGTACTGCGAATGCACGCGCGAGCCGCTCCGGTCCTCCTTCACCAACCGCGTCAACCCCTTCCGATCGTCCTGCGACGTCAAGCAGCTGGCCGAGAAAGGGATGCCGAAAGATCCAGTGCTGGGTCCGCATGTTAGTGCCCACAACGCGCTGGTAATGGAAGGTGCGAGCTCTGCCCAACAGCGACGCCGCGAGCTCGAAGAGCTGGATCTGCAGTATGCGAGGGTGTGCAAGCGGTATCAGAAGAAAGGGGCCGAAACGCCCTCGCGGGAGAACGATGTGTACGTCTACAGCGCGTACGGCTATCCACTATACTATCCCGTCTATGTGCCGTACTACGCTGAGCCAACGTGCGACGACAGGTATTCCAGTGGAGGCGGAGGTGGCGGGTGTGCAGCGGGTACCTGCTCTGCGAGTGCGAGTCTGGGGAGTTGTTCGGGAGGTAGCGGGACGCCTGGGTGCAAAGCGAGCTGCGGAGGGCATGGTGATGCAAGTGGTGGTTGCGGAAATTGTGGTGGTGATGGAGGGGGTTGCGGTGGATGCGGTGGTGGGTAGCACGAGCTACTGTGGTACGTCGGAAGACATACATTGTGGCCGATTGGCTGGCTTAAATCGACGATACGCAATATGCTCATGCGTAGGTCAAGCGTTTCCAAGAGCGCCATGCTTGCACGTGCAGAGGGGCTGTGTTGGACCCACCTGGGGCAGCTTACAAGAATCTTAGAAATCAGAAGCGGGAGGGTCAGTGCGATTTTGCTGGCGATTCTCGATTTCTCGTTGGGTCCGACACTGGATTCCTGATTGGGAAGTTAGTGATGTCCAGTGTGTACGATGATTCTCAGGCGTTGGTATAGAAGACCGAATGGTATATTGGTTATCGGTTGATGAGTTGAGAGGATTATGGAAACGCAGGGCTGTGCTCTGCGTAACGGGGAAGCGATAGATTGAAGCTGGCGTAATGCGTGGTACGGTGGTGGCAGATCGTGCCGTGTGGTTCGAACAAGCTCTCAAGTGTGTCACAAAGGATGCAGAATTCCCTTCGCACGATGCATGGCGTACGTGCTCCTCGAGAGGAGAATCTCAGGACATCGCGAAGGGATGGCTTTCTACTGTCAGCGGGGTTGGGGAGGCAGTGCTTCCCTTATCAGTTATTGATAGCTTCGGAAGCATGGAGAGTCATTCCTGTGATCACGATGAGAGGGAACCTTGGAACCTAATCGGCTCCGAGCACCAGCACAGCCAAGCCGACTAAAACAACGGCGGGGAGTCGCGGCGCATGTGCAATCATCATGGTATGGGCGGAAAAGGGTCGCGGACATACTGCATTCTTTAATTCCGGGACATGAAGCGTGCGTCGTAAGACTACTACTAGCTGTAGTTTGGTGGTGAAGGTGTTCGAAGAGGGTGTCCCGAGTACTGTCCGTCCGGGAAGCCCCGAGGAGGCTCTGGAGAGACATTCGGCGAACGGCGCAGGTGCAAAAGTCAGCGGCGAGCTATGCAATGCCGTTAGTGGTGGGCAAAGACGATCCGGCCTGCTTGCGTGAAGTGCTCGAAATGCCAGACTCGCTTGGCCATTACGTGGACTGCAGGCTGCGCCGTCAAGGAACCCATTGATGTGTTGCATGCCATCGAATTCGTGCTGATGCTCGGCTGCGGCCCTCCGGATTCCCTATGTGGCAGTGCGCCACAGCGAACGAAGGACGGAAACGGCAGCAATGTCTCGCGGGCGACGACCACAGCCGGTCGGCGTGTCGGCGTTTGCACGAGGCACTGCAACGACGGTGGAGCGCAGAGTGTCGTAGATTTGCCGTGGTGTTGAGGGGAGGCCTGGAAACCTTAGCGCGCCAGTGAGCAGCGGCGGCCAAAAGGTGAAACGTGGCCGGGATCGACAGCCGCCCACCGTAGCCCACGCCGATCCAAAGTCTGTTTGCATCCCCCCAACCTCCGCCCAGGGGAGAACGCTGGCGTCTGCCCGGGTCCGACCAAGCCATCTGCGAAATCAGAGCCCGATGATTCGTGCTTCGTTGCGACCGCTGCTTTGTCTGTGCGCTCAGCCTCCACTACGCGTCAAAAGCCCAGCATGCCCAGCGCCATCCCCTCACGTCCCCGATAAGCCATCCCACCCGCCATAGGCTCGTTCAGGCCACAGGGCGGACGTGACGCGTACCTTCTCACGCTGGACCCTCTGACGTTGTCCCAGCCTACAGCCCGGCTCCCCGCCCTGACCGCTTACGGACAAGGTCAGCTCGAATCCGGGACGAAGTTTAACCATGTCCTCCGCAAAGTACATGAATAGCTGGCGTAGCTAAGACCGGCCCGTAGATACAAGTACACTGTAAGCACAGGACCGGAAACTCCAATCTCCCCTGGAGGCTGGCAACCGCACCCTGATATTTATTAAACCTTTGTCTTTCCCCTCCGATACGATTTGATATCCACACAACCCACGGGTCTGGGCTGCAATATTCGTCTCGCTTCTCCTCCGTATCTCGTTTTGTCAGTCCGTATTTTTATAGACACTTGGCAAGCCACCGCTTACAGCTTGGGCGCTCTTTGTTCCTCAGCTTGAACGCTCAGCTGTATTTTTCCGAAGCGTCCGTCTTGATTCCACGACACAACCTCAGAATGAGAAGTATGAGGAGAAGTACAGTTGCTGCAGGCCTGTTGGCGCTTGGTGTGTATCCTATTCTACTCGCGGCGACTGCGCTTACCATTGCTAGCATCTCGGGCGTGGGCTCAAGTTGCCAGTGTCTGCCCCTCGGACGATGTCTGCTTCAAGCTGAACATTCCGGACAGCACTGCATCGTCTGGCGATGGCGATATTTTCTTTCAAATATCGGCACCCAGCGACTACGAATGGGTCGCACTCGGCCAGGGGGATAGCATGTCGGGATCCAACATCTTCGTTGTCTACACTGCTTCCGATTCAAACGTGACGGTTTCACCGAGGCTGGGAACCGGCCATCAAATGCCCAATTTCAATGGGGATGCGCAAGTCACGCTGCTCGAAGGATCTAGCGTATCGGGCGGAAAGATGACAGCGAACGTGAAGTGTAGGTATTCGCAAGTTTCCATTGAGAATATTGCTGACCGTGATGCAGGTTCCAATTGCAACAGCTGGTCAGGCGGCACTGCAGACTTCACCTCCGGGAGCGGCAACTGGATATACGCGTATAAGTCCTCTGGCGGGCCCAAGGATTCCACAGATCAGTCCGCGAGCATCAGCCAGCACAACGAGCGGGACGCTTTCTCATGGGATTATGCTAGCGCAAAAGGAGGAAGTAGCGCCAATCCGCTCGTCAACTCTGCGCCATCTGGCACGGGAACCGGAAGTGGAGGTGCAAGCGTGACGAGCTGCGTGCCCCGGCCCACCTCCACCGGATCGGGATCGGGATCAGCATCAGGATCCGGATCAGGGACACCGACTACCGCGACTGACGACGATGATACTCAGACTCAGACGCTACCTCCATGGGCAACTGGAACCGGCCGACGTTTTGGTCCCCCACGCGAGAGTAAGCTCCCTGTCACCCGCGTTGTCAAGCGTTTTCTAACCTTCCTCTAGAGCGGCACGAGAAGCGCCAGGACGACGTCAATTACTGCGACGATAATTCGAACTCGAACTCGAACAACAACGCTGGCTTCACGCCCCTTCATTCGGGTGGCGGGGCAAACCAAACGAAGATGCTTATTGCTCACGGGACGATGGCAGCGCTCGCCTTTGTCATCTTCTTCCCTGTCGGCGCCATTGCCATTCGACTTGCCTCGTTCACAGGGCTTATATGGTTCCATGCTGCTTTCCAAGCTTTTGCGTATTTGATCTATATTATTGCGTTCGGGCTCGGTGTATACATCGCCAAAGACTACGACCTTGTAAGTGCTTCTCAACCCCGGCTGAGTGGGCATGGCTAACGGTATCACAGCTCGACGAGTACCATCCGGTCATTGGCATTGTTGTTTTCATCCTGCTCTTCTTTCAACCCATTCTGGGCTGCATGCATCACGTGCTGTTCAAGAAGTATCAGACCCGCACCTTCTGGTCTTACGCCCATCTCTGGCTCGGCCGGATCGTCATCACGCTAGGCATTATCAACGGCGGCCTCGGATTCAAGCTTGCCGACACGATGGGAATGGGATCGAAGTCTGGCATGATTGCGTACTCGGTTGTTGCGGCACTGATGTGGTCAGCCTGGGCTATTGCTTCGATTATTGGCGAGAGGCGGAGGAAGACGGCGGCAAGGAACGCGCCGCCCAAGTACACCGACAGCCCACCGGTGGAGACTAGGCAGAGGGCGGATATTCCGCATCCCGAGCAGGGGCATTATGCGCCCAGATAGGCGTGGTAGAGTAGTGGAAGAAGGACAAAACGTTAGGCCGTTGGAGTATTCTGGTTGAGGCAAAAAGGTAGCGAATTATATCTTGTTAGCATTATTCTTAAGTTCTCCTGTATCTACGTGAGGTGCAGGTAAACGTGACCTCTCTAAAAGTGAACTGGTTCTGCGTTGTCCCTGTTGAGATGGATGACAGGTTGGGATCTTTGGAAGCCTACATCATCGCGTTGTTGATGTGCTGGGCGTAAGCGAAGGGCACAGCTCGCGGCGTGTCTTCATTGATACATGTCCACGTCGAGGGGCATCTGTTGACGTATAGCGTTAGTTGCCCCAAACGCTTGCATCCCGCCAGAGTGAATGGAGCTGCTTACTAACACCAGCTTAAACTGGGTTAGCGTGCCAAGGCGACTCGTGGGGCATCGCCGGGGCGATTTTGGTCCTCCGACCAGGCGCCATCATCAACAAACAACCAAGGCACCACATTCACCCTTCACGACGCCACTCTGCGCTTATTGCAGTCGTACTCTGTGTCCTGATATCTCGACGTATCTTATATCCTCACCAAGCAGCGCAAAGCGGCCGTCCAACATGGGAGAGTCAAGGTACGATTGCGCCAGGCACCCAGAGCCCAACTTTCTCCAAGCACTCGTCTCGGCCGACACGACGTATGCTAACATTTCGCTCCGCGCAGGCAGGAACTCATCGCCTGGTTAAACAACCTCCTCCAGCTCAACATCACCAAAGTCGAACAATGCGGCACTGGGTACGTCGGGCTTGTTTCCACCTCAATGGGAAAAGCGCACAGCGCGGCTGCGGTGCCTTCGCGTGATATGGACACAGGTGGCTAATGGTTTGGACACAGCGCGGCGCTCTGCCAGGTCTTCGACAGCATATTCTGTGAGTAGTTTCATGCGATGCGTAGCCCCGCAGTGCTAACAGACGGTGCCAGATGACGTGCCTATGGGGCGAGTCAAGTTCAACGCCAATACCGAATATGCATATCTGCAGAACTTCAAAATATTGCAGAGTACGTGTTCATGTCCAGCCGAACCCGGCCAGCATCCGCTCCACCTTCACCCAATTGCTAACATGACACCCAGACGTGTTCGCCAAACACGCCGTCGACAAGCCCATCCCCGTCGAGAGGCTAGTGAAATGCAAGATGCAGGATAACCTTGAGTTCCTTCAGTGGACCAAGCAATACTGGGACCAGTACTTCCCTGGCCACGAGTACGATCCGCTTGCCCGCCGCAAAGGACAGGGCGGCATCGCCGCGACCGGCGCCCCCCCAGCGGCCCGTGCAGCCTCCAGTACCGCCCGACGAGCTCCCGCTGCAAGCAACTCCGCCGCCCCGAGGACCCGTACGCCGCTCGGATCCGGAGGCGGTGCCGCCAGCGCGGCCCTGCGAGAGGAAAACAACGTGCTCAAGGAGACGGTTGCCGGCCTCGAGCGTGAGAGAGACTTCTACTTCAGCAAGCTCCGCGACATCGAGCTGCTGATCCAGCAAGCCATGGAGGCCGAACCAGATCTCGAGAAGGAGGACGGGCTGCTCAAGCAGATCCAGAACATCCTCTACTCGACCGAAGAAGGCTTCGAGATCCCCGCGGAGGCTGAGGTGGGCGAAGAGGAGACCTTCTAGGCGAGGGCGTGATCTTCTGCATTTAAGCGCGGGACTGGGTCGGGATACCATTTCTTCTTTGGGCGGCCTCCTTACGGTGTGATGACTGACGAGTGGCATGAAAAATACGGCTGCTGGCGCGCCCTGCGCTCTGGGGAGGTGTTCGATAAGGCTGTTGGCAATAGACCGAAAGCACGTATCTACAGGAGATCTTCGTTCTCTCGTCCTCTATCCATTGGAGTAGCTTGGTGGCACCATGAAGTGCAGCGAGGGAGTGGGTGCATAATACAACTATTTTCCATCTCAGTCGACTCCTTCCTATGCATAGCCGCCTCACGCTTGTATTTGATACTGTTGGTTGCAGTGTATCTCCTTGATCTGTTCTTCGGGGAGGCAGTTGACTGGTCCTCCAAATCTGCGCCTCTGAGTACCTTAATAGCATTTCATGAAGACCGTTCATTCTTCAGACAGAAGTAAAGAGCAATGCTCGGCAGGCATGTGGTGCATGTTGCATCATACCCTCGAAAAGCGTCGTGTCCTATGCCTTCCAAAGCCTTCGCTCAAGCACAAACGCTCTTACTCCTCTTCGATAGCCCAAACATTCACCGGTTTCGCGCTCTCTCGCCCACCACCACGCCGCCCCATCATCACCATCACGCCGCCACGTCCCGAGAAGTTCTCTGGCGGCGGCTCCTCAGTGGTAAAATTCGCAGCGATGCAGCCCCAATTGCCGTCTCCCTAGTTCATAAGGCCAATACATTAGCAATCGATCCATGGAGAACAAAACGGAGTCCCATGAACTGAGCTGAGCTGAGCTTACCTCGCCGACGCAGCACGCCCAGCCCTCAGGATGGTAGTCCACGCATTCAGACAGGCTGTCGATGGGCGCGGGGTCGCTGCAGATGATGGGGCCTGAGGTGATGCAGGGGCAGCACGTGGCGTTGTAGCCGTCGACACAGGTGGTGTTTTCTTGGGCGGAGGTAAGTGGGAGGGAGAGGAGGAGGAGAAGGAAGGGGACGAGGAGGAGGATGCTGCAGGGCGTGATTGGGGGAGAACGCATCGTGTTGGTAAGTAGCTGAAAAGAAGGACCAGAGGGCAGAGTGAATTTGTTGGATTGGTGAGCTGGAGGGTGGCAGTGGTTTTATGGTTATCGGAAAGCTGGGTGATTAGGGCAGATGGGTGGTGACGTTGTTGGTGACACCGCGGTATCCTGTATGATTGCTTTCTGTTTCTTCGTGCGCCGGTATACGCAAACATGCAATGTCCCCCGCGCGTGTATCCCGTGGTAAGCGCACCGATGTAACTTGGCTGAGTGCAAGAAGGCATCCTCCGCGAGATAAGGCGAGCCGACCCAGACAGTGGACGAGGAAACCCGTTCTCATGTCGCTCAGTGTGAGATCCCTCATCACTCCCGTCAATTGTACATTTCCTTCGCCAACCACTCTCGCACTTTCTCCGTCTCCGTCCCTCTGTATCAGTCTAGAAAAAGCACAGAGCTCTCTACATGTGCGGTACTGCACCAACCAGTACCGTCACCATCCTGCGGTCACAGTATCATCCTCCAGTACTCGTGGGAAGCGATTCGACCACAAAGACTGTGTAGCGCAGGGGTGAACGTACTGCTGGAACGCAGCAAGCCCATTGTTTCTTCTTGTAGCATGCCTTCGGACTCCTGACGCGCTTTGGATCTTCGCGCGGCGACCGGACCGCCCAGGTTGTCTTCATCTCGGTGCAGCAGTAGTAGTCTTTGCTAGGGCAACGGAGTCCGTCCGACTGCTCCCACGGCCCTTCCACAACGGTTTGGTGGACGGAAACGTCCAAGTTGAATGCGGAGGAAAAGAGCACGAGACTGAGGAGAAAGAACACACGCATATTGTCTTCGTTGAGTGGGAGTGGGATTGAACGATGAGAATATGTTGCAACGGAGAGATTACGTCGCGCGGTTTTAGAGTGAAAGGAGAGGGGACTGGAGCGCAGAGGGGTGTGATGGAGACGGGTGAAACGGTGCGGTGCTACATGCTGGCTTCCGCGATGAAGACACTTCGCCCTATTGAGCATTTAAGCCGCGAGCATGTCATACTCCAGATCAAGTCTAGCAAACTGGTGCCTGCTGTAAAGCTTTTGAAGAAACAGACTACGACCTGAACCGGCTCTCGGGACGCTGAGCTTCTTTTCAGCTATACTGTGACTATTCCTTCAAACGCCCGTTTGATAGACGTTGCTCCCACGAGGTCCGGTGCTCGCGCTAGATACCTACAGGCTTCAGCCTTGTCTTCCGCGCTTGAAGGCCCTCAGGCTTGCCTTTCTGTTTCTTGAGTCTGCTTTCTGTAGAAACCTCTTCTACTGAGAACAGGCACTGATGTGTACTGTGTGTAACAAAGAGGTGTTAATGGGTTCCAGACGAACTTCGTTGACAACGCAAAGCTGAGTGTTAATGGGACCGGGTGAACACATCTTAAACGCTGGGCTGTTGGTAGATAAAGGTACAAGTAGGAGGGTTTGAAGAGGCTCGCGCAGAAAAGCGTCGACCTCGGGAAACATTGGAGAATAATCGACGCCTAACCCTTTTGGGACTGCAAGCGAAATCAACTTTACCCTCACCCTCCAGGACTTCCCGATAGCGGCAGCTGCTACCAATCTTTGTTGGACCGTCTGTAGTGCTATTGTCGTGATAAGTCTCCATGGAATATCTCTCACGCCACAATCTTCCAAATGTTTAGCTGTGAGGCTTCAGCCTCGCCCCCACACCTCGGGGATCAACGGGCATGAAGCTTACATCCTGTACGTAGATGCGTCGCTAAAATGCACGAGCCTCTAAGTTTAGCACCTGTCGATATAAGGACTCTTATCGATTAGCCGGCCTTCCTGCTTGTCTTACCCACCTCTATCATGACAATCAATATCCGGGCAAAGCCTCACGTCTGCTGGGGCTAACATGCCGTCGTAGGAGCAAGAAGATGATGGAGGAGGCGGGGTGCATACATATACTCTGTGCCGCTGTTTTATGAAGAGCTGATATATGGCTTCAGACCCTTGGATCAATAGCTTTCGATTGTTCTCCATGCTCACCTATATCGTGAATTATAATAGTTGTCTTGAAGATGGCTGATCAGAGTTACAATGCTGTCATTATTGCTGTCGTGGCTGTCTTCGTCACTTTGACTGTTGTAACGACAGCTTTTCGCCTGTACACCAAGGTTGTCGCCGTGAAGAAGTCAGGTTGGGAAGACTGTAAGTCGCCTTAGGACTACCTCGGATGCCCACTAACGCTTCACCTAGGGTTGATGTGCGTTGCCACTGTAAGCGCCTCCTGTCTTTCATGTTGCCTACCACACGACTGACACACGCACGAAGGTAGGGCTAGTGACCATTTGCGGCGCAGGCGCAGGGTCCCTCTCCCTTGGCCTCCTCCAGCATACGAAGGACATTCCCCGACACGATCTGATAGCTCTCGGCAACGTCATCAACGTCATAGTCTTCGTCTACATCCCGGCCATCGCCTTCACAAAGCTCAGCATCCTTCTCCAAATGACGCGAATCTTCATCCCCATCCACGGCACCAAGTCCTTCTACGCCATGCTCGCGTTCATCACTATCAATATGCTGTACTACCTCGCGGACTTCATCGCCCAGTTCGTGGCATGCTTCCCGCGCTCCAAAACGATGAACGAGGAGATACCGGGCATGTGCGAAATCTGGCTTGTAAATAGCATCCTTAGCGGCGTCTTCAATATGGTTTCGGACTTCAGCATGTTGGCCATGCCGATTTTCTGGATTACGCGGCTGCATATGTCGACTGGCCGGAAAGTCGTCGCTTCCGCTGTGTTCACGGTCGGAATACTGTACGTTGGTCGGTCGTTCGGGGGAAGCTTCAGGGAGCTAACCGAGCCCAGGGCCTGCGCAGCGAGCACGACTCGTTTGGTGTTCAGCATCAAATATATGCTGAACACGTCCGAAGACGAGATGGACTCTAATGTCCGCCTGGCTTTGTGCAGGTTGGTTTACTTCGCCTCTTCAGCGACAAAACTGACTTTCTCAGGACATCAGAGGTCACAGCTGGAATTGTGTGCGGCAACCTTCCCAGCCTGCCGGCCTTCATTAGGCACGCGAGGGGTAAAGACCAGAGCAGTGGAGTGGTGGTTCAAGCGAAACCTCGGGGCGGTGACCTGGAGAAACTGCCGTCGATGCCTGATAAGATGCCGGAGCTGGTTTTCCTAGCGGGCGCCCGTGGCGAAGTTATTTGAGACGGTGTTGTTCCATTGACAAAACGAAACAACTATTCGTAAGGTAGAAAACGAAGAAGAGGCCCCTGGCATCTCAAAGGGGGAGCGCCTCTTCGCACGAGCGGCGCGGTTGTACGGGAGCTGTGCTATCTCAACGACTTCGCAGATCGTCCGTTGATATCCGGGGCGTTAGAGAGAACTCGTCTAAGGAGATCCTTCACGCATGTGGCGAGTATGCTCTTCGATTCATCGTGTTAGCATCTCGAAAAGCAATTCTAGGGACGGTCACCAGACTTGGAATTATAGATAAGAAGCAACGTTTGGGAAGGAAAAGATGGTAAAAGGTTCTCTTCCGGTGTAGTTCGATAGAAAAAAATCAAAAAAGCTCGAGGCCCTTGCATAAACGATCGACGACTAGCCGCGTTGGGCACATAAGCGAAGACGCGACTTCCCTCTCCCCGAGCTGCTCCTCGTCTCCTTCTCGTCACCCCACCCCACACCATTAGCAAGCGCGTCTACGGCGTGTTCTCGCCACCAAGTGTGTCAAGTCACCAACAAAGAGTCGCTCGAGCTATGGCGTTTTCAGTCGAACGATGGTCCCACGTGCATGGACCCCGCACCACCGAGTGCTCATCTACCCCGCCTGACCTCATACTTCTTGGATGACGCGCCTGTTATATAAACCTCCTAAGCCGCCGACGTTATATCCGTTGTTTCTGCGATTTTTCCAATTCTCTCCGTCTTTGGTATCACTTCCCGCCCGGCAGACAGTACGCCTTGCCATCGGACCAATTGAGCCGTTCTACCCCCGAGGGACGCCATGGCCAACTGGTCGGATCTCCCCGCCGCGCTCAAAGGCAGCTTGGACAAGCTCTCTGAGCTGCTCGAATCCGACGCCCAGCTAAAGGCCTTCACGACTTCCAATGCAATTGACAAGCCTGCGACCTTCGGCATCAAGTCCAGCGACTCCGACAATGCTCTCCTGATCACCGTCGCCAATGGCTCGGCAAAAGCCAAGACGGGCCCCTCGAAGGAAACCCTCTTTGCCCTCCAGGCCTTACCCGAGCAATGGGCGGAGTTCTTCAAGGAAGTTCCAGTAGCGCCCTATCAGAGCTACTGGGGTATGTTCGGCATGAACATCAAGCAGAAAGGCATCGAGGTACAGGGCGACCAGACCGCCTTCGCCCACTGGACGCATGTATGGAGACGCGTTCTGGAGCTCGCGCACGACGCGCATTGCGGACCCATGAAGGAGGACACGCAACCTGAGCAGACCAGGGATTACCTCACCGGTCGCTATGTGTATCTGGATGCTCCTGTGTGGGGCAAGTGCAAGGTCTTCTACGAGTGGTCGGGCGAAGGCAAGCAGCAGATTGTGTTCCTGCACACTGCCGGAAGCGATGGGCGTCAGTACCATGGTGTCATGAACGATGCTCGAATGCGCCAGAAATGCACCATGTACTGCTTTGATCTCCCGGGACACGGTCGAAGTTTCCCGTCGCAGCAGTATTTCCCGGGCGCCCACACGAATACTGAAGACAGCTACGTCGGTATCATTGGGGCTTTTGTGAAGGCCCTGGGCTTGCGAAGACCGATCATCTGTGGAGCGAGCATGGCAGGCCAAGTTTGCCTGGCTGTTGCTATCCGGCACAAGGAGGTTGGATGTGGAGGCACGATCCCTCTGCAAGGGTGAGTCAGGCGTACTTGGACCTATGAAGAGAGGTCGCTAACGCTTGCAGTTCTGAATATCTCAACATGGAACGTCAGTGGTTCGACCGCTCGCCATACGTCAACCAGTCCCTCTTCAACCCAGAATGGGTCTACGGCGTGAGAGAGTCCACGTCCTTACCATCAAGCGTGCTGTACTGACAAGGATATAGATGATGGCACCAACCACGCCGCTGGTCAACAAGCAGCTCATCTGGCATCTCTACAGCGGCCAGGCGTACGGAGTAAGCTTTCCTCTCTCACCTCTACCGGTCCCCCACTAATGTCTTCTACGCAGATCTTCCATGGCGACCTCGACTTCTACTTCGGCGGGTGGGACGGACGTGAACGTGTTGCTTCCATCAATACCCAAAACTGCCCGGTCTTCATGCTGACCGGCGAGTACGATTGGTCCAATACACCCGAGATGAGCCAGAAGACAGCGGACAAGATCCCTGGTGCGAAGCACAAGGCGATGCCAGACCTGGGACACTTCCCGGCGACGGAGAATCCAGCCAAGTTTGTGCCCCATCTGCTGGAGGCTATCGATCATATTCAGAAGGTGCGACAGGAGAGTTTAAGTACGATGCGTTTGGGCGCAGAGGGGTGAGGGCATAGCAGGTGGGGAGTCTGGAGGTATTGTCCATGGTGCTGGGTGGCTCCTAAGCTGGCTTGCTGGTTCACGGGTTTTCCTTATGCACTGCAATTGCTTTCTGCATTCCAATAGCCGTCAAGTTCGTTAGTAGCAACACAGACTCATTCAAGGAATTTTGTCATTCTATTATTACAAGGGTAACAAGTCCGGCTCCTCTCTCAAGACACTCAGCCCATCCTATTCGCTCCCGACGTCAAGCCGACGCTGTTGTAACCACCAGTTTCCCTCTTATCAAGAGCAGCCCATATGGCGAATATCGCACCAACACCAGTGATAGCCGCCCGGGCTAGATTCAGCATCGCCCACTTATCAATCAACGCATGTGTCGTCTCGCCGCTCGTGACCCCCGCCTCCGCGGCCTTATCGTCCAGCGAGGTACCAGCAAGGCTTGTCTCCTTCTCGAAAAGCTTGTCATTGGTTGGCTTGAGGAAGGCCAGGGTGAATGGGACGATGCTGGGGAAGAGGATGGCCGCTGCGATATTGAGCTTGAACGGCAACGATGAGGGGTCCTCTGGACAGGGTTAGCACAAGTTAGACTTTAGGAAACATGCCGGAATGGGTATGCATACGGTGGTAGGCGACGTATGCTACGGCGGCAGAGCTGATGAGGGAGAGCGGAATGCCGATGGATTTCCCAGTATCGTAGACTTTGCGCCACTGGCGTGCTGCGAGAGGGGCTGGAGCTAGCATCACTGCGGGTATGCTGATGAAGGAGATGCCCATGTTTCCGCCTGCGAGAGTCAGCCTAATGCTTTTCGGGGCCAATGAGATGGGCAATTCGGAAAGTTGCACGTAGCCTAAACTAAACTATGAGGCACTGACCGAAGAGGTACGTGCTGGCCGTGATGCCAACGGCTTGCGCGACGAGAAGCCCAGCCGGGGGCTTCTCGTTGAAGAGATAGCCTGCAGTCGCCATTGTAGTGGGAAACGAAGTATAAAGAGTTGCAAAGCCGGATTAAGGGTGGAATTAGGGGATTTGGAGAGCAAAGAGAAGGTTGGTGGTCTGAGGAAGTATCTACACGTTACTCCCCCTTACGTCACATCGAGCTATCGATATCGCGAAACACTGCGAATTGGCCAATCACAAGCGCGCTCTACTAAACACTAACTTTTAATTTTAACAGTAACGTACTTTATTAGCGAACGCCCCATATCACCGAACGCCCCACGATTTCTTGGCAAGGAAAATTAACAAAAATCTGCGAGTTTTTCTTAAATAACTAAGCGAAACCTTAATATATTTCTATAAAAATTTATATATATATTCTCTATAGTATATTACACCTTATATTAAAGTTACACTAAGATATATTTTATAATTAAAAAGCTATACGTATTTAACTAACTTTTAAGAAAAATTTAGTTTACTTCTAGTAAGTACTATTATATCTCTATAATAATCTATAAAACTTATAGTATATAATATCTATAACGTAATAAAAGTTTCTAGAAAACTTTTATAGCGCTAGCTCTTCTAGATATAGCATAATAAGAGATAGAATTTAGAAAAATATCTTCTTTAGAGATTTTTCTTCTAACTATATATATATATAGTTAATCTAGCTATATAAAGTTATTATTTTATAAATTATAGTAGAGTTTAACTATATAGAGCTTATTAACTAATAATATAGTAGCTTTAAGTAGTTATTTAAAAGTAAAGTCTTTTTAATAGTATAGTATAGAAAGATAGAAATATACTAAAACTATTTTAAAATTATTACTTCTAAATATATAGAAGGCTTATAATATATATAAGCTTATAATATATATAAGCTTATAATATATATAAGCTTATAATATATATAAGCTTATAATATATATAAGCTTATAATATATAACTTTATATAGATAGATTATTTATATATATATATATATATAGTTAGAGAAGAAAACTCTAAAAAGATTATTTTATACTTCTATCTTTTATTACGCTATATCTAGAAGAGCTAGCGCTATAAAAGTTTTCTAGAAACTTTTATTACGTTATAGATATTATATACTATAAGTTTTATAGATTATTATAGAGATATAATAGTACTTACTAGAAGTAAACTAGATTTTTTCTTAAAAGTTAGTTAAATACGTATAGCTTTTTAATTACGTAATATATTTTAGTATAACTTTAGTATAAGGTGTAATATACTATAGAGAATATATATAAATATTTTTATAGAAATATATTAAGGTTTTGCTTAGTTATTTAAGAAAAACTCGTAGATTCTTATTGATTTTCCTTGCCAAGAAATCGTGGGGCGTTCGGTGATATGGGGCGTTCGCTGATAAAGTACGTTATTTAAGAAATACTAGTTGATTTTCCTTGCTTGGCATTTTTGGGGGCTTTGGTAGTGTAAGAGTTTTAGTAGTAAAGTACGTTATATTTATATCTTAACCCCTAGTAATTCACGCCTGGTGTTCCTGCTAATGCCCCTTCGTTTGCAAAATTAATTATTGCATACGAATTAAGTTCAACATTATGCTACCTACTCATTTAACGCATATTAGCATGTTGTACACCGCAATCTGGGGGGAGCTAGCCGAAAACCTACTTGCAAGTGTGGCTCTGGCCCTGACCGTAGACGGCCTTGCAATTAGGGCACTGAACCTGGTTATTGGAAGACTTTCCCAGGATCATGGCGGGGGCTTCGATGGCGGCGTGGTTGACAGCAGCAGTGGTGGTTTAGTTAGCCATTTCGAAATTGCTGGATTATTTGGTTGGGAAGTTCAATTTAAGGATGAAATAGTTGAGGGAAATGAATCATTCGAATTGATGGTTGATGGTTGATGGTTGATGTCTGAGTTCCAGTCTTCCGCGGCGACGGAAGGTCTTATAAACGTATCTGATCTACCTTGAAATTCATGGTAGAATGCTTCCGGCTCTCATATGATACTGCTTCCGTGTCATGTGGGAATCCTTGAGCGCTTACCTGCCGCCTTCGTTCGCCGTGGCTGTGGACTACGCCGCGAAGAAGCAGAAAAGATAGAGTCCAGTGTGCTCTGGATTTTCTTCTCGGTGTGTTGATTGGACTCCAAAGCCCCAAAGTGAAACTCCACCGGTGAAGGGACCTGCAGGTAGCGGTTGTCGGGAGCGGGGTAACTTTAGACGCTGCGGCACAGTATGACTCTGCATGGTGAGAATTAACCTGTCTGGCTATATGATTGGGTTGGTAGGGTTATTGGTGCTAGCAGCATGAACTAGTAAGGACACAGTGGGAATCACTCGCCAGCGTAAGTTCAACCGGTGAGAATCGTTCGATGGGAATCGTCGTGGGTTGTGTATGCTGCGGCGCGGCCCGCCCCTACGCCGACGATTGGTGGCATGAAACTGGACTTCTGGACACTCAATGTATGCGAACACCGCGAGCTGAGTAGTAATTTTCGCTGTTGCCTTCGGCGCGCAGGGGATGAAGTAAGAGTGGTCGTCTTGAATCATAAAAGGGTGTGCAGCTCGAAGCGAGGTGGTACACCCAGAGCGCATACACCGCACAGACTCTCATTAAACAACAAAAAGCGGGGCAAAAAGGCAGCCCGACAGAATCACCCAGGCGCCTCCGCGCACTCTACATCCACCTTCCGTCCTCAACCTTTTTTTTTTTTGCGCCTTTCAATCTAACATTGCAACATGACCGCTGCATCAAAGAAACCGCCAAGTGCACGTTGGAAATCTTTCGAAGGATGGGACTACAATGGCATGAAGCAACGACTAGAACAGTTCATGGAAAGAGTCCATAAAGCAGCCCTTCTGGAGCACGTTGAACGAGTTTCGGGAAAGACGGCAAAGATGAGTGAGCCGTTCTCTGCTGGTCAATATTGGTGTTGCTTCGAGTTCATTCTTGACGACCACAGTTTGGTCATCGCTCGCGTGCGACTACCTCAACACCCAGACAGCAATGAAAACACTACGGAGGACTCGGAGCTATATGCCATCCAGTGTGAAGTCGCAACCATGGAGTTCCTCCAGAACAATGCCACAACTGTTCCCGCACCCAAGCTCTATACCTACGAGCCGCCAGGATCACGGCAAGCCCTTGCAGTTGGTGCATGCTACATGCTGATTGAAGGTTTCTATGGGAATACATTGCAAGACGTGGAATTTGACATCTGCGATCTTCCCGTACGTTTTAACTCTCCCCTGCGCTACTACTCTGTGCTCTAGACATCAACTAACAGATCAGATGCATTCTCAAGAACATATAATAGCTCAATGGACGTCCATCCAGGCCGAGCTAGCCACGTTCTCCTTCGCCGAGATCGGTTCTATCTCGCAATTTTCCAAAGAGGGCAACGGCATGGCGACAGTCGGTCCTCTAGCTGCTGCCGTAGCAGAGCGATTCCCATCCGGAGGCCCTTTCACAACATCTCAGCAGTATTTCGCGGCTGTGGGCGAGGCTAGATACACATCCGCTCGCAAGGATGCCTCCGAGTTCGAGGAACCCGACGAATCTGATAGATTCTCGGTCCTTGGCGCCTTCGTCTTCTGCGACATCGTGTCTAGTACTGGACTGTTCACTGACAAGGAGCCATCTTTCCATCTGAACCATATGGATATGGGAACTCAGAACATTCTCGTGGATGATGACTTCAACTTCTTAGCAATCATTGATTGGGAGTTTGCTCAGACGGCACCTGTGCAAGTCAATCATTTTCCAAGTACACAACTCCCAGCCAACTTTTTGCAATATCCGCTGACCTTCAATCTACTACCCAGTGCCCTTTCCTCTCATTTCGTCTTCCGCGAGCATACAAGAGATACTCCAGGACCCCGAGCACCTAGCTTTCCGCAATGTTTCACGGCAGACTGCCGCGCAGAAGCTATACCAGCAAAAGTTTCAGGATGCAGAACGGAACTTAGAACGGAAAGGGAGGCCAGTGCGTCCCTCCATTGCAGACGGACTACAGAAGCCTGCTTCAAGAATATATGCAATCTTGGAGAAGCTTGGGGGATTCTGGGGAACTTCTGAGGAGCTTACATATGAGATGGTGCGGCTCGCTTTTGGATTTCAAGGTGACGAGGCGAAGGCATATCTTGAGGCGATGGAGATGAAGATGAATGGGAAGAAGGATTAGTGTTAATTGTTGGTGGTAGCGGAAGAGCTTAAGATACTAAAGGATCGTGAGTACTGGAGACGGGCTAGTGCGATCCAAGAAATTGCGGTTGCCCGCTCCGTCGACATACGATGTGCCGACCATGAAAAGTCCTATCAGACCCAAGCGGAGGCCTTGTATAGGCCCCTTTTATAGGCTACAGTGTCGTAGTCCTACCCGGAACAGCCTCTTGCCCCGTAGCTTCCTATTAAATTAATATCGAAATGTTTCTAGACACTGTTACTACAGTAACGCTTCTCGCTATATTAGGGGGAAAGCTAAGGCCTCTATTTAGATAACTTCTCTAGGCCTATTAAGAGTATAAGCTCTATTTTCTAATTAGCTATAACGTACTTTACAAGCGAACCGCCTATATAAGCGAACCGCCTACGATTTCTTAGCAAGAAAAATGTAAGGTAAGTAGCGAGGTAGGTAGACAATATACTAAGAAGCAGTAATATAATATATTAAGTAGTACTAGTATATAGTTAAATTCTTATAGAGTAAGAATAGAAGAAGACTAAGCTATATACTAGACTACTATATAACTATAGATAAGCTAAGTGTTACGATTACAGGATTAGAAATAGGGTTAGCTAGCTAGAACAGAGAAAACGGTAAGCTAAGCCTAGAGTTACGAGACAAGAGATTACGTGCGGAGTTATAGAAATAATTAGAGTTACGTAACGTAGATTAGATAGATTAGACAGATTAGAACTAATCTAAGTAATTAGACCTAATCTAGAAGATCTACGAGAGCTAGAGCCTTAGTATCTAATCTAGCTAAAATAGTATATATATATAACTAGAAGAAGCTTACTTCTTATAGCTTCTTATAGTTATTACTTTATTTATTAAATTACTATAGAGACTTATAATTTATAGTATTATTATGTCTACTTCTTTATTACTAAAGATTCTAGCCTAAAGTATACCTCTTGCCTTCTCTTACAAACGTAAGCTCTAGTCTTAGTTAAGAGAATAGCTTGTAATAAAATAACTACCTAACGTTAAAGAGTAGAACTAACATATTAATAGTTAGAACCTAATTAGAAAAAGCCTAGGTAAGAAAGCTAACTATAGAAGAATAGATTATAGAACTCTAATAGGTTGTTATAGTACTCTAGAAGATAAGCGTTTAGTAGGTAGAAGAGCTAGCTATAGTAAAATAATAGGCCTAGGCTAAGATTACTCTACTACAACGCTTTAATAGTAAAAGAGAGAACCTTAACGTATTTCTAGTAGCTATAGAACTCTACCTATAATATAACGCTATAGTATTCTTATAGAATAAGAATAAGATTCTAGAAGCTATAATAAATATAGAAGAGAAGGCTCTTACGTAGACTAAACTCTATATATTAGACTAGCTAGAAAATAAAGGTAATATAAAGAGAATATAATAGTCTATAGACAAAATCTTTAAAAGTTAGACTAGGTTTATAAAGCACCTTAAAGAAACGTTTAGAGAAGTTAACGTATATAAGGTAGTCTAAGAAAAGCTATTCTAACTATAATAAACTAGATTAGTATCCTAGTATACAGCTACGTTTAGGTAGCTAAGTACTTACCTAGACTAGAATAACCTTACGCTAGTAGAACTCTTCTATAAAGAGTTAAAGAAGTTAGTTAAGAATAATATCGCGTACGCTAAACAACTAGAAAATCTAAGCAATACTATAGAGATAGTAGTTAAGATTAATAATTAATAATATAAATAAAATTTAGAACGCTAATAGTTAAGAGATTACTTTATTCTAGTAATAGTTAGAACTAGACAACTATAGACTATGTTCTAAGAAGACTCTATAGACCTAGACTAGGTTAAGACCCTATAGAAAGAAAAACAGACTCTAAAAAATAAGAAGAAGGCATAATACTTTAAGAAAGAACTATACCTAGTCTATAGAGAAAAAGAATACTTTGCGCAAAAATACCTAAAGAAAAAGAAAATAGTTAGAATAATTAAAGTAGACTATAATAGCCTCTTATAGATAGTATATTATAATAATAGCTATATAACGTACTAGAGAAATAAGGTTAACTTAGAATAGTACCTAATAAGAGTTAGAGTAATTATGCTAGAATACTCTACGTATACTAAATACCTTACTCTAGATACTATCTAATAATATATTAACGCACGATAGTACTAGATATACGTAGAATTCTATAATATATAGAACTATTAGTACGTATACTAGAATATTCTATTTACTAATAATAAATTCTAGAAGGCGTTAGACGCTCTTAAGAAAGTAGCTAGGTTAGTAGAATACTTTATAGATAAAGAAGTATACACGTATATCTAGAAGATATACTAAGGCTTCTCTATATATTACTCTAGAGTCTAGAAAGCTAGGTAGTAGTAACTAAGGTGTGTAGAAAGAGGTAAGTATAAGAATCTCTTCTATAAAGTATACCTAACTAAACTATTATAAGAAAAGAAACTCTCTAGACTATTTCTATATAACTAGAAAATTAAAGCACGCCTATAGTAGAAGCTGTACTAGCTATATAAAGGCGACTATCTAGGTTATAACTACGTCTACTAGGCCTACCTACTAGTAGTCTATAGGGAGAAGAGTAAAGTAGTAGTTAAGATAGCTATTAGTACATAGAAACTAGATAAAGAAGAGATTTAAGTAGCTACGTATATAGACCTACGCCCTAGAGATACTAGCTAAATAGTAATACTAGAACTAATTAAGAAAGTCTACGGCGAAGAATACTACGCTAAACTATAGAAGTAGTATGCTATAGAATGCTAGTACTACTAAAAATAATACTAAACTATTAGATAGATAGCCTAATACTCTAACTACTATACGCTTAACTATAAGTAGTACTTTCTAGAATAGAAGTACCTATACTATAGAAAAAAGGCTAAGAATAAATATATAAAACTTTATTAGACTATATGTTTACTAGAAAGGTGCCTAGTACACATAGTAGAAAAGAAATAAGGATTAACACTAGCTACCTCTTTAAAGTTAAAAAACTAGAAGACCTCTAAGGTAGAGGTCTAGCCTAGAAAGGCTCTATTTAGACTATAGGTAAAATTATTACTCTAAAACCTAGAACGCTACGCGTAAAAGCTATATTAGAAAATAAAAAATTTATAGCCTATATAGATAGTAAAGTAGTAAAAACGTATATTTTTACTAGCCTAGTAAAACTATAGAATATACTATTTTAAGAGAAATAATAGCTATACTAAGTATAACTTATAGATAACTAGCTACCTACCTTTAGCTAAGAATAGATTTACTTAGAAACTAAGGCATAGGTATTAGATGTCTAGAGAATATAGAAACAATAATTCTATAATATTATAGAACTAGAAAATATAGATATACTTCTAGAGCTAGATTAGCTATAAAGATATAACTCTAATATTAGTTAGATTAGGTTAGAACTCTAAGGAAGGCCTAAAGTAGTATAAAAGGCTAGAGTAAGATACTACCTAAGAGCTTACTAAAAGCTAGAGGTAAAGATTAGAAGAATATCCTCTACAAGTTTAACAAAATAGGTAAGAAAATAACCTTAAGACGTTAGCGTTATATAGATACGAAAGCTACAACCTAATATAGAGTAACTACTTTAGAAAGTTAAAAAGAACTATAAGAAGTTCGCGTTATTATTTAATAGATAGAATAATAGCGTTCTACCTAAATATAAGCTATAGAACTATAAGATATCTATAGAAAATAAAGCTACGCTAAAACTAGAACTAATATACCTACTTAGCTATAGGTAAAGAGAGAAACTTTAAAGGTATCTAGAGAGACTTCTCTAAAAAGAATATATCTAAGAAAGCTAAAGTCTAATAGTATTACTAGTACTATTTATACTAAAGAAAAATAGATAGTTAAGGCTATATATTAACTACTAATAGCTTAATTAAGTAACTTAAAAGAACTAATATCTACTATCTATAATCTTAGAGCTAACAGACTAGCTTATAAGAGTATAGTAGTTTATAAAGTTTAATATCTAAGAAGAATACTACTAAATAAGAATTAAGAAAGGCTATAAATAGAAAACCGCCTTTAGAATAAGAGAAGAACTATATAAATACCTAGTTATGCTATTTAGACTTACTAATACACTAGCAACGTTCTAAAGCATAATTAACGCAGCTCTATATAAATATATAGAAAGGTTTACTATAGCCTATCTAGATAACGTACTTATATATTTAAAGAGAGAACTAGAAGAATATAAGAACTACGTATAAAAAACGCTATAGAAGTTTAGAGAGTATAAACTTCTAATAGCTTTTAATAAAAGCGAATTCTATTATATAGAGACTAGCTACTTAGAATTTTATCTAACTCGCGAGAGAATCTAGATAGAAATAGATAAGGTTTAGGCGATTCTAAACTAGCCTATACTCTAGATAGTAAAAGAAGTATAATTCTTTCTTAGATTTGCTAACTACTACTAAAAGTTTATCTAAGAGTATTTATAGATTACAATACTACTTATAAAGGTTACTAAAAAGAACTAAGAATTTAGATAGAAAGACCTATAATAATAGGCGTTTAAGACGCTAAAATAAATATTTACTACTATACTACTATTACAAATATTTAATAAAAATAAACCTATATAGGTTAAAATAGATACCTTAGATAGAGTACTAGAGGCATGCCTTAGCTAACCTAGAGAAGATAGTAAGTACTAACTATACTTCTTCTACTTAAGAAAGTTCTTAGTACTAGAACTTAACTATAATATATATAATAAGAAACTTATAGCTATTATAGTAGTAATAAAAGAATAGAAAATATACTTAGAAGACGCTAAGTACTCTATTAACGTAGTATTAGACTATAAAAACCTTACAGCGTTTATAACAATAAAAACGCTAAATAGATAATAAGTTAGGTAGGTAGAAACGCTAGCTACACTAGACTTTATAATCTAATACTAGAAGAGTACTAAGAATAGAGTAGTAGACGCGCTTAGCTAAAGAGCTAACTATATAGTAGTAGCTAAGAAGAAATATAAAGCTATACTTCGCGCTAAACTAGATAGAACTCTAGAGTATAATAGCCTATAAATTAGCTAGGTTATAGAAATCTA